CTGCTCTTTAGAAGGGCAGATCCTGAAGTTGAAACTCAAATACTTTGGCCACCTAATGAGAAGGAAGGACTCACTGGAGAAGGGCCTAATGCTGGGAAAGATTGAGGGCAATAGAAGAAGGGGACGACAGAGAATGAGGTGGCTGGATGGAGTCACTGAAGCAGGAGGCGTGAACTTAAATGGACTCCAGAAGATGGTAGAGGACAGGAAGGCCTGGAGGAACGTTGTCCATGGGGTCGCGATGGGTTGGACACGACTTCGCAATTAACAACAACAAAGTCCTTCTAGGTCAAGCAGGAACCCCTATACAATTTTAATCAGAATACAGCTGGAAGGGTCCTTGGAGGTCTTCTAGTCCAACTGCCTGCTCAAGCAGGAAACCTTATCCCATTTCAGACAAGTGACTGTCCAGTCTCTTCTTAAAAACCTCCAGTGATGAAGCACCCACAACTTCTGACGGAAAGCTGTTCCACTGGTTAATTGTCCTCACTGTTGGGAACTCACCTGACTGCAGAGGCTCTGCAAGGGCCAAACGGCTGTCGCTTCCAGAGGGGCAGAATAGTGGTCATGTGATCATAATTTGGGGGAACCAATCACAAGTCTATTACAGGTAGTCCTTGACTTATGACCACAATTGAGCCCAAAATTTCTGTTGCTAAATGATACAGTTAAGTTGGCCTCATTTTACGACCTTTCTTGCCACCATTGTTAAGTGAATCCCTGCAATTGTTAACTTACAAATCTTAAGTGAATCTGGCTTCCCCATTGACTTTGCTTGTCAGAAGGCTGCAAAAGGGGATCACATGATCCCGGGACACTGCGACTGTCATAAATATGAGTCAGTTACCAAGCATATGAATTTTGATTATGTGACCATGAGGATATTGCAATGGTCATTAAGTATGAAAAACGGTCACAAGTCACTTTTTCAGTGCCATTGTAACAGTCACTAAATGAACTATTTTAAGTTGAGGCCTACCTGTATTTTAGTACCTGTCAACTCTACAACGAACCTGGCTGCAGCCATCTTGCTCGTTCTATGTTGCCACATGAATGGGAGGTGGTGCAGAGTATCTTTGATAGTCTAAACAATTCTGTGTCCCGTGGGAACCAAGGTCATTCTATCGGTTAAGCTAGAGCCGTGGTGGCGAATCTATCAGAGCCCTCTCTGTGGGCACGGCCGCCATCGCCCCAGTCCTAGGCCTTCAGCTGGATTTTATAAAACCTTTTCACTTTAGGCCTCCGCCGCCGTGTCCCCCCCCAAAAAAGGTTCAATCAATCAATCAATTTCAACTTCTCGTGGGGAAAAAAAAGATCTTGCAAAGTCAGAATTGATTGATTAAACTTTTTAGTCCCACCCAGTCTGCCGTTACCACCATAGCCACACCCACCCAATGGGCCACGCCCACCCAATGGGCCACGCCCACCCGGCACCTGACGATGCATAAGTGGATTTTGGATTGCAGTTTGGGCACTCGATCTCTAAAAGGTTCGCCATCACTGAGCTAGAGGGTTGGGCGTTTTGTTAGAAAGCCCACCAAACTATTCTATTGGGGAACGTAGATGATTGCATAGTACTGGGGCAGGAAGTTTAACTTTGTAATAGTGTAACTCTTTGGAGGGAATTTCAAACTTGGTTTCACTTTTGACCATGCCAATATTATGTATCCAATAAACATGTTCTTTGAGGAAGCTTCTAGCTTCGGAGTTCTGATTTATTTGGCTCCATCTATCGGAATTATTTGGAGTAGATGGTAAGCGAATGGTCTTAGGTCAAGGACTACCTGTATTCCTTTTTGTTATAAACCTAAGGAGAAGAAAGGTCATATATGCTACTCGCTTTATCCAAGACTGGGGATCTTGCAAGAGCAAGGAAAATAATTTATTAACAACTCACTAAACATTTAACCTTTTCAAAGGCTATTGACTGACTTCAGGAAGGCTTTACATTGCATCTTAACCTTACAATTAAGTTCTACAGACAAGTAGTTGTACTTCAAATTTCAATTGTGTTCCAAGGCTTCAGTGATTTTGTACCTCAATGTCCAAAAATCCTTGTGAGCGGATGGTACCGTAGCTGGGAGAGATGGTAAATTCCTTGGGCTTTGCAGATGCAAACCATGCCTTTCTCCACATTGGCCTTGAGATGTCAGTGGCTTGATCCCGACTCCTAATACTTGGCTCTCCATTACCATCTCCTGGGACATGCAGGCTGAAAGTCATGGGCACCAGTGAAGTGTTGCTGAGGCGGCAGGACAGGGTTTGAGGGAAACCTGGAAGCAAGAACGGAACTTGTAAGTGAGCTGAATGAGGGATCTGAAAAGGACAAGGTCACCAAATCAAACCCTCCCTCTTTACATGAAGTCAACTTTAGGTCTTAATAGCTAGCACCCTTTAAGATAGCGAGATAAAGGGCAGGTCTTAGGAGGCAAAGCTTAAGAATGACAACAGACAGATCCAAGGATATGAGAGCCGGTGTGGTGTAGCATGGTGTTTTGTAAATTCATCCTTGGTCAAGGAAGCTCATTGGGTGTCTTTCAGCCAGTCATTTCCTTCATAGAAGCACTTCCTGACTGAAGAAGGTTTGAAAGTTTAATATCCATAGAGCAGAAGGCACATTCAAAATTCCTGACAGGTCTGTACGCAGCCTGCCCTCAGATTCGTGCTCTATCTAGCCCAGCCCAACAATGTACCAATCATGCCCCCCCTTTTGCTAACCAATTAACAAATATATGTAGAAAACACACTACAATAATGTAGTGGGAGATTTCAATTACCCTAACATCAACTAGAAGACTAATTCTGCACCAAGTGAGAAATCGAATAGGGACAGACAAGGAACTAAGGGAGGGAACTAAGAAGGACTTAATTCTCTCAAACAGAGAAGAAGTGATAGAGGGAGTTGAAACTGCAGGAACCTTGGGAGAGAGTGACCATGTCATAGTGGAATTTAATATAATGCAAACACAAGCAATAGAACATAACGATACCAGAGTCTTTAAAAGAGCTGATTTTAACAAACGCAGAGAGAGCTTGGAAAAGAGACTTTGGATGAAAATCCTAAAGGGGAAAACAATTCAAGAAGCTTGGGAAACTCTGAAAAATATGATCATAAAAGCCCAGTTTTGCACAATACCACTGAAAAAGAAAAACAAGAAATCTAAGAAGAAACCAGCATGGCTGCACAAAGATCTCTCGGATAAACTCAAAGACAAAAAGGTCAAGTACAAAAAATGGAAAGAGGGACACATAACTAAGGCAGAATATCAGCAGATAACCGGAATCTGCAAAGACGAAGTCAGGCAAGCAAAGGCTCAGAATGAACAAAGACTTGCAACAAAAGTAAAAGATATTTTTTAAAAAGTTTCTTTCAACATCTAAATAACAAGAAAACTGTCAGTCTACTAAAGAGACAGTATGGCAAGGAAGTAACAGGCAGCAGAGAGAAAGCAGAGCTGCTTAACTCATTCTTTGCATCAGTCTTCACGCAAAAATAAATTATAGCCCAACCTACCAAAAACATAACTGTAAAAGACAGACTAGAAATAAAAGTTAAAATAAGCAAAAAAAAAATGGTAAGAGAACACCTGTCTGATCTTGATGAATATAAATCACTGGGACCTGACAGATTACGTCCCAGAGTTCTAAAGGAGTTTGCAGATGTCAGAACCACTGTACCATATTTTTCGGGGAAGAACCAGAGGTCTGAAAAAGAGCCGATGTGGTTCCCATCTTCAAAAAAAAGGGGGGGGGAAACAGACCCAGGAAACTACAGACTAATCAGCCTAACATCAATATTCAGGAAGATACTGGAAAGATAATTAAAAAACAGATCTGCGAACATTTAGAAACAAGTAAAGTAATAAATAAAAGTCAGCATGGGTTTGTTAAAAACAGATAATGCCAAACCAATCTTATTTCATTCTTCGATAAAGTGACTAAATTAGTAAACCAGTGAAATGCTGTGGACATAGTAGACTTCAGCAAGACATTCAACAAAGTAGATCACAACCTACTTCTTGGTAAGGTAGAAAAAAGTGGGATAGATAGCATCACCATTAGATGGATTTGTAACTGGCTGACAAACCGTACTCAATGAGTAGTCCTTAATAGGACCATCTTCCTCCTCCTCCTCTTCATTTGAGTCACTTAAAAGATTTGCCACTGCAGACACCATCTTTCAAAGGAATAGGCACGCCATGACAGCAGTCCCTGCTACTTGTACGTAGCTTTCCCCCTCACCTTCTCTTAACTTTGTCCCTTTGCCCAGTCTCCCAAGTGAACCTACTGAACATCTGGGCATGTCTATGGAGATACTCATTCATCCAGATCATGGTTGTCCCAAAGGTGCTTTTCAAAAGGCAGCTGGACTTTCTTGCTTTTTTTCCTTGAAAACATTTTGCTTCTCATCCAAGAAGCTTCTTCAGTTCTGACTGAATGGTGGGGAATGGAAGCACACTTTGGACATCTGGGCATGCTTTTTTTTTGTTCAGCAGGTAGCAAATTATCAGCAGGAAGCAAGCTTCTTGCCTTGTCTAGCCTGGAGGACCTGGGTCCCTCTAGGGGGCTGGATGGGACTGCAAAAGAAGTCTTGGACCAGATGGACACTGGTCTAACTGGCCAAAGTGAAGAGGATCCCAAGCATGATGAATTTGGAGGACTGGCTTACCGAAGGAGACATCCCCAAAATTGAGAGATGGGACACTGAAATGAAAAGTTGGTCCAATGACACAGCCCCTGGAATAAGAAACAGAGAGATTTTTAAATAATACAAACAGAGTAAACCATGCCGCCCCAGCAGAGATAAACAATGAAAACACCCATTGATCCTGCCAGATGTCCAACAGAATGAGTGTCAAAGTTCCAACTGACGAACCCAACCAAGTAAACACCTTCAAGCCTTTCCGAACTCTTAATGTAGAACTTTATTGAGTACATCATTTCAGTACGCATGCAAGCAACACCAGCTCTGGCAAAACCCCACCCAATCCCATATAGTAAAAGAATAGAATTCCCCCTCCCCCTTCTCAATCAGGTCACGTTTCCCAATTAGATAGAAAAATATGAGAAAGTGTCTCTGAGTCTGGCCAGACACCTGGTGAACTGTCCTTGGTTCTCACAGCTTCCTTTCTTGATCCTTTGAAGTCTGCATTCCAATCCCTTCCCCTCCCCCCAAGTTCAGTGACAAGCTGAGAAGCAATAATTGTCGGACCAGCAAAAACATGCTTCGAATTTGACAATGAGTCTCATGAAACATTTTATGGGGGAAAAAATTGCCATTCTGGCCCATTCAAGTTTATTTATTTTTTCTTGTCACAAAGAAGAGATGAATCTGCACATGGCTAACAGACCTCACCACACAGTGCAAATGCCTCTTTGAAAGTTAGTTTACCTTAATAATCAGCCTAGCCGATGTAGGAGAGGCTTGGGGCTTACCGAATCACTAAGGTCACAGGCTGGGGAGATCCATTTACGTGGAACTTGAACTCTTCCGAGAAGGGGCCCAGGACAGTGGAGCTGAAGGAAATGTGAATGGCCTGATAGCCACCCGGCTCAATGATTCCTTCTCTGGGTTGAAAGGCAAAGCAGGCACCCAGCACAGTGGAGGGCCATATCAGGTGGAAGAGGGCATCAATAGCTCCTTGGTTAGATAAGATAGCCTGGCGCAGAGAGAAGGGAGAAAGATGAGTGGGAGAAATAAGTTGGCAGTTCAAGAACCAACAGTTGTGCCTCTGAGTTACTTCTAAGCTTGTAATAGTGGTGAATATCTGTAGCTCGGGTGAAGGTTCAGGGATGTCATTCCCTAAACTCTGCTGAAGATGTTACCTAGCCTGGTAACAAAATGTTCAGAAACCAACCCACAAGCTCAGAGAACGAAACTTCACCCTCATTACTTCTAAGCTGCATGAAAAGCCTCAGTTCAAAGGTATCCACTTGAACAGTGTTGTGACATTGGACTGCATTAGAACTGGCCTGACCCACATTCGTGATTGGTGTTTCTGGCAATGTACAGCATGGCAACTGAGCCCAACACTGTCACCGGGGCATCCCTGAATCCATGCCCATTTATTTTGCAGAAGCTGCCTACGTCCCATGAGAGCATTGCATGGGCTTCTTTTCATCACCGGCGCTTGGCCCAGCGGACCCTGAAGACCCTCTGCTGAGGGACAGATGCCCTTCGTGGCCTTCCAAAGCTTGTAAAGACCTCATTGCTTCAGAATAGATTGACAGATTTGGTGCTATGGGGGCAAATTTGGGATTTTATATAATTCTTATTTAGATATTATATATTTTATGCACTACTTTTATGGATTTGCACTGATGATATATGTAGATAGTCCTTCACATACAACCATTCCTTTCATGACTATTCAAAGTTATGACAACACTGAAAAAAGTGACTTACGACCAGTTCCCACACTTACGACTCTTGCAGCATCCCCAGAGGCAACCGGCAATTTTTTTGGCCATGGTTGCAGCATTGACTGGGACGGTTATTTGCAACCTTCCTAGGGGCTCCTCACAAGCAAAGTCAATGGGGGAAGGCCAGATTCATTTAACAGCCACGTGTTTTACTTAACAACTACAGTGATTTGCTTAACAACCATTCCAAAAAAGATTGTAAAATGGGGCACAACTCACTTGGCAACCACATTGCTTAGCAACAAAAATTTGGGGCTGAATTGGATAGAAGTTGAGGACTGCCTGTACTGCTGAGCCACTTAAATTGAAACAGTATCTAATTTGGACAAGAAATTAGATGAATATATCTACTGATAGACTCGCAAGCTTTTGGCAGTGGGAGGATGGCTAATTTTATAATGATGATGTGTTTTGTTTAAAGATGGCCAAATAATACTTAAGCTCAATGGGGAGGAAAGGCCTGAAAGAAAAGAGTGAAGGACAGACAGACAGAAAGAACTCGGCACCTTAAAAGGGAAATAAAGTATTCTTCTTCTAATTTTTCATTTAGATTTCCTGAAAGTTTCCTCTGCAAACGTGACCAACATATTGTAAGAGAAAAGAGAACCTTACTGATCCTAGACCAAGCTAAATAAAAAAACTCTAGGGAATTCCCGGAAGCCTGACATTCAGACAAAGCCTCAGCACACAGAAAAAAGTCAAACCACATTTACACAACATTCAAAACAGGCAATAAAATGAAAGAAGGAAACAAAAAGATGAGAACACATTGTCTCCAGCAGCCAATATCCAGATAAGCAGGGATTAACACCAGGCAAACAGTCAAGTTGACAACAATATCGTTATCCAGCACTGGGAGGGCAAGCTATTGTATATAATCAGGGAGAAAAGCCCACAATCCTTAGCACTGATGATGTTACCTAATTGGGTAAAGAAACATCTGCAAGCAAAGAACCAAGCTCAGAGAGCACCAAGGACCCTGCTATAACAACTGAACTTACCTCATAACTGTGAGATGATCCCACAAAAATTTTCCCAACGTCCAGCTGATCAAAGTTGAAAAGTAGCTTGGGGCCTATTGCCTCTCCCTTGATACGCAGAGGAAGTCTGGTCTCTCGGCCTGTAGAAATGATAACTCATCTTCAGGAAATTAATGGTGGCACAATTCTTTCTGGACAAAGCCAACAAGATCAGTGGAGGCATTGAGCTTTGCCCCTTGCTGTGCACAAATCACTCTCTTCTTGCCTTCTTGCTATTTATTGATTTATTCATCACATGGCATATCATATGTGGACTAACAATATATATTAACATTCCACCTAGATTGGTAAAACACAATAAAATATATATGTTAAAAAAGTGTCTGTTCAAATATCAATGTCTAGGCCATCTAACCACTGAGGCGCAGCATTGCTTGCATGAAAGAAATCAAATACTGGACCGGTAGATGCCCTCTGCTTATAGCCGGTAATGATGTGATCTACAGTTTGACATGGGACCCCGCATTCACACTGAGGGAAAGCCTTGTGCATCTCAGATGAAATTGATCCATAAAAAGGGATGTTACCAGCTTTAATGTCTGCTAAAAAAGTAAGGAGACTTTACATACAAACACAAGACAGTGACAGCTTGATTCTCAGTAAAGGAGAATGCAAAATGCTGCTTGCTTTTCTTTTGTTCAGAAGAGCAGAAGACACACATCATCCTATCCCATAGGCCAGAGGTCACAAACCTTGGCAACTTTAAGATGTGTGGAGTTCAACTCCCAGAATTCCTCAGCCAGCCCATGCTCTAGGAGTTGAAGACCACAAATCTTAAAGCAACCAAAGTTCAAGATCCCTACCACAAGCTTCTGCTTAATTATGATCCTCTGTTCGCAGTAATTGAAGATCAGGATATCAAGACCAGCTTTCACAAGACTGGGAAACTGAAATCACCCATATCCTAAAATAGGAATATGTTTTTAAGGTTATACCGGTAATATCACAGTAGACCGTCTGAAGATACATCCCGGCTTCTTGCGGCCTGAACATCACTCTGATTTCAGTTGTAGAATTGGGCCAAACATCTCCCTCCTAAAGAAAAAATAGAATAAATACAATGAATAAGAAAGCTCAGGAAAGTCTTGTCTTTCAGCTCCGCTTTCTAGAACTCTGAAATATGCAAATATTACCAATATTATTCTGGATGGCAAAAGGGGCTGAAAAAAGCGCTAAAATAAACTTTTTAAACCAAATGATGCAGCAAAGAGCGCAATTGACCTACCTGACCTACCTTCCTCGTTCTTCTTAGGCTTGGTTCATGACAGTGCTTCATTGCTGGTTCGAGGACCCTCTGGCTGACCGAAAAGCGAGAAACCGCACAAATACCGTGCAATTAGGCTGCAGATCCATAGCAGAGTACACTGTGGAATTTCACGACCTGGCATGCCAAGTTGACTGGCCAGAGGACATCCTCATAGCGGTTTTAAAGATGGGCTAAACAATGATATGTACAATGCCTGTGTTGCAAGGCCCCCTTGCAACACAGAACAAGTACCACGTGGCAAGATCATGGGAAAGATCACCCACAGAGAAAAGAGAAGCAACCAAGCCCCGGGCTTCACAAATCCAATCTACAGCCTGCTTTAAATGTGGCCAGGAAGGGCACCAAGCCGCAGAATGTAAGACCGGCTTTTCAGCCAAGAAGGCAAGCCCAACCCCTGTGGGGAAAACCACCGAGGCGCAGCCATGGGCCAGAAAAATGGCACTGAAGAGGGTGGAGGTCGTGAAGTTCACCCCATTAGCCAAAAAGGCTGAGAGAACTCCGACCCCAACAGATGATGACCAGGGGTTGACGGATGCTGACTCCGATGATGATCCCCTGGTAAGTGGCCCGGTTACACCAGTGACCATCCTCATAGAACTGAGCTTCCCTAAGTCAGGGTTGAAAGCCAATTTAAGGGTTCTATTAGACTCAGGCTGCACCAGGTGCTTGGTAAATCCAGCACTGGTCGAGAAACTGGGAATCCAACTGAGGAGACTAAAAGTCCTGATCGCATTCTGCCAACTAAATGGGTCTGTCACAGGAGGTACAAAAATGCATCAAGAGTTTAGAAACTAACAAAATATAATATGTTAAGCAATAGAATAAAAGATGCAGCAGAGTATTGGCAAAATGTAATCATCTTGGTCAGCCATTGTCAGCAATCTAACTAGCCCATCAAAAACAGCCTTTAATTAATTGAAAAGGAAGAGGGCATCCCAATGCATCCAAACCCTCCATTCATTGAGGGTTACAGGGATTATCAGAGCTAAGCTAGTTAAAATATCATGTGCCACAAATCATTTGGACTCCCAATTACAACAATGGATCCAAAAGCACTCTGGAGCTTAGTCTGTTACTGTAAGGAAGCTTAAACCCTTTCTAAACCAAAGCAACGGGTTTATATTAGATGAAAAGGACCAGTCTTTAGGAGATGATTAGGCTGGGCCTGAAGGAGGGGTCAAATGCGTCATCAGTCACGAGTCCCTTTGTGCCCACAAGAGATCTAAGTTCAGCCCACTTTGAATTCCTTTTTATTCTTAACTCCTGCTAATTTCCCTTAACCATTAGTAGTTCAGATTCTTGTAGAGAGCTTAAGCCTACAATAAATCTTTATACACATTTGAACTGCCTGAATCTCTGATTTCCTTGGTGCTTTACATAGCCCCCTCCAATCTGAAGAATGCCTCTCCTTCAGGTTTCACATCTGAGCCCTTAGATCACTAATGAAGGCCCTGCTCTACATAAAAAGCATATTCCCTCTTCCCTCCCCTCTCCCCCCCAGTCATATGGTATTTCTCACCAGAGGCTCAATGGAGAAGACTTTATTGTTGAAGAGCATTGCATCTTCATGGACAGTTGCCCGTCGGTTCTCAAAAGTACGGGTGACAATGGAGAGATGCTCACGAAGTGCTGGATTCATGTTGCATTCCATCAGAAGCTGATCAAGCACACTATTTTGTTCAGCCTGCAGGGTTTGACACATCCTAGAGACCCCAGGAGAAAGAGATGAAATGTCATATTTTGTAACAGACTCCAAAGAATGCTTGGTTATGAAGCAAAAAGGACTGACACCATGAGGATCACAATTGATCTTTGCATTCATAATATTCAAAGGAGCGATAACTGAAAATGACAGGACCTGTGAGGTGGACCATAGGAGAGCAGAGTTTGATGAACAGGACTGCTTCTAAATAAAGAACATTTTCAACAAGCAGACTGAGAAGAATGTTGAAATTAATATGATGAAATAAAATAAGGAGAAATAAAGAAATCTGCAAATGGATAAACCATGAAACACAAAAATTATATTATAAACTGGTATGTGTTGCAAAATTTGGAACAAATTTAATAAATAGATTACTGTGCACAAAAATGTATTCCTGGCCCATAACTCAAAAATAAGATATCATACCAAACTTACGTCTGTTTTTTCTCTTCGTCCTTTTCTTGTGTTGCAAACACTTTCCACTGAAAATGTGCAATGATATCACTGTGATTGTGTATGACCACAGACCTCTGGTTTGCTAAAGTGACATAAGTCTTCTCGATTGTCAAGGAGTTCTTATCAAGTCTCACGTTGACATCTGTAGCAGCTCCATACAAACTGACATGAATGTCTTCTCCTTGGAAAGTCAGAAAATTGTTAATTAAGTTAGCTATGTCTGTCTTTTGTAAAAAGGATTTGATTTAATTTCACAAAACATGATTTTATTTTACAGTAATCCAAGCAAAGAACCATATTCTTTAAATTAATTTATTAGCACAACCAAGCTTGTGAACTCTTTTGAATGTTCAGTATTTCTGCACAAATATGACCAAAAATATTCACACACACATCCAAAAAATAAATAGAGAATTCATTAAAGAAGTCAAAAACATTATGCTTATGTAAGTAAATGAACCTCTAGGATTATCAGTTCATTTGAAGGGGAAATTAGTGTCAGTTATTTTAATCAATGGGTTGATAATCAGGTGTGAGTGTGGGTGGTTCTGCTTTATTTAAAAAACAGCATTCTGAATATGGATTATCAAAGTCTGATCTTCACACAACACAGGGTATGGAAATGTGTCATTGAACAAACAAAGCAAATTTTTGAGATTTTTGAAAAACAATTGTTGATGCTCGTGAAACTTGAAAAGATCACAAACCATTTCCAAAATGGAATCCACTGTCAAGCAGATTATATACCTGTGGGGGCAATTCAACCCCTTTGTTACCCTCCCCAGAATCCCCAACCAAGGGCAAACAAGAGCAAACTGTGCAATGCTCTGGGACAGGGGTGTCAAACTCAATTGTGTCACGTGTTGTATCATGGTGTATCACGCTTTTTTGCCTTTGTGGAGCTGGGGTAGGCATGGCCTACGTGTGATGCAGCCAGCCTGCTGGTCACCATTTTGACATCCCTGCTCTGGGAGAAACCCTAAGGAGTTCAAGATGTCTAGCGAGGCGAAGGAATGGCATGCAGGTAGTCCTCAACGTACGATCACAATTGAGCCAAGCATTTTCATTGTGAAGTGAATCATGACCCATTTTACAACCTTTCTTGCCCTGATTGTTAGGTGAATCATTGCAGTTGTTAAGTTAGTAATGCGATTAGGTGAATCTGGTTCATCCATTGACTTTGCTTGTCAGAAAGTCACAAAAGGAGATCACATGACCCCAGGACACTGTGACCATCATAAATATGAATCAGTTGTCAAGTGTTTGAATTTTGATCACATGACCACAGGAATGCTGCAACAGTTGTGTGAAAAACAGCCATAAGTCACTTTTTCCAGTGCTGTTGTTAACCTTGAATGGTCACTAAACAAAATGGTTGTAAGTCAAGGACTACCTGTAGTCTGAGTTTCCTGGAGGGAAGGGGTGCATTCCAAAGGAATAAGAAGCAGCTCAGTGCAGGTATTTTGTGTGAGAGGAAGAGGGTGAAGACAGCTCCTCCCTAACAGTTCTCAGAGTAGGTGGTAGAGTTTCTCTCATTGGGAGTGGCTTATCTACAGTGTCATCAGATGCAAGAAAAATCTAATCCAGCAATGCAAGGCAATTGCAGAACATTTTAGTATTATGCATTAAAAAAGGAATAGTTGTAGGATGCATTGCTAGGATCCAAAGGCTTTGAAATCTCAGGATTCCATAAATGAAAAAAAAAATCTTGATTTCTCTGTTCTCACCTGTATCATAATGTATAACAAGGTCTTTAGAGTGGTTGCCACTTTTTTCTGGATAAAAGTCAATAGTGAATTGTGTGGTTTCATTTACTCCAAGAGTCCCAATGGAGGGTTTGACAGAAAATGGTCTGTAATTCAAAGAAGAAACATCCCTTATTATGGCCAGATTTACTTGATTAAATTATACATCAAACAAATGGTGGCTGGAAGTGAAATCGACAGTAGATGAGTCCTACAAGAACTTTATAAGTTCCTCCTCTTCTCACAATGAGACAATGGTTTCATTCAGACTGAGGCACAAACCTCACCTGTCTTCCCACCTCGTCCACAGCATTCTTCCCTGTTTTATTTCCATTTACTTTTACACAGCAGTCCCTGTGTTCTTAAAGGAAGATTTTTTGCCTTGAAGTTCTTTTAACGGTTTCATCTATCGGAACCATGAAACGTGACTCTGGGTGGCTTTAGGAAACAACTATATACACAGTATATAAAGGAAATATATTTGTAGCTCAGGATTGAAATGAGATCTCCTTGATACTCTCTATGCTTGGTTGTTTTCTTGCAGAAATTTCATTACCCAAACTAGATAATATCATGACTGATGTTACCTAGTTGGGTAACAAAACGTCTGCAAGAAAACAATCCAGCTCAGGGAGCACCAAAGACCCCTAACTGCCTTCTGCCACTTGGTCTCTCCTGCTTCCTCCTCATTTCCTTAAGCCCAATTCCCTGCTCCAATCTTCCCTTGCCGCTTCCATTGAGAACGTACAATCCCAAGAGAGGGTGGAGCTCGGCTTTCAAAGAAGCCTCATTCAGAGGCATATGAGGGGAGTTTAGTCTTCTCATGACGTCTCTTCCCCCTTTTCATTGCTACATTAGTGCTAAACCATTGCTTGCCACATCTGGAAGCACAGGAGGCGGTTGACCCACAAGAGGAGGGTGGCAAGGAAGGTGGCGAGTGTGAACAAGAGGCACACTCACTCGGATTCATGGCCTGCTGGAATACTTGAGCAGAATCACTGTTTTGGAGGAGGCAAAGTGCTGCTCAAAACCCCCAGCATTGGATAGAAGAGAGCATTGGCAGCTCAGGGTGGGCACTTTCCAACATAGCACAAAGGAGGTTTTCTGTAGTTGGTGAAAGTCTGCACTGTGCCTCTGTAACTACAAATCTGTCAAGTCTCTGAAAGATAAAAAGCCAAGCCACTGGCAGACTTATTGCTGATCTCTTGGGAGAAAATTCGAGACCTCACCTCTGGGTGGTAATCTGGTAGTAGGCCTCTCGGTTGCCAATGTTCCGAACAAGCAGGGTTTTCTGTGTAATGTACTTGACGGGACATGTGGAGAAATTCAGTTGGTCTGGGAAATCCAAAATGCCTCTGGCACCAATTGCTCGGATTGGGACAATGAATTTTTCTCTCTCAGTAATGCAAGTTAATTCATGGAAATAATCCTGAAAAGAAAGAAGAATGTGAAAAATGAGAACTCCCTCCATGACCCTTACAGAGCAGTTCAGAGCCCTTGCAGATAGGTAGTCCTCGACTTATGACTGTGCTTGGGACCAGAATCCTGGTCGTTGGACTTGATGTGTTTCTCAAAAGGAGATGTGAAAAATGTATAACGTAAAAGGCAATGTATAAATTAGTGTTATGGGAAAAAACATGGTTGGCAAGGATAGGGAAGTACGGAAAATCTCCACAAACTCATGGTGAGTTTGAAATATTCAGCAATTTTTTTGCAATACAGATATTCATTGTATATAGATAGAGTCAATACAAGTGCAAACCCTACTATTGAGGCTTGCTTAATAACCCATGGCTCTGTTCATACGTGTTAACTAAACCAAAACAATTATGCTAAGCAAGATGTGTCAAATCAGCTTCTGTCAATCTTCTCTTGTAAAACTACTTTCATTATAACATTGCTTCCATCATGACTCTGTACAACAGTGCATCAGGAAAGGGTCACCTTGTTCTCCTCAGGAGTGAAGAGAATGCGGAATGTGGATGGCATGCCGGGTGCGACTTTGTTGCACACATCATTGGGGCTGATGACTCTGAAGTAAGGTGAACTCTCACAAACAACCTTCACCAGCCGTGGGATCTGCAGGATATGTGGGGAATTAAAGGAGATGTTCAGTGAAAGATTAAGTCAACACCACAAGAAAACAGTGGGGTTTCTGTTTGGTAAATGGAGGGGGGGGGGCTGGTGACAATTAAATTATTTAAACCCCCTATAAGTCAAGACATAGGAAGTAGGCATGTTGAGCAAGAAAAAAATGCCCAGGGCAAATGGGAATAGAAGGACAGTCCTTTTTATTTATTCTTGCACTGTAATCCTATCATCCTGTTGCCACTGGATCAATTCTGGGATCTGTGTGGTGAAGACACCAAATAGAATTACATAGTCCACTCAACTTACAAGAGACTTACATTTAACCCAGAGCAAGGAGAGTCATGCACAACTAAACTAACTTGATAGTAGTGACATGATAGCAATCTTCTGATATTTATTCTCCAAAGCACCAGAAAGCAGGACAAGAAGCAATGGAAGCTAATCAAGAAGAGAAGCAACCTAGAACTAAGAAGAAATTTCCTGACAATGAGAACAATTAACCAGTGGAACAGCTTGCCTTTAGAAGTTGTGGGTGCTTCATCACTGGCAGCTTTTAAGAAGAGGCCAGACAGCCGTTCATCTGAAATGGGATAGGGCTCTTGCTTGTGCAGTGGGTTGGACTAGAAGACCTCCAAGGTCCCTTTTAACTGTGTTATTCTGTTACTCTGTTAACTCTATGTGGTTGTGTTGTTTTACACACCTAGTCTCAAGAAAACAAAACTGGAGACAAAGTGGCTGAAAAAAATCCAAGCTACATTACCAACAGAATACTGATTGCCTCAGCGACCTAGTCATGCTGCTTCTTTCTGCTCAGCCAACCAGAAAGCCATGATGCTTCCAAGTACATGAGTCTCTCTTTACAGAACCATAGAGCTGGAAGGAACCTAAGAGGTCATCAACTCCACTGCAAGATTCAGTATACCATCTCCTATCCAGCCTATTTGAAAATCTCCAGTGAAGGGAAAGAAGAGATACCTGCATGTAATCTTTCGGGGTGAAGACTTATTCCTTGTACTTTTTATAATGATTGGAAGTCACTTCTTTAAATATTTCTTTTCTCTTTTTTTATTCTTTCCTGGATTTTTTTCTTTCCTTTTTTCTTGCACTTTCTCTTATCTTTATTTTATTTTCCTTTCTGTGTTTAGTTTGTATTGTCTTTTTTTAATTCAATAAGAATTATTTTTAAAGAAGATGTAATTGCCCTTCTACTGTTGGAACATGTTGGACTTGTATTAGTACACTAGTACAGAGGTCCCCAACCTTTTGGGCACCAGGGACTGGTTCTGTGGAGAGAGGTTTTTCTGTGGACTGGATGGGGGGTGGTTTTGTGTGCTGCCTGCATCCCGCAGATGGGGCTTTGCTTGTTTGTGTGGACCGGTTGCTGGCATGCCACAGTCCGGTACTGGTCCACGGAGGTTGGGGACTCCTGCACTAGTATACCAAAGTCCTCCTCTTGAATGCTGCCCTTGAGCAAATTTCACCTAAGCTGCACATCTTTCTTTCATTTTTCTTAACAAGATGCATGATTTTACATTTCTTCTTGTTAAGTTTCATTTTATTTGTTTACTTCCAGCATTCTTTCGGAGTTTTTCTTAACTTTGTTCCTTCTCAAGTATTAGTTACCCATGCTAGCTTTGTATCATCTGCAGAATTGGTTTGCTGCATTTCCTCAACTCTCTCATCCAGAAAGCAAATCTTTCTCTTGAAATAACTTGTTAGGAGCATTATCTTGCAAATTTAGTTTCCTTCCAGATTTTGTAGTAACTTACTTTACATCAATAAAATGCAGAATTATTCTGATTCTTGTTATTTTCCTCATCATTTTTTCTCAGCTAAGCAAAGAATTGTACAACATGTTAAGATTATTTAATTTGTAATTATTTTGTCTTGTGATATATTTCTGAAAAATACATCCATCTCATCTGAAACTCTTTTAGGTTTCAAAGAGTTATAAGAAGTTTACAACTGGAGATTTTCTTTGAAACCTCAGAGGTTTTCCTCTCATGACCCTCTCTCCCCACAGACTTTATCCCAAGTCTGCTGATGAAGGCTACCTTGTCATTGTTCCTCAGGACCAGTGGTACTTCGTAGAGCTCACAGGGGGCATAGTTTTGAAAAACCACTTCTGATGGGAACGGTTGAAACAGAGTCCGGTCCAGATCAACTGAGGAGAACTGAAGATGCAGAGCAACAGATGGAAATGCTGGAGTTGCTTAGCGCAGTTACATTGCATCTATAACCGTTACAGCGTCAGGTAAAGAGCAGCTAACATTGGCAATAAGATCAAATAGACCAAAACAGTATACTTGACCGAAAAGTGAGATGAGTTTAAAACTCAGCCACAGTCCACAACTCAGGTTACCCGCAGCTACCTTTGTAAGTGAAGCCACGCCTGGGGGCTCTTTCAGCTCTGGCCATGTGGGGGCTTGGCAAGTCTCTGGGGCTTTGAAGAGCCGTGGTCGAGGCAGATATTCAGCCAGAAAACTTTCCCCCCCAGGAAAACTCTGACTGCTGGAAAGCCCAGAAGACTGGATAGATGCCCAGCTGCACTCCTGCCCTCAGGCATCAACTTATGGGATTGGTACATGTAGTCCTCGACTTACAACCATTCATTTAATGACTATTCAGTTACAACGGCACTGAAAAAAGTGACTCATGACTGTTTTTCACACTTACCACAGTTGCAGCAACCCCAGGGTCACGTGATTAATGTTCAGACATTTGGCAGCTGGCATGTACTTATGACGATCGCAGTGTCCCAGAATCACGTGATCCCCTTTTGTGACCTTCTGACAAGCAAAGTCCATGGGGAAGCCAGGTTAACTTAACCAAGATCCCTTCCAACTTTATTATTATTATTTATTTATTTTTTATTTTTATTATTATTATTATTATTATTATTATTATTATTATTATTATTATTATTATTATTATTATTATTATTAACTGCAGTGATTCACTTAACAACTGTGGCAAGAAAGGTCGAAAATGGAGCAAATGTCACTTAACAACTGCCTTGTTTAGCAATGGAAATTTTGAGCTGAATTGTGGTCATAAGTCGAGGACTACCTGTATTTGCTATTTGAGTATCTTGCAGGGGGGAAAAATCAGGCCAGCCTCTTGCTTTGGGGCTTCCTTGGCAAGCTTGTGCTCTGCATGAGCAAGGAAGAACTGATTCCCAGCCACTGAGATCTGGCTGGAGTAGCCAAGGGGGAGATTGTGGTTTCCTAGGCCACAGGGTGGGAGCAACCTGGCCTGGCCTCTTTCCAGTTAGATGTGATGAGGTGACAGGCTCAGGAGGAAAGGGCCTGGCACAACATTAAATGAGAACAAACGGCCACTGGTTTTATCATCACAAATTCCTTTAACAAACTAGGGGGGAGACAGGTTTCAAGCAGAGTATCAATTAAATCAGAATGAATTTTACACACATTTAATTTGAATTATATTTATTTATTTAAGTTATATTCCACCTTTGTTACTTTTATAAACAGCTCAAGGGGGCAAATATATCTAATACTCATTCCTTCTCCTAATTTTCCCACAACAATAACCTTATGAAGTTGGTTTGGATGAGAGAAAGTCATTGGCCCTAAGTCTAGGGACTAGACCCTAAGATGGGACTTTATTCATATACATCTAAATTCTGCTAACCGGAAGTCAATTAAATTGAAGGTTTACTTTAATAAATTGGTATTGTGTGGAGTAAAGTGAAAAACAACCCCACTTGGATGTTTTTGTTTGGATTGTTCCAACAAGATAAATACAGCTCCATTTTGCCATTTTGAGACATGGCCCCGATCATACAGAGGTGCACATTTTCCACTCCAACTTCATGGATGCCACATCAAATTTTGCCTCAGGATTTCTCAAACAATTCATATTACCTTTGGCATCTCTTCTCTTTTTTAATGTAAAAAATATACAAATATTTATTTATCTTTTTTAAGATAAGAAAATCCTGTGCCCTATATTTTGGTAAAAAAAATCAAACAATTTTTGAAATATTAATTTTCTTTCAACATACCCCTTGCATTTAATGTGGCAAGCAAAAACTCTTCCATGCCTGTGTATGGCAAGAAGCACCACAGGTCCTGCACTGAAGTGGAAGAAAATACTTACTTTCTGGTGTGAGGTTTCACTCATGTCCAAAAGCTGAATAATGCGAGGCAAGTGTACTTCATGGGTGCTTGCTAGCCTTTGTTCCGTTGTGAGAGACATCTCTTCCAGAAAAGCTGAGGGTGTCAGCTGTAAAGAGAAGCAAAAGTACATCAAAAACCTTCATCAAGATTGACTTTTCCTGCTGTTCCTGTTCCATCAGATGGGCTTACCATTGGTTGTGGTGGAGTCCGAGAAGAATTATGATTTCCCACTGAAACCCTTTAAAAAGTCATAAATGCAGATTGCCCATTTCAATTATTGGAACTTTCATTTGTAATAACATTAATTTGCAGCCTTCTTCTATGCCTCCCTATTTTCCTTAGGTTGAACAAAGCCATCTCCAAATGGATAATTGTGGAGAGGTTGCACTCTTTATGTTGCATTACACTGACTTGAAATTCCCTGCACCCTCCCTAGATCTCGTTGCACTTCTCCCCCAACCAACTAGTGCACCTTCCCTGACTTGAGCCTCCCATTTCTCCCCTCTTGCACTGCCAGTCCTGCCTGTGATTTCCTGCTCTCCCCCCCATGTCCTCTTGCTCCTTCCCCCACCTGGCAATTGCCAGCCTGGGACTTGCCACTTCCTACTTGCTTCCTCATTGAAACTTTGGTGTGAGAAGCTGGCAGGAAATTGCCTTGCCTAAAGACTATGGGATTCATGGAATTCAGGTAATGGCAGCTGCTGGGACTGCAGGGATTGCCATCACTTGTATAGCGATGGACATTCCAGTTCCAACTGCCATCTTAAATCAAGGACTACCAGCATTTCATTTCTTGGGTCCATTTATATCATCCTGACACTCCTCAATGAATTGGGTACTGGATCTGAAAAATGCAAATTCAATCTCAGACGTCACCTATTTTGGAACTGCATTTTTGGTTATGCTATTTTTTAAGATTTTTTTATCTAGCTTTATTATTTTTATAAATAACTCAAGCGACAAACATATCCAATACACCTTCCTCCTTTTCCCCCACAACAATAACTTGTGAGGTGAATTGGGCTGAGAGAGAGGAACTGGTCCAAAATCACCCAGCAGTTTTCATGCCTAAGGTAGGACTAGAACAGAGGTCCCCAACCTTTTGGGCACCAGGGATCGGTTCTATGAAGAGATGTTTTTCTGCAGACCGGAGGGTGCATGGTTTTGTGTGCTACCTGCATTCCGTGGATGGGGCTTTGCTTTTTGTGTGGACCGGTTGCTGGCATGTCGCAGCCTAGTACTGGTCCATGGACCAGGAGTTGAGGACCCCTGGACTAGAACACACAGCTTCCTGGTTTCTGGCATGGTGTTTTATTAGACCAAACTGGCTCTCAGTTACTTTTGCTTCCAGTTTACTTTCTGGGAAATGAGTGTTTTCAGACACTGATAGGAAACTATCAAGAAATCCCAAGGTTGATGACCAGACCATCACCCAGGCCTTCAGCAAGGAAGCGTGAAAACCCTCTAGTCATCATACTTGCTATCAATTTTTTTGTAATTTATTGATTTTATTGTAATTTCTTTGCTGGCTGGCATGCAAGTTTAATAAAGTATTGTTGTAATGCTGGGAAGTCAAAAATCAGCCAAGCAGAAGGTAATGGCAAACCATTAATGCTGTTAAGAAAACAACACAGTTGAAGCCATATAGTCACCAGGTGTCAAGGACATCCCAAGGAAGTTTTCCTTTATCCCATGACACATTTTCAAATATCTGCATGTGCCCATCCATCCCCAAAGGCTGTGACCCCTAAAAAGGAACATACCAGAACATCCTTCTTTTCTTCTGTAACCAACTTTGCATTGCGAGGTGCAACCACTTTGCTCTGAAATCCTTCTGGTAACTTCAAAGGAAGCAGCGATTTCCGGGCTCGATCCGTTAGCATCTTTGTCAGCCTCTGAAAGAAGAACAATAAGCTTCTTTAAAACAGGGCGTTGGGAAGGGGAGTTATCTGAAATGCATAGTAGTATTTGGGCTGTCAATGAGAAATAGACCGGTCCCTGCCAAGTGGTCAGATGCCCCCCAGGTTCCCTCCAGCCCAAAGCGGGAAGAATTGCGCGGAAGTTCCCGCGGGCGGAGTTCGCACTACCTCCCGACCCCCGCCGGGGCAAAGGCCTTTGCGTAAACTGGCATTTCAGGGTTCCAGGCTGTAAAAGCCGGAGCTGTAGACGGGGAGGAAATCCCAACTGCTCCCGACGTCTAGCAGAACCCGCCCGCTCGCCGCTTCGCCCACCGACGGCCGAGCCTTCCCGCACGTCGGGGGGAGGTAGGGGTTGGGGGGGCAAGCCCAGGCCCCACCCAGCGGATCGACGAGGCGATCCCTGAAACGCCTCCCGGAAGGTCCCCGACGGCGACGGCGGCTTCTCTAGAGCTGCGTTCGGAGCTGCGCCGGCGACGCTTCCGGCTCTCCTGCTCTCCGCCGACGGCGAGGCGTCCGAGGGAACGCGGCCCGGCCGAGCGCGCCCGTTCAACGCTCCGAAGCCCGGCACTCGGCTCCTCGACGCCGCCCGTTGTCCCGGCAACGCACTGCCGCGTCGCTATGGCAACGGTCGCACGCCCCACCTCCGACTGGAAATGCCTGGAAGCGTGCCGCGCGCGCGGCCTCGCGGGCGCGCCTCCCCCCCCCCCCGTCCTCCTCAGTCTCCTGGATGGCGGCTCGGCGAACCGCTCGGTTCACGTGCCCCGACGGCTCCCGCCTCCCCCGCGGGAGGCCAGGTCGCCCCGGTCTAGCGGCTCCGGTCTAGCGGAGCAGCCTCAGCTCCGGGACTGACTCGATGTCTCCGAGCTTCTTACAGTGATAAAACCCCAAACAAAAGCAGTGACACACACACCCCCTTTACTTAGAACCAGTTTAGAACAGGGGTCTCCAGACTTCGCAACTTTTAGATTTGTGGATTTCAGTTCCAGAATTCCCCAGGCAGCTATGCTGGCTGAGGAATTCTGGGAGTTGAAGTCCGCAAGTCTTAATGGTTGCAGAGCCTGCCTTAGAAGAACCGTGTGGGCTATGCGCTCCTCGCCTGCATTGCAGAGGGCAAGAGTCGCTGCAGCTTTGGCTTTGACATAAAATGATTGCGCTTCCTTCAAACACATCTCAATTACGGTTCCTCTCCAGTTCCTGGTTTGACTTGGTGAGGTTTCTAGCGTCATTCTGATTTTGTGAAGCATTCAGTTTGCAAGACTCTGGTTATACCGGTAGTAGAAAAGATGTCCAAATGTGGGCTGTTCTATAGCACCATTAGATGAGTCTACTTAGAGGTCCTTGGTTGTCTCTGAGCTCGGTTGTTTTTATGCAAAGGTGTCGTTACCTATAACATCAGTGCTAGAATAGTTAGCTTGAATATAATTAGTTGAATGATTGGAGCCTGTGTGTATTGATGAGTCCGTTGCAAGTTTGAACGGAAGTAGTGAGTAGGGCATTACAGGGCTCTAAGTTGGATGAGAGTTTTATATTTATAGTCCAATATTTAAGAGATAAGAACACATCAAATATAAAAAAGTTAAATAAAATTAAACGTTTACAGAAAACTCAGAAGCAAATTATTAGAGTATGGGAAGGTCCGAGTGATTTCTGCAAACCATGGTTGTTTTTAAAATTTCAGCAATTTAATTTTTTTAGGTTAAAAATAGCCGATCCCATAGGAGAAAAAAGATCATTTCCTATTCAGAGGAAGAGCAATTCAGATGTTAACAGTAGTGAAATTCCTGCCTTCCTTTTAACGGGCAAAAGGCACTCTGGCGGTGCACGTGAAACAGATTGCATCGCAACATGTCCGAGGGCAATGATTTCGGTCTCGGAGCCCGACGCATCTACCCGGTGCGCCCTGACACGTAACTGCGGAGGCGGCCGAGGCGAAGAGCGGCCTGCCCGTTGCGCAGGGTTCGCCAAGCTTAGCAACTTTTAAGACTTGTGGCATTCAACTCCCACCAGCCATTACGCAAACCCATGCTGGCTGAGCAATTCTGGGAGTTGAAGTCTGAAAGTTGCCAGCGTGGAAACCGCCGCGTTGGGAGACAATCCAGGCCCACCCGCCCCTTGGGAGCCCCGAGCAACAGCTCGCCCGAAGAGCCTCGCCACCTGGGCCCTCCGTGGGTGGGAGGGGCTTCGACGCGCGCGCCCCGGCCAGCGGCCACGGATCCGCCTCCGCCCTTCGCAGCCAATGGAAAGGCGGTAGGCGCTGGGGCCTATGCGCAGGCGCACGGGCTGAGGAAACGCTGGGCACCGGGACAGCTCGGGAGGCGACATGGCGCAGCCCTACGCGCCGGTGGAGGCCGCGCTCGGTCCCGAGGAGAACTTCCTTTCGCTGGCCGACATCCTTATGTCGCAGGAGCGTCTGCCGGGCCGGGCCGAGGTCGCCTGGCCTCGCTTGGCTGGCGTCCTGGCCAGGGCCGCCGCGGCCGCTGCGCCTAGCAAGGCGCTCCCGGAGGTGAGAGCTACCCCGTGCTGCTGCGGACTACAGCTCCCGGCGGCCGCGCGGCGGAAGTAGCGTCTGCCCGGAAGTACGGAACCCTTGGCTGGCTGGTCTTGAGGCTGCTCTGGGGCTTCCTTTAGACGGGCGACGGCGGCTCCGGGCCCGAGTGGATTATAGCCGGCGGTGCTTCAGGCTAGGCCTCGTCTGTGTCCAGCAGCCTCGCTGGCAGGGAGAGGCCAAGGAATGGCTGCCCCAAATGCTCTCGAACGCCTCCGCCCGAGGAAGCGGAGTGCTGACATCCCGGTCCCCGTGCTCAGATTCGAGATCGCCGGGGGGGGGGGGATTCCATGGGTTTCGAAGCCTTTCTTGACTTTGTAAGTTTCGCCTTGGCTGAGCGAGGCCCGCCCCATCTCAGAAACGCCTTTGGGTCTGCCTCCGCCACTCAATCGCAGCTTCTTTCCCTCGCAAGAGCAGTCGCGACTGCTTGCTCTAGACAGACAGTTAAACAGTTAAAGCGAGGAGCGATGTGGAAAATCCTGTTGCTGCAGATGTCTTGCACTTGGCTGATCCCTAGTGAATTTCTCTACTTTCAGGGCTACTCAGAGTAGCATTAGGGGTGTTCAGTTGTGGTTTACCTTCTGTGGTTTAGCTTTTTTGTGTTCTTTCCAATTATCCAGGGTTCAAAGTTGGAAATCCCTCTCTGGTTGGCCAAAGGCTTGTATGACAAGCGGAGGATTATTTCTGTGGAGCTGCCAAAAGTTTACAAGGAGAGCTGGCGGACAGTGTTTAATGCTGATGCCAGTGTGGTTGACCTGCATAAATTGGGGCCATATTACTATGGATTTGGGTCCCAGTTACTCAATTTTGACAATCCTGAAAATACTGAATTAGCTCAATCTATACTACAGGTAAAAGGTCTGCTTCTTACCGCTTATAATTCTTCATTATTATTTGAAACTTGTTATAGCCACCCATTCCAGTACTCTAGTTCCCTTATAAATAAAAAAAAGGTTAAAAACATACAATACCACAAGCCCAGTCATAACAGTAACAAACCAGACCAGAGCCCTGGGAATACATGACTGTAACCCTAGGCTTGATAACAAAGCTAGGACATAAGGGGTTTTAGGAACCCCAAGAGAGGGCATTGTCACCAGAGCCTGGTGGCACAGTGGTTAGAATGCAGTACTGCAGGCTACTTCTGCTGGTTGCCGCCTGCCAGCAGTTTGGCAGTTCGAATCTCATCAACTCAAGGTTGATCGGTAAAATGAAGACCCAGATTGTTGGGGGCAATATACTGACTCTGTAAACCGCTTAAGAGAGGGCTGTAAAAGCACTATGAAGCAGTATATAAATCTAAGTGCTATTGCTATCTATGGGGGTAGGCTGTTCCAGAGGGTGGGAGCCATGAGAGGGAAGGCATGCTTCCTCACACTTGTAATGTGACAACATAGAGGGGACTAGAACACACCCACTCTGCTAAAAGGACCTCTGTCCTTGTTCTTCGAAATATAAGCTACCAATGAGTTTGTTTCTCCTTGTTCGACCTTGTTGCAATGAACAAGGACATACATTCAATTTTGCAGCTACTGTGTTTCCCTGAAAGTAAGACCTACCCCAAAAATAAGCCCTAGCTTGATTTTTGGGAGTGGACTAATATAAGCCCTACCTCAAAAATAAGTCCTAACTTTGGGCGAGGCACACGCCTAAAAATCAAGCTAGGGCAGGGTGTAGCTTACCATTGCAGCCAGGTCTCCCAAAGGTCGACACTTGCCTTGCCAGCCCACCTTCTGCAGCCGAAGGAGCAGCTTCATTCTGCAGCTGAGAATGGAGCTCGGGCCTGCATTTCACAGTCAGGCCTTTCCGGAAGGCCTGTTCAGCCGAGAACCAAACTATGGATTCAATCTGTAGCTCGGTTCTCAGCTGCACAGGCCTTCCGGAAAGGCCTCTTGATGGTGAAATGCTGTCCCAAGCTCCATTCTCAGCTGCAGAATGAAGCTGCTCCTTCAGCCACAGAAGAAGTGGGCCGGCTGGGCAAGATGAGTGGAAAAGACACCCCCCCCCCAAAAAAAAGACCTGATGCCTCTTTTGGAGGCAAAAAAACCACAAGACCGGGTCTTTATTTTCGGGGAAACACAGTACTAAGATTGTTGGACGAGCGGGCACAAAAACAGCTGGGGAAGTAATAATAATAATAATATAATAATAATAATATTATAATAATAATAAAGTTGGAAGGGACCTTGGAGGTCATCAAGTCCAACCCCCTGCTCAGGCAGGTAACCCTATACCATTTCGGACAAATGACTGTCCAGTCTCTTCTTAAAAACTTCCAGTGTTGGAGCATTCACTGCTTCTGGAGGCAGGTTGTTCCACTGGTTAATTGTTCTGTCAGGAAATTTCTCCTTAGTTCTAGGTTGCTTCTCTCCTTGATTAGTTTCCATCCCTTGCTTCTTGTCCCGCCCTCAGGCGCCTTGGAAATTGAATAGTGATTGAAGCCTGGGAAATGGGCCCTTTGTCAGTCAACAGGAGTGCTGATTTATTGCCAGCTTATCAAGTTCTTAGGAGGTGAGGGCTTGTTAGCACAAGGAAACAACAGCCAACAACTTAATAGCCATGGACACCCCAATCCATCGCTACAAAACTACACATAACAGGCATCATATAAATATCACACACAGAATAGCCCAACACACACACACTATTAGAGAGACGTTCCCTGAGGAAGGGCTCTAGCATGAGTCCAAAACCTCAGAAGACAACCTCTGGTTCCGGTGGCCCACTCAGACTGGTTCATGCAACATTAACCTGGGACACGTATGTTCGCCTTCATTCATGTTGTATTTTGTTACCCAAAGAAAAAATATTTTTAAACAATTTTTACCAGAATATTTGTAATGAAAATATTAAAAGTGTTTTTATTGGGGTATATACATTTGTTTATTACATTTTACTACTGGAGGCTGATATTTGTGCTGTTAAACAGAAGACTGCAAGAGCATGTTTTTAGCCCAAAGGCACAATTATAATGGCTTTTGGTAATAAGAAGGCACTACTAACGAGAGAGGCAACCCCAAATATAAGCAGAGAAAAATAACCACAATTTTCAGTAGAGTGATACAGGAAATCCTTATTTAACAAAACTCAGTTTAGCAAACTTAAATTTAATGGACATAATCTATTTAAAAGCTCTTTTATCATTTTATACAGTATATGCAGGTATGAAATTAATTTTAAGCATATATAAAAATATTAAAACCCTATTTGGGATTTAACAAAAATTCTACTTCAATGAACACAAGTTTTATGTTATCAGGTTCAGGTTATAGAAATCTGGAAAATATAAAATGGTAGCAAAATACCATTTTCTTATCCCGGTGCAGCCATTTAGTAGTTGCCCAGATGGCAACCTCTGGTATTAGAGCCATCTGAAATATTATTTTGATGCTTGTTATTGTGACTATAAAATTTTCCATTCCAGAAGGGCTTTGAACTGATCCTTGGGATAGGAATGGGGTGGTTATTTATCAGTTCTGAGTTATGATTGCAGCCTTGGTTCAGCAATGATGTCATTCAGGTATTGCTGCTGAGTGAGATGCATAGAATCCATTTCAAGGGCAGTCGGATCTTTCATTTCATTCTGGCAGCCTTTGAATGTGAATTGGGGATCTCTTGCCATCCAATGCTGCTGTACTCCAGCTCCCAAAGGCCTTGCCTAGAATGGTAATGAGGATGACTGCTAGGACAGGATGAGGCAGCTATGTTGGACTTATTCCTAATGTTAAATGGCACTGCCTAGTTTTGCTGGGAATTGAAATTTTCAGACCCCTGTGATGTCGAGCTGCTCCATCTTCCCATTCCCAGGTTAAACAATTTCACGATTAAAATGTAGCCTGGCACAGAAACAGTTTTTTTGTATCCTAGAATCAGGTAGTCGCTATGAAGTCTCTACATGAAAGTGATTGCATTTGTTGCAGAAGTTACCAATCTTTTCTTTGCGAGGATCCAAGCCAACGTTTTCTATGCTAAATAGATCTATTTCTGTTGATAGACATTTATTGGCCGTTTCCGTCACATCATGGACTCTTCCCAGAATACTTTCAATGAGGACACGTCTGCGTTGGTGGCCCGACTGGATGAGTTGGAGCGGGCCTTATTTCAGACTGGCCAGAAGGGACTCCATGACTTCCAGTGCTGGGAAATGGGTAAGGCCTCCCAGATCACGGTATCTAACCTCATCCAGAATTACAAAAAGAGAAAATTCACTGACATGGACAGCTGAGATCACAAAGACTGGGTGAGGCCTTGTAGGAAACATTTGTGAATTTATGCTTGGGTTCAGGCACTGAGAAGAATCAATGTTCACATATCCAATTAAAATTGTTTCCAGTGGTAGTTTGAAGTTAGATCCAAACAATGTTCTGGCTCTGAAGGAATAGATACAGCAGTGGCAAAAAATCGCATTGGGAAATAACATTTCAATGTTTTTATTAGATCTTTGTTTTAATAATTTAAAGAAAGACTCTAGAAATGCATGGAATAATTAGCTATTGTCCAGCAAGTTTTCTGTAGCAAACAATGAAAATGTAAGCAGATAGCTATCCTTTTTTAGTCCCAGTTTCCTGTTTCTTGCCAGTAAAGTGGCCTTTCCTAGGACCATCAGAACAGGTCCAAGGAGTGTAGCCTGCGTCTTAACACTCACAAAGATGATGAGAAATGCAGGCTCTTAAAAGCTGCACTTCTGTGACCACCTCCGGGGTCTCAGGACAAACAGTTCTTTCTGTTAAAGAGCTGCTTATAAGTGGTTCTAACACTTCATGTGATCTTGGTACTGTGACAGACAAATGGTTGTCCAATATTTTTTTGAAAACATTCAGTAATGAAAGACCCACAACTCTGGAGACAAGCTGTTCCATTGTTTGTTTGTACTTCCAGGAAATTTCTCCTTATTTCTTATTTCTTTTCTTGTTCTAATCTAAACCAAAGCACTTGTGGGCAGGACACAAAGTAATGAGTGAAAACTTATCAAGGAGAGATCAATTTGAGATCCTTTTCCAGCCCCCAGGCCCAATGCCTTAGCAAGTCTTCAAGCAGGCCTTATGAAGGATCAGCAGCATTGGAGCTGGTTTGGTTGTGTGTGGGCTTGCAATGCTCTCCTCTCAAGATCTGATGGATGGACAGACACAATCCAGGAGAGGGATCTTCCCAGTCAGCTGGCTGCATCTCGTGAAAGGCTTTGTGCGTGATTACCCACGCCTTGAACTGAATCCAGAAGAGCTACCACAATAGTAACATAAATATTTTAACCTTAATTTAGTTTATTATTTTCTATAGACAGAATTTTATTTTGATCATTGACTAATAAAAGTACAACAAATGAACACAAAACTATTCTGTAACAACAAGAACTATCATTAGCAATCACTTGTGGGCAAACATTACACATAATATGGCAAAATGTTGCTACTTTTAGAGAAATAAATTTATCTTGATTATTATCAGAGTACCCTGGAAGTTTAAATTTAAATTTTGTGATATTAAAATTTTGTTTTGAGACTTGAATGGGCATGTTGAGATGCGAATAACACTGTCGTTGGCCGAGAATCCAAATGACTAGCAATAAATATTAGAAATGTGTGATGGAATTTTATTCATTTGCTTATGATGAGAACATGAGAGAAGTTAACATGTACACACAATTCATGTAATTATATAGTGACATAGAATGAACATCTGCGATGCAACAAGAAGTAGAGATCAGGATGGAATTATCGCAAGTTATAGGCAAATGGTGCGAAACTAACAAGCAGTTGGAGCAAACTTTATCGCGAAGGTGCTGTTGGTCAAAATAAATGGGTTTAAATTGTTTATGCATTCGTTTCTATGGAAACACATCTCCGCTGAACTGAACATGAAAAAACTGCTTTGACAGAGAGCCTTAAACAGATGCGAGGGGGGAATCAGAAATGCTAATGGTGCATAACCGCTGTGGGGTTGGTATCTACGGAGTTTCTGCCTGTTCAACTATGCGGCCCTCCCAAAACTTCAAGTGAGCCGATGCTAGTGACCGGGTCGCCCATGGAGGCTTCCAGTCTGGGTGGCAGGGGACAAGCAGCGGGTCCTCACTGCTCAGGGACCGAGGAGGCAAACCCTGCTCAGGATCCAGGCAGGAGGAAGGCCGGCCCAGAAAGTGGGCATCGGCGTAGATCCAGGCAGCGAAGGCCCCGGTTGCCCGGGCCAAGGTGGGGGTGAGTGGGGAGGGGGCTGGTCCCTCTGAGAAAGCTAGCCCTGAGCTGCTCGGGAAGAGCCGAGAGGAGACCCTGCCCAGACCTTTGCAGAACAGGGGAAGGATTGCCAGACATAAAGACCTGCTCGCTTTTTCATGGGGCGCTGTCAACAGAATTACCCGATTTTAATAAAAGCATTTCGCTGACTACCAATAAAGGAGAATATTTATAACCCAGGGTTGAAATGAGGCCTCCTCGCTGCTCCCTGAACTTGGTGGGTTTCTGGCAGACGTCTCATTACCCAACTAGGTAACATCAGTGCCACGTCGTCGCGTATATCTCAGGGGTTGCCATAAAGAAGAGGGAGTCAAGCTATTTTCCAAAGCGCCTGGAGGCAGGACAAGAAGCAACGGGTGGAAACTAATCAAAGAGAAGCAATCTAGAACTAAGGAGAAACTTCCTGATAGTTAGAACAATTAACCAGTGGAACAGCCTGCCTCCAGAAGCGGTGAATGCTCCAACACTGGAAGTTTTTAAGAAGAGACTGGTCAGCCATTTGTCCGAAATGGTATAGGGTTTCCTGCCTGAGCAGGGGGTTGGACTAGATGACCTTCAAGGTCCCTTCCAACTTTACTATTATTATTATTATTATTATTATTATCTTCATCACTAGTCTCGCACTTGCCTAGCTCGGGTAATGCACCAGAGTCTGCCAGAAAACCACCAAGCTCCGGGGCGCGCCCTTTCGCTAAGCGTCGGCATCCCAACTGCGGCACCGGGGGCTCCTCGCCCGGCCCTGGCCAGAGGCGCTCCGGGCCCCGACCTCCCCTGGGGCACCTTCAGGGAGGAGGCAGGGGGAGCGCAGGACGCATCTTCGGCCCCGCAGCCGACAGAGCTTCCGGCGCCCGGTCGTTCACAGGTGCGGCCGGGCCGGCCTCCCTTCGCCCACAGAGACCCCGCCGCGGCCTCACGGGGCGGCGGGCCGGGAGCGGACTTGCCCCGCCCCGCCTTGCCTTGCCTCCCCCCTACGCGCAGCGTCGATCCGGAGGGAGCCGGTCAGGGAAGCTCCGCCCCGAAGTGGCCGGGGAGAGCCGGAGCCGGAGACGCTCCCGGGCCGGACCGCGCAGCAAGCAGCCTAGCGGGTCTCCTCCCGCCTCACCAGCCGCCCGTAAGTGGCCCCGCGCTCGCTCGCTCGCTCGCTCGCTCGCCCACCCCCCCCCGAAGGACGTGCAAGGCAGCCGGGGGGCGGCGGGGCTTGGAGCCCCTCCCGGGCCCGCCCGCTTCCCTTTTGGAGCGAGGCCCGACGCCCTCCCCTCCCCTCCCCTCCCCGCCGCTTGCACGCCCGGCTCCGCAGAGCCTCCGCCGCCATGAGGGGCTGGGGACAGAAGCTGGAGCTGTTGACAGGTAGCGCGCCTCGTGGGCGGCTCGGGGAGGGGAGGGGCGGCCGTTGCGCCCCGCAACCTCTAGCGAAACCCGGCCGGGCCGGCGAAGGCTCGCTCGCCCGCCCGCCCTGCCCTGCCCTGCCCTGCCCTGCCCGCTCGGGGTGCCGGGGGGCTTCGGCCGCGGGGCCGCGAGCCCTGCCGGGTCGGAGCGCGTCCTTCTCGGCGCAGGAGTCGCTCCAGCCCCCCCGCCGCAACCGGCCGTCGCCCAGGGCAGCGAGCGCCGGAGTCGGCGACTGCGGGTGATATAAAGCCTCCGCCCGTCCCCGCAGCGGCGCTTCAAGCCCTGCTTGGCGGCCCCAGGGGCCGCCCTGGAGGGCCTCCGGAGACTCGGGAAGGCGGTCTGGCCGCGGGCAGGTGGTTCCCCGACCGGGCGCGTCCCGGAGGGCGATGCCTCCTGTTTCGGGAGCTGGAGGGGGGAACGGTCCTGTGGAACATCTGGGGCTGGGCTGGGAAGGCTCCCGATGCCCAGGATGCGGGAGTCGCTGTGCCAGGTTGATGGGCCTGTATGAAAGAAATTGATGAAACAAACTGCTGCTTCAGATTTCCTTGGCAGGAAGTCTTAGGGCCTGCTTAATGCCAGGATTGAAAGGATCCAGTGCCGCATGATCTGCATGGAGCCACTGGCAGGCGTTGCCGGGGGGAGGGGCTGCTCACCGAATCCCCCCTTGGAAATCTCTCTTTTATTTGTTTGCTCCTCCAGTAACCTTCCTCTTCCTCTTCCTCTTCCTCGTCTTCGCTCTGAGTGCTTTGGGGGAGAGAAGGGTGCAAACAGAGAAGCAGAAACCAGATTTTCTCAAGCGGTGGTGGCTGGAACCTCGCTTGGTGCAAGGATGGCAGCAAAGTCGCTGGCCTGGAGCTTTCCTTTCCTCCAGTTATTCCTCTGCATGAGCTAGTCTCTCTGCCAAATTCTCTTTGGGGAGAGAAAAGGAGGAAAGAGAGGGGGCAGCTCCGCCCTTCAACTGCACAGGGTTAGTGCTGATGTACTGACATTGCTCATGGGAAGAGGCAGCCTTTTAAGAAGAGGCTAGACAGTCACCTGTCTGAGATGGTATAGGTTCTCCTGCTTGAGCAGGGGGCTGGACTAGAAGATCTCCAAGGTCCCTCCCAGCTCTATTCTATTCCCCAGAACGATTCTCTCATCTCCCTGATGTCAGTGGGTGACCGCCTCAGATCAGGCTTTGTCTTGAATAAAACAGCCACCCAGAGGGAGAGGAGCAGGGCAGGGTGAACTTGGCAGGGGGCAGAGGTGAGGGAAGCACCTGAAGGCCAGGACTGTGCAGAGACCAGCGATGGGGGCTCCTGTCCTGGAGGCCATTTGCGGGCCAGATATTCTTCTGATTCTAGGCAGCTTATGGCATATGAGAGAAAACTAATAAAGCCATAGGATCCATCCCTTAAATCAATAAATAATAAACACCTTGATTGAAAGTTGGACAGTAGTCCACAACTAGCTAAAGCAAGTGGGAAAGAGCTGTTTCCACTCTTTCCAAACCATCAGCGTGGGGGTAGTGGACATAATCTCAGGTGCCAACTGTTCCAGAGGCAGGAGAGCTCTCGCCAAAAAAGTCCCAGCCCTCCAGGGTGAGGGACTCATTTGACTGTCTACAGATTCTGCCTGAAGAAGACAGTCCCAAAGAAAGGTTACTAGGCCCGACCCCTTGGATGGTGTTTTTTTTTTCTGCAGCTATTCCATCTCCTCCCTCAAAGCATTTCTCATGGTATGAAAATGAAAGTTAGAGGAGAATTAAAGAACAGAAAATTGCAAATCACCCTCAACAGATTTATGTGAGAGATGAGGCTGCATTCTCCAAAGTGCCTGAAGGCAGGACAAGAAGCAACAAATGGAAATTAATCAAGGAGAGAAGCAACCGAGAACTGAGGAGAAATTTCCTGACAGAACAATTAGCCAGTGGAACAGCTTGCCTCTGGAAATTGTGGGTGCTCCATCACTGGAGGTTTTTAAGAAGAGATTGGACAGCCACTTGTTTGGAATGGTACAGGGTCTCCTGCTTCAGAAAGGGTTGGACTAGAAGACCTCCAGAGTCCCTTCCAACTCTGTTACAGGAAGCCTCATTTCTCAGCTCCTTCGGGGACTAAATTTCATCCCAAAGTTAACCATTGTACAGAGAGTGGCAGAGGAGCAGCTGTAAAGCAACACAATCTGATGGGTTGTTGACTAGAAATCTTGGACATCACCAGTATGAAGTAAAGTGTGACTAAATGCAAAAAATGATGCAAAATAGTCACTGAATAGATGCCAGCCACATCCTGTGGCTTTTTGAGACACCCCCCCCCGAAACTGAGAAATGGCTCTGTTGCCCTGCCCAGCAATGCTCTTCAGGAATGGGGTCTAGGCCTTTGGCTTCAGTCCCCTCCTGCAGAGGGGAGGCAGGCGGGCAGTGCTCTGCCTTTTGTCTCAACCTCAGATTTTAAGTACTTTCTGACAGATTTCTGTCCCTTCCAGGTTTTGCTTATTGTTTCACCCTCTCAAGACAAATTCAACAGTTTTGGAAATTCTCACTATTCTAAAATTAATTTTGCTGGTTTCTGAGAATAATGTAATCACACGGTCATTTTGAGCTCATGTTAACATTAGAAAGGTGTGTTGTGTGGCAGGTTTGCAGCCCACCAACTTTGAATAAAGCCTCCTTGGCCCAGTCAGAGTCCCTGGTTGTTGCCAGCGGTTGCCCTCTCAGTAACAGGAGACAGGAACTATTTTGGGAGATACTCCTTCATTCCTCAGGACCTGCAACCAGAGCTTCTCTTTCACCGCTTGTTGTTTGGCCAAGGACTCACATTTTTTCGGGAGGGGGAGTCCTCTTTTGGCTGGGTGTGCAGAGCTGGGGGAGCAGCCAACCTCAGGGGGCTTTTCAGGGTCTTCTGCCCCATCCCTATGGCCCCATGCAACCCAAGCTTTTAACCCTGGTTAAACCAAAGTGCACATGGGCAAACCACAGCCCTCCCTCCTCAAACCTGGGCAGGTTTCCAGGGGGCTTTAACCCTTTGCCCTGCCCCCCACCCCAGTTGCTGATGTGAATATGACCAGGCACATAGTGCTTTGCAGTCTTGACTAGGAGGGCCAGCTATCAAAGTAGGACAGACAGACATTCCAGGATTGGGGCAAACTACTGACTAATGTAGGTTTGTTTCATTGCCCAGGATTGTTGCTCCAGGAAGTGACCATGGCTAGCCTACACGAGCAGCGATTTACAGAGGAGAAGCCTCTGCTCCGTGGACAAGATGCTGAAATGGTGAGTCCTTCGTGTCTCCCCTGGAGTTCTGATTCTGCTGAGCTCGGAGGCAGGGCCTTCGGCTCTGTGAGAGTCTGCCTGGAGCTGGTGATAAGGGCACAGAACGGCAAGCTGGGATTCAGGCGGGCCTGGGCAATCTGCTCTTTGCCATCATTTTGGATCCTGGCAAGAGCCACTTGTGTGTTCCAGCAGCATGGAGAACTCAGCTCCCTCCCTGGGAGGTATGCAAGTCGTGGAAAAAAGGGAGGATTGTAATGCTGCTTCCCAGGCTGTGTTCCTCCCCAGTAGATTCAGCTGGTTTGTTTCCTGGCAGAAGGGTGGTGGGAGCAAACTAAGAGGAAACAGACCCTGAGGACAAGAGAAAGAAAAGAGCAAATGCAAAGAAACATCCAGAGAAAGAGCAGCTGACCTCATAGGCCACATCCCAGCCTGGGCTCCCATATCCTGCTTGGCCCTGAAAGCCCCAGGAAAGACGCCCTTTCCCTGGGATCTCTTCCAACTTCCCAGTCCAGCATACAATCCCAGCATTTCCACATATTAACCTGGCTGGATTCTGCTTCGCTTTTCCCAGGATGAGCCAAAATTCCATTGGACACCTATATTTATAATATGGGTGGGCCCCAAGTTGGCAACGGAGGTTACTAGATGAGTCTCTTTGCAGGACCCCACCCCCAGTGCTTTTCTGGCCGTGGGATCCATGGGAATCAGAAGAGTTGCAAGTGTTTGATTTTATGTCTTTCCTTCCAGGAGAATTCAGACACTTTCCTGCCTGCAGTGGACATTGACTGGAAGGTAAGGTTGCAGGGTGCCCATTTTGCCTGCCTTACTCAGGAAAGGATGGGGGAGTTGCCACTTTGGCAGGACCAAAGTTTCAGAAGTGGCAGAATGCCAACAAAAAAGAATCACTTGGGGTCCCATTCTAGGTGGGTTTATTTCTTGTACCCAAGAAGGTCGGAGTGCTGCCCAGGCCCCTAGCAGGTGGATCTCAGGCCGTAGGATATTGGCTAGAAATGTACATTTCATTTAGTGAATGAGGGCCTAAATAGAAATTGCAGCTTGCATAGAGTAGTGTGAGCAAAGTCGGAGTAAGACTGAGCTGTGGTGTACTTGTGGCACACTGGCTAAATGTGCCCAAACTGACCGGCATCATCTTTGCTGTCAGCAGGGATGGTGGCAGATGGCATGGCACGCCTAAGGCTGGTAGCTGGTTGATGTTTTGTTTGACATTTAAAATGCATTATTCAAAAACCTAAACTGAGCAACTCTACAAGGGCATCAGAAGCCGATGTCTGGTGCTGCCCGTGGCCTTTGGAAGGCTGCAGTTGGATGTGTGACAAGTGAAAGGCACAAATGGCATGAATGGGAAGCATGAAAGGGAAGGGCAAAGCAGCCGCTGGCTTTCTGTAAGTAAAAGGCTTGTTCATGCACCCCCCTTACGTCTTTCCTCCCCGTCCTTGAGATGGGAAGAAATGGGGTCAATACAGAAGCCTCCCAGCCTGCCTTCGCAAGGCAAGTGGGGTGCAGAACCCTTGCAGAAATGGTGACTTTCAAGCCATGACTGGTTCTCCTCTTTCTCAGAGGAAAGCAGGAGCTGGTGAAACCCAAGAAGGGGCTGAAAGAAGAATTTCAAGGCAGGGCTGAAGACAATCAGAAATAAAGAGATGTACAGGAACAAGAAAGGGGAGGGGGAATAAAAAGAGGAGTGGGGCTTCCTTCCCCTCCCTCCTTTTCTGCTTTTGCATTCTGCTTTTATCCAGCAGCCACATTGTTTTCTTTGGCAAAGGGGATACCAGCACAAGGGATGAAGTGGCTTATCTTGGTGAAATGAGGATGGCGGTGATTCCTTGGAAGTGGGAAAGTCAGGGAAGAGAACCATAGAAAGGGACTGGTAGAGGTTGCAGGAGTCCAGTCTGTCTTGTTTGGAACATCCTTAGCCTGGCCAACCAAGGAAGCGTGGCCAGTAATTAGGAATGGTGGCGCCTATAGTCCAAAATATCTCAGCTAGGCCAAGTTGCTGCAACAGCCAAGGGCTGGAACGAAGCGAGCTGGCGAGGGGAGAATTGATCCTCACCAGTTCTGATGGAAGAGAGCGCGGAGCCCCCTGGTGGCCACAGGCTAGCGTGGTGTGGCCGGCCGGTGGGACCAGCCCGGCTTCAGCACCAAGGACAGCGGGCGCCCGCCTCCGTTCCCCCCCCCCCGCACTTGCCTGGGCGGCGGCGGGGGGAGGGGGTGCGTCAAATTGGCGTCTTCAAACAGAATCTGCCACATTTGGCGGGTTGTTTTTTTTTTCATTTTAAAATTAGACTATCAGCTTCCCACAATGGTGATAAGTTGAAGATGTAACCATGGAGTCCTAGAAGTCCCCTGCAAATTGCTTAGATGGTTACATTTTTTGTTTTCCTTTGCCAATTATAGAAAATTAGCATCTGGGCCTCATTTAATAAGGCTCTTTAATGGGCTGATAGAATCTGACCTCCTTATAGAGTTGTGGCCAAAGGGGCACTTGAGAGTCAGCACAGAGAAGGAGGTAACCTCCAGTCTTGAAAGGGAGGTGGAGGGGGCCTTGGGCTGGTCGCTGGCTCTTAGCTTGTTCAACTCACAGGCAGGTTGTAAGGATGAGCTTCTTGATTAGGTTAGAAACGTCACAAATAATTCATATTCTTGATTCACAGACAAGTTTAGGACAGCATTTGATATTTTGGGGGAGGTGCTGGGAAGTATTCATTTTGTTGGCTCAGATTCGGGTTCTAGTCCACCAAGGCACCCAGATAATTTTCACAACCACTGTACAATCTCCCTAGTCCTATTGCTTCCCTTTGGCTTTTACTAATCAAATGTAGATATTTACATTTGCTTCTGCTGCAATTAATCTTGCTGGTTTTTGTCCTCCAGCTTATCAAGATGGTCCTGTCCTCTCTGACTTTGCAATTTTTGTGTCACCTGGAAATGTGATAATCACGCTTCCTAACTCCTAATCCAATTAATTGATAAGTAGGTTGAACAGCACCAGGGCCTAGAACAGAACACTTTGCTCTACCTTGATGCAGAGCCAGTAAGGTCAATTCAAAGCATAGGATTGATTAATGGTTACAGTTATGGGATCAGAAAACCAAATGCCTAAATTTTACAAATGGCTACTTTCACAGAACACACAAGCTAGTACACTGGATTTTAGCTTAAAACTCACATAAGCCTAGTGGTTAATTTCAGTATGCTGTGAACTCAGAATTTAGGGTTAATTTAGTAAACCATGAATCAATGAGTCACACAAACACACCCAATAGTGAATGTACAAATAGTGTGATACAATAATGGATATGAATGATGGCATAGTTCAATCTGTAGATTTTCAAGAATTATCTTTAGACTCTTTACATGTCTAACGTATGCTTCCCAGAGTCCCTTTCTTGTGAGATAGACAGCTACATAAATATGAAAAAGGGAGGGAGGGAGACAGAAAATGCTCCAAGATACCAACAAAGAAATATAATTGGATCTTGTCTCCTCAAGCAAACGTAATGTGACTTTGTTGGATTAGATGATTTGGGGCTGTAATTGATTTGACCTGGCAGATTGGAGCCTGAGCAGGAGTTGGTGTCTTGGATGGGTGCAGGGTTCTTCCAAGAGTGGAGGAAAGTCAGAAGCAGACGGTCTTCTGGCATTGAAACCTAGGCAGTGAACAAATTTCTGTAAATTAGGGATTTTATAAAGCAAATAAACTTTAGTAACAGCTTTCTTGGGAATTTGCTCTTGGTAAGGAAAATCCTGAATAGCATGTTACACATTAATGGATTTTGAAATAATAACTGCTGACTTAAAGATCTTAAAAAAATCTTAAGTAGTGTAAGATCCAGAGCAGGAAGGAGAAGCTGCACTAAAAAGAGGCCCAGCAAATAGGGACGGGTGGAGGATTTTGGCAGACTCCCCCCCCCCGGGGAGCAATGCCAGGTGACCTCGGACCTCAGAAGAGGAAGCCAGCTGTAGCACCCCTCCCAGGAGCAGGGGACAAAGGAGGGCTGACCCCCCCCCCCAACGCCAGATGGCGTCGCGACTGCCTGCAGGAGCCAAGGAAGGGAAGGGGTCGGCAGCGTCAAAACAGGCAGGAGGCACCTGCTGGACCCTAATTCTGCCAGCAGCCTCCCTTCACGGACCCCAGAGGTGCTTCTGCCCAGAATCCCGCTCCCCTCGCCCCTTTCTCCCGCTCGGCTTCTACTGGCGTCGGGGGTCTCGAGGCCGCTTCGCCGGTCCTGGGGAGGCCAGACGCGGGGCGAGATGGGGCGTCGGGGCTGCCTCTTCTCGCCCTTTTCTTCCTTCGGGGCCGCCGAGCGACCCTTTGCTCTTAAGGCCGGCCTAGAAGACTTCTTGGGCGCTGCCCCGGTCAGGAGCCCCCGCCTCGGGAGTGGCGGGCGCTCGGCCAGCGGAGGGGCGGGGGGGAGGGAGGGAGGAGCGCGGCTGAGCCTTAAAGACGCCCGGCGAGGCCAGCCCACTGCAGAGCTGCACAGCGCGGCTGCAGAGAAGCGGGTCCGCGCGCGGAGAGCCGGAGAGGGACGCGGCGCCGCTTCGCCCCCGGAGTCCCCGAGATGCCGGAGTGCTGGGATGGGGTAGGTGCCCCGAAGCGGCCGGTCGCCGGGCAGGGCGCTGGGCTGCCCTGGGTAGCGGCCTTGCCCTGATAAGCCTCCGCGCTCCTCTCCTCCGTTCTCGGCCAGCCCTCGGGAGCAGCTTTCCGACGCCCGCCGTGCCCGCTCCAGGCGGGGCTTCCCGCGCAGCTTGGCGGGGCCCCGGTTCCGTCGGAGGTGCCGGCAGCCTCGCCTCGCCTCGCCTCGCGGGCCCCCCAACGTGGCTCCGCCCGCTGCGGTTCCCCGGTTGCCGCGGGAGGGAAGGGCGGCCTACGGGCCTTCTGGGCAAGGGGAGCTTGGCCGCTGGCCGCTGGGAGGGGGGAGGCTTCCCAGGGACCGCGCCATCCGCCCGCGCTGGAGACGAGGCTGGGCGGCTGGGACGACGCGCGTCGGCAGCAGTTGCAGGCGGTGGCTTCGCCGTGAGCCGGGCGAGACCTTGCCGGTGTCCTTGAAGTCCTCAGTGAGGCAGAAAACGGCGTCAGCCACGGGGCCTGGGAGCAGTTTGGCCTGAATCATTCCGAGACCGAAGGCTGAGAGATGTTATTAAACGTTTTGCTGCAAATGCAAAAGTGAAGATTTTGAACGTGGCTTGCTGTCTGGCAGCTGCAGGCAGAGTCCGAATATCCACGAGTCCCTGCCGGCAGCCGGCCTTTTGGATGCTGCCAACTGCCAGCTTTGTGCTCATGATTGGACAGCTAGCACCTTCTCTGCCCCCCCACCCCTCCGCTGGTCAGCCCTGCTTAGTCAGCCTGACGCCCTGAGCATGTTTCAGTCCATCTAGAGAGACATGGTCCCCTCTGCAGGAAGGTGCTGCTTTTTCTGCCCCTGGCAAGCTGGCTTTGGGTTTCTTTGGCTGCTCCCTGTGGGAGAGGAGACCCCTCCATCATCCAATAGCCGTACTTCATTGTGGCCGGGGTGGGGTGGGGTGAGTGCTGGTTGGCTGGTGGGAGCAGAGGGTGCTGGAAGAGGGCTCAGAGCCCCTCTGCAGGAAAGGAGACTCAGAACCAGGAATGAAGGGCAACAGTCTGTGCCACTGTGCCTTTACCAGCAGGCAAACTAAGCCCTGGGAATCTTTAACATCTTTCACAATCTGGGTTGCTTACTTTCGCTGGAACTGCTGACAATGCAGTTATATTTATGTTTATAATATGTAGAAATGCAGCTACTGCATTTGCAGAAGAAGCTTGTCTTTTCCTGTGGCTGAGTAGGTTGCAACCACTTGGCATATCTGGTTTGTTCATGGTTCAATGTATGTTGTGACGGTTCAATCTATGTGTACTCTGCAACCAGGAAAATCCGGTTGTGTGAATGCCGTTATGGAGAATAAGGTTCTGCAGAGCCATAATTCCTGATCCAAGGAGTGGGGATGGGGGGTGGGGGTGGAATATAAATGCTTGGCTATTTTGCTGTAGCAATGCCCAAGGGACTCTGACTGGGGGGACGTAGGGCAAAATAGTAAAAAGCTCAATATCTTTGGCATGCAGAAAAAAGGCAAAGCAGTTTGCAGGTAGATCTAATAGTTGTGCAGGCAACTGCTCAAATCTGGCAAGATTTCTGTGCAAGTACCAGTAAAAAAATTCCTCTGAAAGAACTTCTTGTGTCCTTCTTGGTTCCTTGAGCCCGACATTGCGGGAAACCCTGCAGGGGAGACGACACAGTGTGCAAAGAGCCTGGTTTGTGTAAGTGGGACTCCTGGGCAGAGGAGAACTATGGCAGCTGGAGCGAAGAATGCAGCCCTCTCAAAGGGTCAGGCCTGCCGTGGCTCCCCCTGTGCCTCCCTCCTTGGAGGACTCAGCTTAGAGAAGGGGGCAGCAAAGCACCCCGGCTCTCTTCGGCCAGGCCAACCTCGCACTGCCGTCTCTCCTCTCTCCCCCAGGAGCATGACATCGAGACACCCTACGGACTGCTGCACGTTGTCCTTCGGGGATCTGCCCGAGGAAACCGCCCTGCCCTCCTGACTTACCATGATGTGGGGCTCAATCGTAAGTGGGTCACTTTTCATTCTGGTTGGGGAGGGAGGGTCAGACCCCTGTTTTCTCTTAACCTGGCTCTGTTGTGCCTGACTTGCAAACTGGCTGTTTGTGCTTGGCTACCAGAAGGACATGGGATCAACGTGGTCAGTGACAAGGCTGCCATTTCATTGATATTTGCTGATGTGTCAAGTTTTTCAATGCCATTGGGCTTAGTTCTGATGGCATAACCTAGTGTGCAGACCCATTAGTTTTGGTTCATTTTGATTCACAGCATACTGTGAATCCAGAAAATGTATTAATTCTGATGTGTGAACATAGCAAAAACAAAAACAAAAAACCCTGTCCTTTTTGGCCTTAGCCTGGGCCTGTTCTGCAGAGGAGAAGGTAAATGCTGAAGATGCTGAAAGGGAGTTGTTTTGCCTAATCTTAGTTCAGGAAATCATTAAAACATTGGCTATGTTTCCATAAATTGACTAACAAGACTTGCAAACACCCCAATCCCTGAAAACTAAACAAGCCTACCTGCAAGCTTAGCCAGGCCACCGTCCCCATAGCCTAGTAAGAAGGAAGCTGTGTGGACAGGGAGGAACAGGAAGGCTGAAGCTGAAGGTCCAGAGGCAGCCAGTGGTGTTTCTTCATCCTTCTTTCTTAGAGCATGGAGGCAGTGTGCCAGATGCTGATCATTCCTGCGTATCCAAATGGGCACACTAGTGACGCAGCCATAGGAAATCTGGAATTTCCCCATGGAGTGAAAAGACAGTGAGGCTTCGGATGTGCCTCTTGGATCACTGGTAGTGGAAAGTAGCAACCTAGAAGTGAGGAACTGATAGCAAGTTGGGTCTCTTGGATTCACATTTAGATCATTGAAATAAAGGTCTTCTGGCAGACGGAAACTTAAGAGAGCTTTAAGCTAAATCCTTTTGTTTAAGAGAGACAAGATGGATCCCATTACATTATTTTGCAACTGCTGAATTCTCAAATTCTTACCAAAAGTAAGTGGTTAATCTTTGGTAATTAAGAAAAGCAATTATTAGGAAGTTTCACAGGTGTCCCATGAATAACTCATGTTGGACAAAAGTTTCTCCCTTTTAAAATGAAATTAATTAGTCTGGCAAATTGTGAGAATGCTGTGAATTTGGCATAGCCTGTTTCTTGCTATCATTTTTTGAATTGTCACAGTCCTATAAGGTTGATTCCTGATCTGCCAATGAACAAGAAGGGAGAGTTTAAAAAGGCAGGTCTTCTCAAGAACATGTTCCTGCTGGCAGACATGGGAAGACCCTAATTGTCTTCAGGAATTAAGTCACGCAGAACAGGGGGAGCTGCAGCCCTGAGGCATGGTGTACACAATGGGCCTCTCATGCATTTACTGCACTCAAAAATAGAGGTCTGTGATGGGGAGGCCTTTTAGAAGATCCACCCCTTGCCCCCTCCAGTGAATGCAAGTTGGACCATTCCACTGACTGCCCCCTCAACCCGGTGGCAGCAGACCAGTTCATTTGGGATTTATTGGGGGAGCCCCACCATATCTTCAGGGGGCAATGGATGACTGAGCTGGGTAGGAGGAAGAGATGAGCGGCGTGGATTCCACCAGTTGCTGCTTGAAAGCTGTCTGGCTTGTCACCTGTTTGGTGTTGAAGGTGGTGTTTACCTTGGAAGTGGGCCGAGGGGAAGGCGAAATGGGCTGACAGTCTGGCCCAGCACTAGGGTCAAAGGAGCCGTAGGCACCAGCCTCTTTGAAGATTTCTCCCCAGAATCCACTCACTTCCTCCCCAAGACAGAGAGGCTAGCTGCCACTTTCCTTGGCTAGATCACCTGTTTTTTCTGGCTTGTAGAGTCAAGGGTGAAGCTTGTGGAGGTTTCCTAGATCCTTGTGTCTTGAAGCTCAGGAAATCCTGCCCAACTGGGCTGGCATGTTGGGAAGAAGAGAAGAAGGAAAGAAGAAGGGGGGGAGAGGAGGAGAAGGAATGGCCCATGCTGTTTGTTTTAAACCTGTGTGGTATATTCTGTATCAATGCTAAGTTTACCCATTCAAAAATACTTTGAAATTGCTTGACCAATTAATTGAGTAGGAGTGTATGAAGGGGCTCTTTTGCAGGAACCGTCTAACTCTCTTCTTTTTCTGCCCGGGCTTATATCAGTCCTTTTCCACGTGGGAGACCTGTGCAGACAAGGACAGGTAATGGGAGAGATGCCAGCCAGTCAAAGCTCCTTCAGGCTGAGTGGCCATTCTTTGGCTGGGGCGGGATCTCCATTGAACGGAGTGGATTGGCTGGCTTGCCAGATTCTCTCCACTTGCCCTGAGGAGGTTGCCAATGGTTGCCTGGCCTCCCTGCAGGAAGCACCGGAATGGGCTGAATCCACCAACAGGACGGGCTTGAGTCATCTTGGAAGAGATTGTAGCTGAATTGTAAATGGTTAGAAAAGACATTAGTAAAGAATCATAATCTTTGTTCCACTTTCATTCTGCGTGGAACCCAAAAGTGCTTTTTTCAAAAGGTAGCTGGACTTCCTTTGTTTTGCTTCAAGACCTTTCGTTTCTCATCCAAGAAGCTTCTTCACTTCTGACATCTGACTGAAGAAGCTTCTGGGATGAGAAGCAAAGCACCTTCAAGCAAAACAAAGGAAGTCCAGCTGCCTTTTGAAACAAGCACCTTTGGGACAACCATCACCTGGAAGACTGAGAAGCTCCATAGAAATTCTGTATGGAAAGCAGCAGCAGTTTCAGCAGTCCTAAAAAGCTTTAGTGTTGGAGTAACAAGAAACATACTTGGACCAAGAATTCTGGGCTCAAGACAGGGAACGAGGCCTCGGTTGCCTCTGGCATAAAAGGGGGGGGGGGCTCTCCTGCCCTGCCTGGAAGAGGAAGAGGAGTCAGCGCTTTGAGTTCATTGTCGAAGGTGTATCATTTGATTTTCTTTCCATTTCTTGCAGACAAGCTCTGCTTCAACACTCTCTTCAACTCTGAAGAAATGCTAGAGATCATGAAGCACTTTGTGGTGTGCCATGTGGATGCGCCCGGGCAGCAGACTGGGGCTTCCCAGTTTCCCCAGGGGTAAGCATCTTACAGGGGTAAGCTGTACCCTCTTAGATGGCAAGGTGTGTGATTGTGTCCCTGATGGTTTCTTGCCAGGCCTGTTCTGGATCCTAGATCTGCCTCAGAGTCCCTGTTATGTGGCTCTCAGAGAGGACTCAAATGAAGGCCACAAGTGCTCCCTTGGGTGGGTCTCCTTAGTCACGGTGGGGTGTGTGCGTGTGTGTGTGTGAGTCCAGGAGCCCTAAGTGATGGTAGGTTAATCTTTATCACAAACTGCTACTGTGACTTTGAAGCTGATGGTATACACATCATGTAAAAAAAAAATGACAAAGGGATGAATTAACCTGTGAGTTAATCCAGGCAAATGTGAATTTTGTTGGGGATAGATCCAAAATGGCACCTCTAGGGAGCGCAAGAATCCCACTCCTTTGGAGCTGCCCCAGTTGGGAATCCCAGGCTGACTGGGAGGAGCAGCTTCCCACAGAAGGGAGGGCGGGGCTTGGTCTGGCCCCTGTTTTTTTTCCTGGAAGATCCTCCCACACCAAGATAAGATGGGCACTGGCTGAGAATCCTGACGGTGGTTGCTGAAATGTCCTGAAAACTTTACATCATATTGCGATGGAATGCCTCTCAGAAGGTTCTCTGGATCCCTGCATGAAATACATCACCTCGAGGGCAGTGCTGTCCAATGGCTAAACGATCTAGATAACTGGGCATAGGTTTAGCCGCTCCTATAACTGCTTATACGTAATTTAATTCTATTCATAATTTTATTTATCACCCATATTGTATGTTTTTGAAATAATTCATTGCTTTGATGTTTTATCTTTTGGTGCATATTTTATATGTTGTTTTTGTGAATTTTTATGTATTAATGCTGTATTCTTATGCCATATGAAATATAAATATAAATATGCAGTGGATAGATAGATAGATAGATAGATAGATAGATAGATAGATAGATAGATAGATAGATAGATAGATAGATAGATAAGATTAGATTGAAAAGATTGAAAAGATTGAATCTCTCTGCACTTCTTGCTTGCCCTGTTTCCATAGGTATCAGTACCCGTCCATGGACCAGTTAGCTGCCATGTTGCCCAGTGTGGTCCAACATTTTGGGTGAGCATGGGGTGTCATCAAGTTGTTTGGGGGCTCACATTGCCATGGTAGAATGGCCTTTATGGTGTGGTACAGGAAGGAGAGCCTTTTTCACTGTCTTGTCAGTCCTGCCTCCTGGCGGTTACATGGACAGGGGTACTCCTGCAGTTTTCTTGGCACGTTCTTGGAAGTGGACTGCCATTGCCTCCTGCCTAGGGCTAAGAGAGAGTGATTCGCCCAGGATCATCCAGCTAATTTTGTGCTTGAGGTAGGACCAGAACTCACCATCTCCTGGTGCCTTTGAGCATCAGACAAAACTGGCATTTTGCTCTCAGCTGAAATGTGCTACTTAATTGGGGTTTCCTGCTTTGGTGGTGGCTGACAGGACTTCTTTCCAAAATGCAGAGTTTGGCCCTTTTGAGCAAGTGATGAAACAGTTGAAGAGCCTTGCTTGAAAATATTTAGGAACAAGAGCATGAAACCAGGAGGGGGCAACCAGCTGGTATTTAATAAAGCTTCAGTTGGGGGCCCAGTGGTTGAAGGTTTTAGGCTGATCAGAGCTCACATCATACCCTGTCCCAGCATAACTTCACTGGATGATTTCAAAAGTGGTCCTTTTCCTGCTTAGCCTAACAAAATTATTATGGAGAGACTATGTTTTGGAACTTCTTAAAAAGTAATCCAGGTAGTCTTTGTTTAACAACCATTTGTATACGATCATTTGGAATCATTCATACTGTAGGCCAATCTGGATGACCCCAATTCTAGTTGGCTATAAACTGAGCCTTGGGAACTGGCAGGAGTGAGGCGAGGAAGGACACCAAGAATTCTCTGACACTTCCCTTTTCATAGGTTCAAGTATGTGATTGGAATTGGAGTCGGAGCAGGTGCCTATGTCCTTACCAAATTTGCCGTAAGTGCTCAGCTTGGTCCGTGTGCAAGATGGGGGAATCCGGGAGGGAGGGAGGGAGGGAGGAGCCTGCATGCATTCTGAGAAGGAACCCTCTCTCTTGGCATCTTCTAGAGTAGAACTCATATAGCCCAATCCGGTGGACATTTATTTAGCTGTCAAGGTTCTGGCTAAAAAACCCAATGAAGTAAACTCACCAGAGGCATTGCGATCACTTATTAAGCATAGCATACCAGCAGGGTAGAAAGAATACCAGCTCTGGCAATATGGCAGGAAAAAGATAATTAAAAGAGTAAAACTTTCCTTCCCATTGTCCAATTAGTCTTTGAACGGTTATGAGAAGAAAGTCTCTGTTTGCCAAAACATCTCTTCAGTGGCCTTGATAGAAACCATCTGTGCATTCCAAAACTCCCCCCCCCCCCACTAATGGTTGCAAGCTAGAAGCAGCATGGCAATTCCAATGCACGAGGTCTTCATAGCTTGACACTTTTTGGCTTTTATCAGGCCCTGGACTTATTCACCTGAAAGCCAGAAATATGTGCTTTGCCTTCCATGAACAACCCCTTGAAAATGATGTCAGACAAGGAATTCTTGAAAGTTGCCAAGACCTATTCAGCTCTACCACCATGCCCGTATCCATAGAAAAAGAGGTTGGGCTGAGATTATCATTAGGGTCGAGATTGGCCACTACATCCAGTGCCTGCAACCAGCCAATTGCAGCTCACGCTAAACTGGAGCCAGCCCAGCCAGTGGATGCCACCACTGGCCCAGCAGATGTTCAGTTATCCCAATGGGCCATTTCCCTGATGATGTGTTTGCTTAGTGTTTCTTCCCCACTATGCACCAAGTATTTTATTGCTGATTCTGTCTTTTTTGTAGCTTTTTTATTTGAGCTTATTTTGTAAGCTCCCTAGAGTACTTCCTCTCCCTTATGGGCAGCTCTGGGACCATCGTGTGGCCCCATATTTCCTCTCTCCCTTCTCCTGCAAGAGTGTGGCCACTTCTGTGTTTGATTTCCTTTGGCTTGACCCTTTCCCCCCCCCCCCAAAAAAAATATTTCCTTTTTCCATTGCATCATCCTTCCCCAAGTCTGGGGGATGGGGTCGCTGCTGAACTGAAGCCCTTGCTATTGTGATGGTGTCAGGAGGTTCTTCAGAGATCTCTGGGATCACATTTTTCAAAGTGCATAACTGCCAGGAAGCTCTTTTGGAAGTCTTCTCAAATAACAAGCAAAGCTTCTTTAATATTCTAACTTTGAATAAGGACTAGGACTTTGCAATGTTTTTGAAAAGGGGTTTTGCAAAGCCTGTAACTATGGAAGGAGTCCTGTCCTTAAGGGGTAAGACAACTGCAATTTTTGCAAGGCTCCTGCAGCTGCTTCGAGGGCTGTCTCCATTGCTCAGATACCTGTATGTGTGTGTGACACAAAGCCTTTCTTGTGGAGAAGTAGGAAAAACTGAAACAGAGACAGCTAGAAAATGCTTCCAAAGCCTGCAGAGAGAGCTTCAGATGAAAGACTTTGCTTTTCACAACATCTGTTTCAAATGCTTTGCACAACCCTAATTTTGCACATTATCCAAATATAGCCTCTAGAACTGCTTATGCATGCTGTGTGAATGCAACTTGCAGGATTTTTTTCCATATTCCTTTGTCTTTGGATGCTTGCAAATCTGTTAGCCAGAATAAACTCTGTATCTGTTTTGCTGCAGCTGATCTTCCCAGATCTGGTGGAAGGCCTCGTTCTGATCAATATTGACCCAAATGGCAAAGGCTGGATTGACTGGGCTGCCAGCAAGGTAGGCTTCCAGGGTGGGTTGGGCAGAATTTTTCCAGGCTGAACAGATGGCTCTATGAGAAGGGCTGAAGAGCACAGATCTCCTGAGGGCAGGGGTGTAGAACATCTGGAGAAGTTGCACATATGCCAGAGATCAGGTTGGGCAAAGAATAAAAATAGAAAAATATAATAGAAATAGAAATAGAATAGCTTTTTTGGCCAAATGTGATTAGATACACATGGAATTTGTCTCCAGTGTACATAAAGCAACATAATAGTAGTAGTAGTAGTAGTAGTAGTAGTAGTAGTAGTAGTAGTAGTAGTAATGATAATGATAGTGATAGTGATAGTGATAGTGATAGTGATGGTGATGGTGATGGTGATGATACTAATAAGGAGTAGTAGAGAAGATGGGAAGGATAATAATACACACATGGGAAAATAAACTTAGACATAAGAGAGCACTATGAGAATTAGGTGTTCAGCAGAGTGATGGCATGAGGGAAGAAACTGTCCCGGTGTCTAGTTGTTTTGGCATGCAGACACCATATAGTGGTGTCCCAAGGGAAAAAGTTGAAACAGCTTATGTCTTGGATGTGAGGTGTTTGTAGTTATTTTCTCAGACCTCCTTCTGACCTCAGTGGAAGGCAGGCTGATTGCAATTGTTTTTTTCTACAGGTCTAACTATCCCTTGAAATCTGTACCTGTCCTGTTTAGTTGCTGAATCAAACCAGACAATTATAGAAGTACAAATGACAGATTCAATAATTCCTCTGTAAAATTGCATCAACAGCTCTTTGGACAGTCTGAACTTCCTAAGTTCATGCAGGAAGAACATTCTTTGTTGTGCTTTTTAAATAATAGTTCTAATATTAGGTGTCCATTTCAAATCCTGGGAGATTATAGAACTCAAAAACTTGAAAGACTCTACTGGTGATACTGTGCTGTTGAATATAGTAAGAGGTGGTAGACTAGCAGGGCTTCTCCTAAAATCCACATAGGAGGAATGGAACCTCTTTGTACACACGCAGCTGAACTTGACACTCAAAGGCTGGATCTTGGCACACAAGGGGGCTCTGGCCCTTGAGCCTTCATCTGAAAGCTACTCAGACAATGGCTTTGCTCTGGGTCTAGGAAAGCGATGCTGTGTCCCTTGACATCTCTCTCTCTCTTTCAGCTCTCTGGCCTGACCAGCACATTATCTGACATGGTGCTGTCTCACCTATTCAGCCAGGTAAGACAAAGCAATGGCAGATGAGAATGTTTACAGGCCTCTTGGGTCCTTCCTGCATGGCAGGGAATCCCTTCCCCTCTTAGGGGTGGCTACTCGAAACCCTGACAGCCCTCACAGGATGGTTGTAGAAGCTGCTTTAAAAGGCTTATTCACACATGCAAAGGTGGTAATGGGAACACCAAGTTGTTTCGCCAACGGTTTTCCCTGACATCCCATGCCACAGAAAGGGGTTGTTCTAACACTGGAAATTGGGCCAGGGGGTGGCTGGCAGGCATTGTGGGATCCATGATCACATCTCATCTGAATAGTTGGGTTGCATTTCATGCTGAGAAGGAGGAGGTGCCACCTTCAATGCAGGTAGATCTCTGAACTTCTAGTGGGCAGATAAAACCTCTAGCCAAAAGCATCTGTACCAAGCTTGTCTGTTACTGGCAGTGCAAAAGCCCCTTGCTATGTCCAGCACATCCCCCCCCCCCAGGCAAGTTCTCCCTCCTTCATAATCAGCCAGCAATCAGCTACTGCCTTAGTGAGGTCTGACTTGGCAGAAGTGTAGAGAGCCTTGGCCCCTAAGTGTGGGCTGGGCTGGGGGGGGGAGTTGTCTACCACTTCCAAGAGCAGGCCTGGGCTTCAGGGCTGTTTGCCAGGCCTGCCTTTGCCTGTCATCTCCACGCCCACAGGAGGAGTTGGCCAATAACATGGAGCTGGTGCAGAGCTATCGCCAGCAAATTGCCAGCACGGTGAACCAGTTCAACCTGCAGCTCTTCTGGAGTATGTACAACAGGTAAAGCAGCCCTTCCCTCAAGCTGCCTATGACCCAGAGCCCCTTTGGACTGCAGCAGAGCCCGTTCTGAAAATCAGTGGGGAAAAGGGGGCTCTAATTTCCACCTCATGGCAGTCGCTTTCTTCATGGCATTGTGCCCTCATCCTGTGTGCGGAAACCAGAACTAGCAAGCTTGGCTGCTGTGCCCCTCAGCAAGTTAAGCTTGTGCACCAGGTCCAAATCAGGTTCCTGTCATCTGGAAAGTTTGTGTTTCTCCCCATTTCAAAGATTACACATAGGCGGTTTGTGACAGATCTGTTTTGGCAGTGGGGGCCCTTGGCGGGCAGAGGGGCCCAAGATAATCTTGGAACCTGAGATGGCAACACTAAGGGGAGGGGGCTTTTCTGTGGTGGCACCCTGAATTTGTGGGAGGTTGCCTCTGACACTGCCGTACAGTGAACTCTCTTATTTTTAAAAATGTTTCTGCTACACACTTTATCTCCCTTCTTCTCTTAATCAGTTGCTCTCACTGCTTGTAAACCTGCATTTTTCTAAAAGAAATTGCTGAGCTGTGTTCCTTGGAGTATTAGTTTGCTTGGGCTTTTGAGTCATTCTATAGCCAAAGTCTCAGGATGAATGGTTAAACCAGAATAAACCAGTGAAATAACTGAAAAACCGTCAGCAAAGAGGACAGGCAGTTGTAATACCACATTAGAACTGGGGTGGACCGCATAAACTTGGGTAAAAAGACAGCTCCATTAAAAAGTGAGGCTGGGTCTGCACTGAAAGGAGGTTCCTCTTGGGAAGAGGAACTGGGCCTTGGAAGCTCCCAGTTGCCAAGGGAGCCCAGATTGGCTCTGTCAAAAGCCAGGCAAAGACCTTGCCTCAGCATCCTCCTGAACGGCTCTCTGAAATCACTCTTTCTCTCAGCCGCAGAGATCTGGAGATTAACCGCCCCGGTAGTGCACCCAATGCAAAGACGCTCCGGTAAGTCCCGGCAGGACAGCGGGACGGTGGTGGCCAGGAGGGAGGCTGTTCTGCTGACTGCATTTCTCCCCTTGGGTTCGCAGCTGCCCGGTGATGCTGGTGGTGGGCGACAATGCCCCTGCAGAAGATGGTGTGGTGAGTGGAGTTGTCAACCCAGCCGGGCTGAAGGGCTGCCTGCTCGTGGCTGCGAGCTCGCTTGAACCTTTTGATCTTTGCAAGGCCCAGAGAGGAAGAGAGCCATTTCTCGGCCGCAGCCACCAGAAGGGCAACTGGTAGCAAATGCTGCCATTATGCCCAGAGTGCATCTGGTGTGCTGTGTTCTGTTTTGACTTCCTTGGAATAGTTTTGGCCCCCAACTTCCCCTCTGGTGACCTCCAGATGGGGTGGGCTCAAATTATGGCTACTGGGATCGCTGCATCTGAAGTGCACTGCCAAGAAATGGTGGCCTGGCTCACTTGAATCCATCTGAGAAAGGCTGCAGAAGGCCTGGAGCAGCTGCTCCTCCTTTCTTGGGTGACTTCCCGGCAAGTGACTGGCAGCTGCCTCAAACTTGCACTTCCGTGGTTGTTCCCAAGGAGTCCAAAACAACCCAACCTTTTAGGGGTAGGGGTGGAAGTTCCATCAGGCTTACTGTTGGAACAGAGCAGAATAGATGTTGAATGGGCACAGTCCCTGTTTTTATATAAAGTTGGCCGCCATATCCAGCTTGTGAGAATTCATATTTAGGAATCCTGTCACCAGTTGCTTCCTTTTGCTTAAGAAGATGCATGTATAGCCTTCAGACTGTAGGGTTCCCTGGGATTTAACTGAAGGGGGGAGGTCCTGCTCTTTTATGGGCGCCTGCCAGGAGAAAGAGCTTAGGCCACGCCTGGTGTTAGCGGGAGCTTTGCTCTTTGCAGGTTGAATGCAACTCCAGGCTGGACCCAACCACCACCACTTTCCTGAAGGTGAGTTGGCAGACCATCGCATTCCAGCCCTTACCAGGGGGTCCTGGATGTTCTCCTCCCCTCTGATGGTAGCAGTGATCCTCTGCTCAGTTGCCGAGTTCTCATGCATCCTCCCTGCGGGATCTTACAAATCCAGCTTGCAGTGTGATCTTTTTCCTCACAACCTCAATCCAAGCAAAGGCATGGGGAGGGTTGCACACCGAAGACACACTTAGGCATGCCAAATTTGAAGGAACGTGCCTGTTGGCCCCTGTGCACACAGTGCAAAGAGTGGGTTTTGTTAGCGCTGTGGCACAGATGTAAAGCACTAAGGTCCCTCCTTCCACTAACTGTTCCTGACTGGCACCTCATCCCACTTACCTGAATGCAGAAGCGGAGTTCTTTGCTCCAGAATTGTGTCCATATTGCCTGGACAAGTTTCCAGCTGTTGTCTTGAGCATCCGTGTGTGAGGTACAGGACAAACACCTTCCCTTTCATCCAAAACGCCTTCCACTCTTGGACCACCGAGGAAGGAAGAAAGGGAGGGCAGCTGTACACTCCTGCTTCTTTTAAATAAATGTGTACAGGGGGAGGGGAAATGTTGCTGGACTACAGCCCCTAGCATCCTTTGCCCGAAGCTGCTTAGGCTTGGAGTTTTTAGCCCCATCCAGAGAGTCCATAAGGAGGAATGAATAGACAGAGGGCTTTTCATGTAGGGCCTCTATAACCTTTGGCGCCCTCCGCTGGGGCTTGGAGACCAATTCCAACTTTCCAGACCTTAGTCCCCCCCCCCCAATAATTTTGATAGGGGCAGAAAATCATCATGTCTGAAGCTCCTTTCCATCAGCGCAAGCGTCCACATCCAAGCGCCTCCCTAAGGCAGCCACCCGTAGGGCCAGGGCAGGCAGGGCCAGTCTGGGGGTGGGCTGGGGGGACGTCGAGCGCAGGAGGAGCCTGCCCAGACACAACCTGTGCTTTCCTCTTAGATGGCCGATTCCGGAGGGCTTCCCCAAGTGACTCAGGTAAGCTCTCCTGCTTACAGTAGCCTGCCTGTAGAGGAGCCTGGAGCTGGGTCAGAACCAAGCCCGCCTCCCCCTGGTCTGGTTTCCTGGTGGGCCAGGCAGGTCCCCTGGGAAGTGGGCTATGGCTCCTTGGTCAGAGGCTTTTCTGAGTTCTCAACTTTTCTGAGTTCAGAAAAAGCTCTATTGAGTTTGAACATTTCATGGTTTTTTTTCCTTCCCTCTTTGGTTTTGATGGAGAATTTGTACCATTGGTGGTGGAAATCAAATAGAATTTAAATTCACAAACTGGATTTGAATATGAAACGTCCCAAAAGTTTATTTAACAGAATAACAAAGTTGGAAGCGACCTTGGAGGTCTTCTAGTCCTCCTCCCTGCACAAGGAGACTCTATACAAATGGCTGTCCTTTGTTTTCTTACCAGCCTGGGAAACTGACTGAGGCGTTCAAGTACTTCCTGCAAGGAATGGGCTATGGTGAGGCCGCCTGGGCTTTGGGTCAGCATGTGGGAAGGGAAGCCGCTGGCCTGGCTGGAGAGGGGCTCACGGCTGGCCCCAAAACAGGCCAAGACCTGTTGAATCAGAGCTGTGGCCTTGGGTACCACCCTCCATTTGCCCGAATTGCATGGAGCAACAGCAGCCCCTACAGCTGGGCTTGCTTTCTCTTGTGGGTCCAGCTTGGAGGGTGTTTAGTCTCCAAGACCTGCTTTGAAGGGACAGGAAATGGGGCCAAATACCACTCTCCTCTTTCAAGCAGACCCCCAAAATGGGCGACCTTCCTCCAGAGGCTGGGTCGCCTGGCCCTGCTCAGTTGCTCCATCAGCTGAGCAAGGAGGAGCATTGGTCCCTGTGCCCACAGCAGCCACATTGGGACGAACTGGGGAGGTTGAGGTAACAGGAGCCAAATGGCCCCTCCCACCTCTATCCATGCTGGAATGCTGAAACAAAGCAGAGATGCCCTCTCCCCCCCCCTCCCCCCATGGGGCTTGGCCTCCTATCCAGCTTTTTTGAAAGGGTGTCAGGAGTCCCAGTTTCCAGCAGCTCCCTTTCCCAAGGAGGGCAGGCTTCTTTGGTGGGGACCACCTTCTGCCAGGCACCTTGCGCATGTCTGCTGACCACTGGGAAATAAGAGAGCAGGCCAACCTGGGCATCCAGATGCACAACGCCCAGAGCGCCTAAAGCGTTTCCTTGGTTCAGCCTGAGCTCTTGACTGCCCCTTGTCCAGTGGCCCAATTTGGCCAGGGCTCAACCACATCTTGAAGGTGCCTGTCCTCTCACCCCTTCTCCAGAGTTGTCTCGCCTTTTGCCTCCTGTTCAACCCTCCACCTTTTTTTTCAGTGGCGTACCTGAAGGACCGGCGACTGAGTGGAGGATCAGGTACGGGCAGCCCTACAGGATCTGCTCCCTTCTTGCTTGCTGCATATGCCCCCTCCTCTGCCACACACTGCCTGCAAGTGGACCGTGTCCTAGCCGCTGTGGCTTCTGCACGGGACCTGCTCTGGGGGTTCCCTAACAGTTCCCACAAAGATGGCCAAGTCAAGAGGGGAGGCATCCAAGGGACCCCATTTCCAATCCGATAAGCAACAGCTCTCCAGGGGTTGATGGACAATAATTTTGCAGGGCTGTTGGCTGGGAATAAACAGAGGGGAGTACAGGGCCCCTTGTCCTCTGTGGAGAGGCTGATGTTCCTCTCCATTTTGCTGCCATGAAGAGGCATGGGGGACACCCTATGGCCCCTCCTTAGTGCCTGGAGTGAGATGAGTCACAGAGGGCCCCATTCGGTTCCAGATATTGGAAAATTTCTGTCAGTTGGGGCCCTGCATCCCAAGTCATCGGCTGCCACCCTTTGGGGAGAAGCAGCCTGGTGCTCTTCCTCTTGGCAGCCAAAGCCAGCCTGGCCAACGGCAAGGAACTCAGCCCCCCAGCCCTTATGAGTGCTCAAAAGTCCAGCTCAGGTTGTAGGGCCAGAGCTTGCCAGAAAGGCTCACCTTCCAAAACAGGCAAGTGGACGGATGCTGGGATCCATATTGAGGGTCTAGGACAGGGGTGCTGACTCAGGAATTCTGGGAGTTGAAGTCCATGAGTCATAAAAGAGCCAAGGTTGCCTACCCCTGGTCTAGGACAACTCACCACCGCTGGCTCGCCCCGGCCAGCTCAATCCAGCCACCTTGCCTGACTTGCTGTGGGACAATTTCTTTTATTAGTTACATCAATCTAATGTAATGGGAGAATGCTGGAGGGGAACCTCCTCCTCTGTAGCTTGGACTGAGGGAAAAAAAATGGGGAGGCTGAGGAAGAGGAGGTTCCTCTCGCCTCTGGCATTCTCCTGTGATGAGTTGTCCTGCGGTGAGTTGCCCTGTGGCAAGTCGGCTGGGGTGAGCTGGCTGTAGCAAATTGTCCCATTCCACCATTCTGAGCGAAATCCCGGCATGCTCCAAACAAGGCAGGGCAGAATGCCACTTCCCTAGGCTGTTCTCAAGTGCCTGAGTTAATCTCTGCCCAGCTGCCTCAGTGACCCTTGTTCTGCCTCTCTGCAGTGCCCTCGGCCAGCATGACGCGCCTGGCCCGCTCACGCACAGCCTCCCTCACCAGTGCCAGTTCGGTGGATGGCAGCCGTCCCAGAGCCTGCACCCACTCCGAAAGCAGCGAAGCTATGGGCCAGATCAACCACACCATGGAGGTGTCCTGCTGAGAGTCCCCGATGCCTTCCCTTGGCCACCATCTTTGTTCGGGGAGCTGTGGCCATCCACCATTGCATCACTCGCCAGCCACTGTTTTTGCTGCTTCTCGTGGCTTCCATTTCCTTGTCTGCCCATCTCTCCCAATTCCATTACAAAGTTAAAGCAGGAAGCAGCAGCTTTCAATCCAAGCCTGCCTTCCTGTTTGTTAGAGATGCCATTTTAGAGTAGCCGTGTTCCCTTGCTCCAATCTGTCCTTCACAAGCAGCCCACGTTGGTTCCTTGTAGCAACAGAACTGGCCCTCGCCTGTCTCCCAGAGCCTGGAGGTAAGCAGGGCACAGCTTGGGATTGGCCAGCCTGAGGCATTTCCCACTGGGCTCCAGTGGTGGACGTTGGAGCTTCTGTTTGGGGTGCCCAGCATTTATCCCCAGCAAGTCTTCGCTCCTGGCCATTTGTGGGGATGGGAAGATCTGTAACTCTTGTGCCTGGAGAAGTTGATCTGTAACTCAAGTGCTGAGCCAGCTGCAGTTCCAGCAGACTCTTGAGCTGCAGTTCATTCTAGCCGCTGGGGCAAGAGCTGCTTAGTAGGCCAGGCACAAGCTTGCAAGCCTGAGGGGCTTGTGTGGAAAGTTCCCCAGAGGGTCCACCCTTAGGCTCTTCTCTGCCCTCAACTGCCTGGGTACCAGAGTGATGGCCCCTGATGGAGGCCTTGCTTGAGGGGCTCAGAGTAGGGAGTAGCAGGAGTCCCTGGTCAGAGGGAAGGGGAGATCCGTTCCAAGAATGGCTCTAGTCTAGGTTCTCTGAAGCCGCTTGATCCTCATCAACAGCTGGGCTTCCACTACAGGGGACAGTATGGTGCTGATCCGCCCTCCTAGCAGCTTTCCCACCTGGCCTTGGGGAGGAGTGCTGGCTGGGGTGGGTCAGCAGCATTCACACCTCCACCAAGGCGCTTGAACGAGGGCAGGGGGACATCTGAGCCCCACAGTAATGCAGGCAGGAACCTTCCAGCCCTTCAAAGTTTCTGTGCAGCTTCTTGCAACTCCCCCTGCCAGGCTAGGAAAGGGGCCCAAGAGGACGAAGACAGGCCGGGGGATGATGGCAGGAGCCCCGGGCAGGAAAGTCGGAAGCTCTTTCTCATTCAAGGGGGCTGCTAGTCAGGCCGATTCCCGCTTGCTTTCCCACCGGGGGAGGGGATAAAGAGGAAGGCGACTCTGAGCCCCCCTGGCGGGGGGAGGGGGAAAGCGTGGAGAGCCTGGCTGGGCGGCCCCTTCGAGCCCTTCCTCTCCGCTCCCCTCCAGTCTCGGATTTAGGGGCTGCCCGGCCGACGACGAGCAACGCCCGCCCCATCTCGGGGGAGTCTCAAAGCTGCCCGCGGGGACCGGCCGCCCGTCCCCCAGCGAGCCAGCAGGGCGCCCCCCGCCCGCGGGTGGAGCAGGGGCCGTCCTGGAACTGCCCTCCCCCGCGCTGAAGAGGGCTGCTCCTGGCCGGGGAGGGGGGGCTCTCTCCCGGGGCGCCTCGTGTCTCCCGCATTGCCAGAACCGGCGCCCATCCCCTGCGCGGGGCCGGCGCCACCACGCTCGCCTGCATCGCTCGCCTCGTTCCGGCTCCGGGGCGGAAACCGCCCAAATTGTCATGTTGTGCAGCGCATCGTAGACTTGGAACACATTAAACCCCCGCATCTTTAGTTCAGAGGCGGCTCTCGCTCATTTCCTCGCGGCGTTTCGTGGGGGGAGCGGAGGGGCTGCCGGGACACCAGACCGCGGGAGGGCGGGGGGACGAGCGGGGGGTCTCCGGCCCAGATCCAGCAGCACTCGGGCCCGCCGCCTCCGGCCGCCTCCGCCTCCGCCTCCTCCTCTTCCGGCCCACTGCCCTCCTCCCGCGCTCCTCCGGCCTCTTCCGAAGGCCATGGCCGACGCGGCGAAGCGGGCGCGGTGCGTCTCCCCCGCGTCTCCCCCGGGCGCCCTGCCTGTTTTCCTGCGCTGGTGCGCGGCGGCCGGCGTGGAGTTGAGCGCCAAGGTAGGCCGGCGCCGGGGTCTCTGGTGGGAGGAGGTTGTCCTGGGTCTTCCCTCGGGACTCCGGCCTGGTTTCGGCTTGGCGTCCGAGGGGGGCCCTGCAGGAGCCTGTTTTATGACGCCCCGCTCGGATCCTTCGCCCGAGGAACTTCTGGATGCGTCCACACGCGCGTTGCATTTCCGCACGTGGGCCTGAGCAGAAACCCGGCAGCCGGGGCTGGGGGGTGGGGAGGCTTGAGGCTCCGAGGCCTCCTACGGGAGCAACCGGGCCGGGGAGCTTCACCGGTCCGCGTCCGCCTTCCTTTGGGGCTCCTCCTGCGGGGTCGACGGGCGGGGAGCTCCTCTGCTGGCCGCTGCCCTCTCCTGGCTTGCAGGTCGGCGTGAGCCGTGAGGGCACCGTGGCCGCCTACGGGCTGCTGGCCAGGGAGAGCCTGGGCGCCGGCGAAGAGCTTTTCCGCGTCCCCAGGACGGCGCTCCTGTCCCAGCACACCAGCGCCCTCGCCCCGCTCCTGCGGAAAGGTACCGGCGCCCCCCAAGACTCCCGCGCTGCTCGTGCCGTGGGGGGATCGGAGCGCGTTTGGGGCCGCCGCCGGGCGATGCGGTGGGTCGGGTGCCGAGGGGGAGCCTGGCCTTCTGCCACAGTCGCCGTCTCCCAGCCCGGCTGAAGACCCCTGGCGCCCCTGCAGGGAAGGCGGGGTGGAAGCAAATGCAGACATTCCGCCAAGCAGGGAGATTTCCATCCCAGGGAAAAGAAGTCTGTATTCTTCAGAGGCTCCTTTGCCCCACAGGAGGGTGAAGAAGAGGCTCCCGGAGGGGGGACTCGTTCCCTCCCAATATTGATGTGCCTCTCCTTCCTTTTTTCTGCCCTCCCTAGAAGAAGCCTCCCTTCAGAGCGCCTCCGGCTGGGTCCCTCTCCTGATTTCTCTCCTCTACGAATCCACAGTTAGCAATTCCCGTTGGGGGCCTTATTTGTCTCTTTGGCCCCAGTTCACTGATTCGGATCACCCCATGTTCTGGTAAGAGGAGCGGCTGCACTGGCTTCTTTACCTGTCTTCTCCTGTGTTGTGTAGACGTAGCAAGTGTTCAGACAGGGAAGAAGATGCACGGAAGCTGGTATACCAGGAAAGCCTACGGAATACTGGAGAGACCAAGCTGGTCTACAAGACCAAATGAAAAATAGAAAAGACACGTGCTAATGCAAAGTATTACATCGACAGTACATTAAAAAAATAGCAGGCAAAGCAGATAACAAGATCTGACCCGTGACTAAGAAGAAGGAAGGTGAAGAAAGAGACAGAGGGGCTAATTTGTCTGAATGCCAAACTTCCTGGAACTCCCCAACATTTCTGGAGTTGGCTTGGTCTAAGATGCTAATTAAACTAGAAAACTGGCTAGGCGGAACCCAAATGGTCTGTCTTCAACAGCCATTAAAGCTGGCTATGTCTGTGGTAGCCATTTTAGCTGCAGCTGTTTCAAAGCTGCTGCTTCCCAGAGGCCTAGGTGTTTCTAAGGCTTCCCCCTTTTCCACTCATCTTTTGCTATCTTCCTTCTGTTATGAAAGCTGCTTCCCATCAGAAGCTAAACTTAAAATTTCTCAGCAAAGCAGATACAAAAGCTGTGTTTAAGTGTTGTTATGTGCTCCTGGCTACTTTCCTTCATGACCAGAGGCAAGCTCGCCTGACCAATAACCAGCCAAGACCCAGTGAAGGCCTTTTGTTTCGTTTATTGCAATAAGCGGGGAGAGAAGCTATCAAAGCTTGGTTCTCTCCAAAGATTCAACCCAAAATATTCCCTTCTTTATACAGCCCTGTCCCGGCCACCACATCCCTCCTCTTTCCCCATTGACTGAGGCACTCTTTCCGACCGCCTCCTACCTATTTCCTGCTACATACTAAATCATACATCACATGTACATTAATAATATAAAATATTAGACACATTCAATTGTTGGTTTTGAGTTCTGGGCCCCTTAGAACAATAGGTTCTTTCCTGTTTTTCAGTTTAGTTAAGTTTTCCTGGCTAGCCATTTCCTCTTACAGATGTTTTTTATAGCTTGTCTTCTTCTTTTCCCATTCTAAGACCCAGCTAATTTTTGCCTACATATTTATCTTACATCCTGCCTTTATGCTATCCTTTCCTGTTTCCCAGCCATTATAGTTTTTGGTAAGCTTGTTTGTCCAGGCAGTAAGTTTCCATTGCAGCAAATTCAATTTTAAATTTCTCTTTCAATATTAAATTTTGAAGCCCTTTCCTTTACTTCTATCAGTGTGAAATGGATATATGAAGAACCAGCAAGCTTTCCCAACCCCCATAGTTTCTTTTTTGTAATAGAATAGAATGTAAAACGTTATTTGGCCAATTGTGGTTAGACATACAAGGATGTCTCCTAATATGGCATCCTTCTCCAATGAGGAAGCTGTTCTTTCTGCTGGCTCTCTTGTATAGGGGTCCTGAAGAGCGGGCGCGGCTTCTGCAAGGGACAGGAGTCCTTGAAGCTGTGGAGAAAGACTTGGCCAATATTGAGATGGAGTATTCCTCTATCATCTTGCCCTTCCTGAAGGCCCACCCAGATCTCTTCAACCCAAAGATGCACACGCTCGATCTCTATCGGAGGCTGGTGGCATTTGTCATGGCTTACAGGTAAGAGGAAGAGGGACAGGCCAAGAACTGGCAACCTCAGAAAACAAGTGGAGAAGACAGAAAGTGATTCCTGATAAAAGAGAGAAGTTCCTTAGGGCAACTTGTGCAGGTAGAATATTTCATCAAAATCAAATATGCGGAGAGGAGAGGAGTGTTTGGGCAGGAGAGATGTGAAACAGTTGTATTTTAAGTAATCATACAGGTTGACCTTGCTTACCAACTGCCTTGTTCAGTGACTGTTTGAAGTTACAATAGTGCAAACCCCCCCCCAAAAAACCCTTTATGACCAGTGCCCACATTTATGATATATGGTGTCCCTGGATCACGTGATCATTACTGTCAGTACCCATTGTGTCCCTGACCTGTTGTTTTTCTCCTCTCTTGCAGACCAGAGGGATTGGAGAGGAAGGGATTAGAAGAGAGTAAGCAGATACATAATGGGGAATACACATCAAAAACAATGTGCTGGCAGTGGCAGTTGCTAGCACATCATTCAAACAGCTCAATATATTTCCCATTGTGTGCCTGCTTTTTTACTTATTTGCTTTTTTATTTCCGTAGGCACGCCTCTCAACAATTGACTCTGAGCAGCTTATCACATAAAACAAATTAAAAATAATTAAAATATTTAAAATATTTTTGGTCATTGAGTAGAACTATTGCCATGGATCTTATTCATTTTTTATTTATTACAGGTAGTCCTCAACTTACAATAGCTCATGTAATAACAGTTCAAAGTTACAGCGGCACTGAAAAAAGTGACTTATGACAGTTTTTCACAGTTGTGACCTTTGAAGCATCTCCATGATCATGTGATCAGAATTCAGATGCTTGATGACTGGTTCATACTTACGATGGTCGCCATGTCCCAAGGTCACCTGATCCCCTTTTGCGACCTCCTGACAAGCAAAATCCATGGGGAAGCCAGATTCACTTAACAACCGTGTTACTAACTTATCAACTGCAGTGATTCACTTAACAACTGTGGCAAGGAAGGTTGTAAAATGGGGCAAAACTCACTTAACAAATATCTCACTTAACAAATTTTGGGCTCAGTTGTAAATTGAGGACCGCCTGTATTTGCTCACTCCAAATTAATGTAAATACAAACAATTCCCTTCTTGCTAATTATCTCAGTGCTAAGGTGAGCATTCCAAGGGGAACAGAGAAGGAAAGCATGGTTGCCATCACATGATTTTCCACTTAGCAACCATTTCATTTAATGACAGCTGCCAATCCCAGTTGTAGTCATTAAACGAGGACTAGCCTTGCTGCTGCAACTCATAACCATCTGTTTTCTGGGCTTTTAGCAGAAAGTTTCTATAGTTTCTACATAGTTTGGGCACTGCTAAGAAACCTAAACCTTAACCAAAGAATTGATGGATTTAGTGACCTAATTAGAGCTTTGCAGATGTTGGGGTCCCTCAGCTGCCCTCCCTCTTATCTGCCTGAGTGTAATTTTGTTCTCTTTAAAGAGAACAGTCACTTCTTTCTCATTTGATGCAGTTTCCAAGAACCTCTGAATGAGGAAGAAGAGGAGGAAGAACCTAATCCTCCAGTGATGGTGCCCCTGGCAGATCTTCTAAATCACGTAGCCCTCCACAATGCCAACTTGGAATATTCTTCGGTGAGCAAGGGTCTCACTGCCAGCAACGTATTCTATCCTGCCTAAGGTTGCATTGCCCTGAGACTGCATTTCCAAGAATGTTTGAAGGGTGAGCTGCACCTGCTATATCAGGAAGAGGGATCCAGGGCAGGGATACCCTTCTTTCTTTGCCTTGCCCTGGATGTCCTGTTCCAGGTCAGTGGAGCAAGCACAGCTCAGCACTTAGTAGAAATGAAAATGACTTCTGTTGAGGGACAATCAGGTGCAGATGGTCCGGGCAAAGCTTTTTTTTCCAGAGATACTCAGGAGAGCAAAACAAGAAGGAATCTGAAGTTGCACCCTTTCCTGCTGTCTTGGCAGGAGTCCTTGAAAATGGTCACCACTCGGCCTGTCCACAAAGGCCAGGAGATCTTCAACACCTATGGAGAAATGGCCAACTGGCAGCTCCTTCACATGTACGGCTTTGCTGAGGCCTACCCTGGCAATACCAACGACACTGCTGACATCCAGATGTCAACGCTGCTGAAAGCTGCGCTTCAAGGCAAGTGGCTCATTCTGGTTATTGATCCTCATTTAGCACGAGGATCATCTCAAATTGAAAAACATAGATTTGCTGTTTCAGATAGAAGGTCAGTCAGACAAAACCTCCCCCGTAAGGGCAGGTCATTATCTGACAATCTCCTTCCAAGAGCTTAATGGAAGGTGTGCTGGAGAGGCCATTGTGATTGATTATTTAGCACTCAGGGAACTGGGGCTGGGGGGGGGCACTTCCAGTATTTGAGAAGGACTTTCCCCCTCTAATAGAGCCCAATTAAACTAGACACTCTGTGACATTAAGGCAGAACAGATTTTGGCAGTAACAAAAAGAGAAGCTGGAAAGCACACTCACTTGCAGGAATCTCCTGGATCGTCAGAAATGATTGAAGACAATCCATTGAGGGCTGATTGACAGGCCTGCATTTTAAGCCAGCTGTAGCCCATGTAGAGTGCAGCACAACATTCCAATTGTGAGTTCAACGGTGTGAAAACTGAAGAGCCTCCCAAGGGTGCAAGTGGCACACCAGGAGAACCCGTGCAAAGGCCCTCCTGGCTACAGCTGCCACCTGCTCTAAGCAGTAGCTGGGAGTCCAGAAGGACCTGAAGTTGCACCATGGCCTTAACTGGCAAAGTGCAAACCATCCAAAGGTGGTGACCTCCCTGCCCCTGGTGGCCACAACCACAGCCACTCAGTCTTCTTAGAATGGAGCTGAAGTCTCTTCCGCCCCATCCAGACCCAAATAGCCTCCAGACATCGACAGCTTTACCTGTGCAGCTTAGGGTTGAGGTGTAGAGTTGTCCATCATGGTGATACCGAACCCCAAACTAGCAGCTGATCTCACCCAGCAGCTTCATGAAGATGTTGAACAGGAAAGGAGGAGGAGAATGTCGAGCCTTGAGGCACCTCACACATCGGGATCTGCAGCCACAGTCTCTTCCCCCCCCCCAATACTGTCTGAAACAGTCCACTGGACCACAGCACCTCCCCCAAAAAGATGCTGTAGACAATAGCATTGAGGTCTGCTGAGACCCCAAGGAGCACTGGGGTCCCAGCTGCACCAGAGGCCATCAGCAAGCACAACCACAGCTCTGTTTCCATACTCTGGTCTGAAAGATGCACAGACGAACCAAGCAATATTGGAGATTATGATTGTGCACTTGAATTACCTTTATTAGCTAGTATTGTTAACACATTTGAACATTCAGTTCAGTGCAGAATAAACAAGCCCTGAATGACAGAAGCCTTTCCTTAACATAGCTAGTCTTCCCTGGCTGCATTCTATCAACCTTCTCATGGTCAGCCCCTTTTACTTGAGGCTGTAGATTCCAGCTGCCACTTGCTTCTGCTGGGCCCATAAAACAGCCTATAAATTGGCAATTTAAAGTGTAGAATCATTAATTGGGGTTGTTTTTTCTTATTTTATTTGTATCCCACCTGTATTATTTTTAAAAATAACTCAAGGCAGCAAACAGATCTAATACACCTTCCTCCTGCTTTTCCCTTAACCACATACCATATCGAGAAGGTTGCTTATTTGTAAATCACAACCAACTGGTTGACACTTAAGTAGGAGAGAAGTGCTACTTTGCCACTTTTCAGTTAAACCAGGAAGACAAAAGGTTTTTGAACCAGAGAAGGGCAGGCCTGTTTCTTTTCCAAATTCAGTTTTGCATTACAGAGCTTCTTCTGACTGTATGTTATTCAATCAGCCACAGATACAGACATGGAAGAGAAACTGGTCCTGGACCAATGGGACTTCCTTTGCCGTCAGGAAATGGTGGGTGAGGAAGGGGCTTTTGTGATTGGCTGGGAGAGAGTTTTCACTGAAGAGGAGCTCTCGGTGACATTACAGGTCAGTGATTTAACCTAATCTGAGAATTGTTTTGATTAAGCAGCCGACTTGGTCAGTTGGATGCACACTGCTTTATGCTTGATGGTATTGCTTGTGGAGTGCCAGGCTTCGATGGACTCACAAGGGTGGCGGATAATTTTTGTGCTGCTCCAATCGAACTGGTGCTGTTTGGGGCTGAGGTGGGTAGAGATTAAGGTTTTGGGATTGTGGCATTTGACTAACAGCCTTGTTAGTGGATCGTGATTTTTAATTGATATGATGTTGGTTTCATGTAGAATTGTTGCAATTATTACAGTTGATTTTGTAATTATATTGTTTCTTTCATCCTTCTGTATCTTGACTTTGGTTCTGGATAATTCCTGGTGGAGTGTGGCTGTGGGTTTGTGGGCTATTGCTATTGGAAAATTCTGGCTATCATTTCTGACACGCCTTTTATATATGGTAGGGTTAGTTTTTGCATGGTGGTTGGCTGTGTGGTGTGTTGTGGTTTGGATGCTGTGTGTCGGAATATGAAGTTTTTTGTATAGCCGTTATGGAGCCTCCAGGAATTATCCAGAACCAGACAAAATAAAGAAGTATGAAAGAAACAATGTAATCTACAAAATCAACTGTAACCACTGCAGCCAATTCTATGAAGGACAAACATCACATCCATTAAAAACCAGGATCCACAAACATCGGGTGGCAGTCAAACGCCACAATCCCAAATCCTTAATCTCTAGCACCCCGACACCAAACAGCACCAGTTCATTGGAGCAACACAAAAATCATCTGCCACCCTCGTGAGTCCATTGAAGCCTGGCACTCCACAAGCAATATCATCAACAGACACATTGACCTACAACCAGCCTATGAACTCCTCAGAATCCAAATCAACCACACAGCCAACCAGAGACAGCACCAACCCTCAATCAACCCATGCAAGCCCCCTCCCCACTAGCAGTTCACCTCCCAATGACCCTGACTTGATGTAACCTTCCCATCACCAGAGCCATTACAAGACTCACTGATGACTCACACCTGAATCCCTACTGATGTTCTTCTCTTCCTGTTTGATAAGGTGTAGGAATATACTTCCAGCACAAAAAAAACATGTGACTGCAGAATGGCACAGATATTACATTTTACCGGAGAAGTATTTTAAGTAATTTAAGGGTTCCACTTGTGAAAATTACCATCTTCTCCCATTATGGTTATATATGCATTACATTTAGCTAGGAGTTTTGCAAAATGCTTCCATTAAGTCCTCGATTATGCTGTGGTTCTCTTCTCCTGTACAAGTGTTCTCACTGTCTTGCAACATGCATATACACACATACAGCATGTAAGACAAAACCCTGCAAGAGATGAAACTGACAGCTTTTTAAGAAAAGATGAGCTGTATCACTGATGGGGAATGGCCTGCTTAAAACCCAAAAGTGGTTTTGCCTGGTGAACTTTGGTTTTGGTTATCTCTAACTGGGAATGGTGTGTCTGTGTGTCTCACTGAAGGTGCTGACCATGTCTGTGGAGGAATTCAAGGAGTTTAAAGACCAAGAGGCCAAGACTGATGGAAAAGGGACCACTTGCTTCATCCAGTCAGTTACTATGATACCCAACCTGAGTGCTGCTCAGAAGAAGCTTCTCTTTGATGCCACAGTATTAACGCTGAAGGCTTTCTCCTCTGGCTTGAAGGAGGAGGAAACAATGCTGGGAGACCTGCAGGCTTATTTGAAATTAAGCCGCCGGGAACAATTTGCCCTCCAAGTGCGATATGGCCAGAAGAAAATTCTGCATCAATTACTTGAGCTGACAAAGTAGCTGCTGCTGCTGGAGGGTGGCAATCTTTGGGCCTAAATGCCAGAACGAGGCTTCTAAGCAGATGGAGGCTGTTTTCATAGGCTATAAAAATGAATTCCATGGATGGAGTTGGTTTCCTCAAGGACCTAATGGTTCAGACTTGTCTTCAGAAGAAAGCTGTTTGGTCCATCTATGTCTACCGTAGAAGCAAAGTCAACAACCTTTAAGAGGACACCTCTGAATAGCTTTGTGGGCCATCAGCATATTTTGGTGACGTTCATTCACAAGAATTAAAGGTGCTTGTGATTGGAATGTCACAAAGATGTTTTGTCATAGCATGGAATAGTTTGGCAGGTTAAATTCTTAAAGGAAATTTGACATACAATAAACATTTTACTATAAGACTATAGAAACAAATGGTTATTGCGTCCGGTAGGTAGTATCTCTAAAATATGACCCACGCTATAAACTTTTAAGGGGGCACAATGGGCTCAGCAGTGAAAAACGCTGAGCTTGCCAGCTGCAAAGCTGACAGCCCGGGTATGAGACTTGAGTAGGTGAGCTCCCATTCCTCCCCCCAGCTCCTGCCCACCTAGCAGTTTGAAAGCATGCAAATACAAAAAGATTTAATAGGTGCCACTTCGGTGGGAAGATAAACAAAGCTCTCTGTGCGCCTTTGGCATACAGCCATGCTGGCCACATGACTACGGAAACGGTCTTGGCTCCCTCAGCTAGGAAACAGATGAACAGCACCCCCTGGAGTCAGACACCACTGGGCAAGAGAAACCTTTACCTTTACGTAAACTTTGGCTATTCTATTCAATAATGTGGGTCTCTAACACCTTCAAGCATAAACTACCGCAAGAAAGGTAACTCGGTGCTTTCTTCAACTCCATAGAATGTATTTTTTTAAGTTTTTTAGTTAATTATTTCAAGAAATTTAATACTTGGAGCAACTTGTGTTTAAAATTCAGAGCACTAAAATGTGCTGCCAAGTATGCATATACTTTTCACATCAGAAATCAAGCAAGTTTTGGCATAGGGGTGCTCTTTTCCCTTAATCTGAGAGGCAGCAACTTTCTGCGTTAATTTGAAAACCCAAAGTTTCTGATGCATCACAGTTGCCTGAGACATGGGAGGCCCCCATTCAAATGGGCCTTTCGTTTACTGGTGGGTTTGGACTAAAGACTTCTGGCTGGTCCTTTCCTGCTGTAAGATTCTATGTTCTGTCATCTCGCCTCATTCCCCCATTTCATAAGTACTATATTGCGAACCTTGAACAAATAACCTTGAGTGGTATCTCAATATTGACTTCATGTAATAAAAGCCCTTTTAACATTGTGTTTATTTTCCTGTTAGTTTAAAAATAAAATGAAAATGTTTTGCTTTTCTGATGAGCTGTAATGTGGAAGGTGTTGAGAGAACAAGAGGCATTTGCTGCTTGTCATGACTTTAATGTTTAACTACAGAAGGCATACATACAAGAAGTGGGAGAACTAAAGCCCAAGAGAACTAGAAAGGCTACAAAATACAACACATGGACCAATACATTTACAAAACATTCAAAATCCTTACAAAATGGGCTGTATTGGTCCTTTTTGTTCTTTTTACAAACTCAAACTTTGTGGCCACAGGGGAGCAGTTAACAGATTCACATCCTCCCCCCTCCCAAATTTACAAGCATAAAGAAAGAAAATCTATAGGCCAGGTTGTTTCTCTTGCTAAAAGGATCAGCCCTCTTCCAAAGGGGGGTTGGAGGTTTCTCTCTGCCAAGGAGCACCAGACTCCACTGGCCAGCCTCGGGTGGCAGCATCTGATGCAGGAAAAGCAACATCCTGGGTCCCAACTCCCCCACCTTCCCCTTAATGTTCTGTAGGATCTTGAGCATCCTTTGTTTTTGGAGAATTTTGTGATTTAGAAGTCCCACCCCAAGAAAAATAAGTTACATAATATTTAAACTGGCTTTTCCGTACTCTTTGGGAGTCCGGGAATGTCAGATGAGCAGATCTGCCCCAGACAAGTGCTTGGCATCAGCAGCCACCACTGTATTATACGCTGGTCAGGCACATATTATGTGCCTCTCTTGAAACACAATATGCACAAATCCAAAGTTCCAACAAATATTTCTGTTCTGTGTATTTACAATAGTTCAAAATTATATTCACAGCATCTTCTGAATTTTGGCCAAGAGTGAGAAACTTGTTTTCAACTTTGTAACATGCCCACGTAGATTTCTGGCCAAAAGACCTGTGGTTTAAGCCCAGGAGGGGGGGAGGGAAGGCAGCCCCATGGCTAGGCAGACCCACCCATTTTCTTCTGTCAGCTTGATAGAGAGCTCCAGGCTGGCATCGTCCCCACAAAGTTCATTTCTTCTAGCTGGCTCCAGTTCCTTCCATTACTTGCTGTGCCTGCTTCTGCCCCATACAACACTGTGCGACTGACTGGAACAGTCTAGGACACAGAGGAAGGACTTAATTTCAAGACAAATAGATTAATCTCCCAATACAGTCATGCTGCTTCAGATTTACTCACTTTTCAATTTCTGGAGCACAGTGAACAAACTCATGGTTCCAGAATTTAAATGCTGGATTTTTAATCAATTCAATGAAGGTGATTAAGAGACCCCAGGGATGAGGCCTATTTACAATCAGTCGTTCTAACAAGACCCTGTAAAAAAAACAACACCAAGATGAAATTATGAAAAAAAAGACAAAAAGCAGAAACAATTACAAAGTCTTTTTGGGTAAACAGCAACAGCTCATGGAAATAGCTGCAGAGACATTGGAGGTTATCAACATCTTAATTTTAGATCTGGAGCTTGCTCTCCCCTTAAAACTTAACAGGCATAATCTGGCTTTCTGGTTAAGGAGAATTTTTTTTTTTTGCAACTTTTGGCCCTACAGAGGAGTAAAACCCTGCTTTTCTGTCGAGTCTCACATCTTCTGCTCATTCTCAACAGTACCTGGTGATCTGCTCTTGAATAGCTTCTGTATTGGCTTCTGCAAACAAGTAAAGCATGGTGCAGCTGAAGTAGTGCGTGTGGCTGTTGGGATACCTTAACTGATTGGCAATCGCATTCAGGAAGAGGTACCGACCTGGAACATAGCACCAAGGGAGAAAGACAGAAAAGACAGGTTGCATTCATCTAACAGTGCACAAAATGTGGTGCCCTAAATTTTGTGCAAGCTGGGAAGAGCTCAGAAAATTGTCTATTTGTCTACACAACTCAAATGAGCCACCCATTCTTCCCGCCATCGACAAACATTTTGTGTGGGATTGTAAGACAAGGTGTCCAGCTGTGCCACAGGTAGTCCAAAGAGGCCCTGTTTTTGCCCATCTCAGCAGGGAGCAAGGATAGCCAACAAATTCTCCAGAAAGAGGTCGGCTGCCAAAGGGAGCTTCTTCAGGAAGGGAAGGTGCGAAGACCCAACATCTTCACAAGCATGGGAAAGGATCCCGTTATCAGCTCCTTTCCCACAGCGGACTTAACACCTGGGGATTGGCCCATTAGAACTGACCGGATGAACTATGGGGTGGGGTTTTGCTTGGGACTCTTTTTCATCTATTGATCTGAGCGGGAAAACCTCAGATCCTGCCTCTCATGCCTGCTATCAGCTTCTCCTAATAAAAGTTCCTTTTGGAAAGAAACTGTTCCAAGAGTCCTGCTTTCTTGGGATGAGGTTTTGAAGTGGGCCCTGACACTATTTGGATTCCTATCAATCAGGATTCAAACTGTCATGGGGTAGTCATGGTGCCCCTCTTTGTCCATATAGACTTCTCAACGGCTTTTAGTACCAATGACCATGATACCCTGCTAGGTCCCTGAAGAAGCTAAGCTGGCAGCCTTTCTTCAGGGGTTCCACTTCTACCTAAGTTGGCAGTTCAGATGTACTCTAAGGGAGCAATGCTTGAGGCTGTGGTTGCTCCAGAAGACTTAATCTCCTTTCACGTTACAAGAGGAAGGAGGATGTGGGTCTGTAGTGATCCCACTATTTGGAATTACCCCTGGCAGTCAATGCAAACCCACACCTTCAAAATATCCTGAAAAAGCTGCCAAATGCAGCCTAATCTGTCAATATTCTCTTTCTTTAGAATGCAATTTCCAGCCCTCCTTTCTTAACCTCTCAAACGAGAGAGATACGGATTGCATTATGCCATGACCTCGCGCATGAGGGTTCACAGGAGTCCCAAACAGAATAAGAACAATGTGGTCAGTATAATTAAATAGTTGTCATTTACTCTAGTTGTAAAGTAGTTGCAGTTAAATATAAACCATTCCTGAAGGTTTAGTGTGGAAAGTAAAGGATGGTCCCAAGACCCGTGAAATCATATTTGCAGTTTTGTTCCTCAACCCCTTCCTGCTTCTGGGTTACCTTCTGTGTCCAGATCGACAGCAAGGTTCTGGAAGATGTCCATGTGGGCTGAATGAGTGATGGTGCTCATGGATGGCGTGCTGCCCTTGTTATGAATGTGTGCAATCGCTTGTGTACCGACATAAAGCACCAGGGCATTGATCAGCTGAATATTATAACGATTGCCAGGCTCATTTGATACCTGTTGGAACAAAGGCAAAGGGAGGAGAGTAGACTTTTAAGGAAGAGTGAACTTTGATAAAGTCCTGGGAGAAAGCTTTTCCTACCACTCACCAAGCAACAACTCTACAATTTAAATATGCAAGATTTTAAAAGCAAAGATACTCTGAGACATATTAAACATGTAATGCAGTAAAACCTAGCTTTTAAAAATGTCCAGGGGAGGTGGGCTGAAGCATGATGGACTGGCCCAGTGATTAGACCAGCTTAATAAAACACCTATCTGTGTCCTGGGAGCAAATGTCCAGGGCCACTCTCACCACAAATGTGATCTTGAACAAAGGTCTCACCTGCAAGTTGCTGCGCAGGTCGGAGAGGAACGTGACCGGAGAACGAGTTTTGAGATAGGAATCCAAATCCTTCTTGAACTGAGGTGGCATCACACCAGTAAAATTGGTGAGGATCCGTGGAGCAATATTGATCTCACTCAGCATGTCCACCTGTCAAGAACGTACCCAACAATCTTAGCACTGTCTAAAAGATTGCAATTAGCATGTTTCTAAGTAGCACAAACTAACTTTATTGGCAAAATCAATGGGGAAGCCAGATTCACTTAACAACTATGTTACTTAGCAATGGAAATTTTGGGCTCCATTGTGGTTATAAGTCAAGGACTACCTGTACCTGATATAAGATATATACACAAGCTGCAAGAGATGTCAACTTTTCCTTTGGCAATATTTTCATTTATAGTTTACTCCTATATTTGTGAAAAAGCTTAAAGAGCCATAGGAATCTTTTCATCACATCTCCAATGCAGCTACCAGGACAAAAGCAAGATTTTCTTGATGAAGTTATCCAAATGGCAAGATGGCTGCTTCGGTCCTTTGAGCATCTCAGATACCCACCACCATTGCTTCCTGCTCTTCAGGGCAAAAGCCTTCCCTGTGCGAACCCCCTGAGCTCCTCAGAACTCAAGGCTTGTAACAACTGCGCTTCACCTGGGGATGCCAAGACACCCTCAGCGGTGAGACCCAGCAATCTAGTCTGAGGCTCCTCTTGCTGCATGCATAGTTCTTGTCTTCAGGGAAGAAAATAGAGGGTGCTTCCTGCAGGGCACAAGAGTAGTTCCCTGCATCTCTCGGCTCCTCCCGTGGAAACAAAAAAGCTGTCTTCTCTCCAGAGCTCTGTTCTGCTTACTTATAGCAATAGCAACAGTAATTAGACTTAGGTACAGCCCCATAGTGCTTTTTAGCACTCTCCGGGTTATTTACAATGTACAATGTTGGTATTGCCCCCAACAATCTGGGTCCTCATTGTACCGATCTCAGAAGGATGGAAGGCTGAGTCAACTTTCAGCCATGTCAGGAACGATTCCTGGTTGTGGGCACCGTCAGACTGCAATGCTGCATTCTAACTAATGGGCCACCACGGCTTTTATGGGGGATTGGCTTCTTTATGTCCTCTGAAACTACCTCAGTGCAAGTAATGCTCCCACAAGCACTCAGGCAAAACCAGGAATGCACCAGAGCTCCTTGGTCCTTCCCCCAACTGCTCTCCCTGTCACTTCACTCAGTTCCAAGCACTCTTCCTGGTGCAGCCATCGTGTTAGGTGGGGCAAAGAGGCAATTGTCGAACTGAACAAATTAGGACATTTGGTGCTTTCCTTGCAGCATGCTTTTGAAATAAATATAACAAACTAACAAAAAAGTAAGGTGGAATTGAGATCTGCCACACTCAAGGGGCACCCGACTGCAAACTGAGAGCCCAAAATCACAGTTCTGGATGGCAGGAGGGACAAAAGACAAAGATATAGTAAAAGAAATTAGATGGTTGACTTCTTAGGAAACTTTTAAGTTTAGGTTTTAGCTGAAAAATTAGTATAGTCTCAGAAGAAAGCGTTAGTGGGAACTGCTACCCAATGATGATTCAAGATAACACCAATTTGCTAAAATTAAGTAACCTGAAATGGAAGATGCATTACAGGTAGTCTAGGCTGCATCAACAGAGGGACAGTATCAAGATCATGTGAAGTTGACAGTACTGCTTTAGATTATACTGGTAAGACCACACTTAGAATACTGCTGTCACAAAGACCAGGAAATCAACCTATTCTCCAAAAGTAGATTGTAAAGGGTGGAAGATCATTAAAGAAAGATCCAACCTAGAACTAAGGAGACATTTCTGGAAAGTTAGAACAATTAATCAGTGGAATGGCTTCCCTGCAGAAGCTGTGGGCCCTCCAACACTGGCGGTTTTTGAAGAAGAGATTAAACAGCCATTTGTCTAAGAATGTTATAGAGCCACTTGCTTGGAGGGGGCTGGACTCAAAGTCCTCCAAGGTCCCTTCCTATCATGTTATTCTATTTGGTGACTACAACTGGAATCAGCAACTTGATCATTAAACAAATTAATCGCTAAGTGAATCTGCAACTGTTCTTATGATTTTACTACAGCTTTTTTTTTTGCTTTATAGGCCTGTCGAAGTTGTAAATGTGAGAATCTGTCAAAGAGTTATTTTTTTCATCACTGTCTTAACTGTGAAGGGTTGCTAAACAAGTCAGTTGCTAAATGAGAACTAGCTGCAACACACAGTCTTTTCTGGGAGGGGGCTTTGTGGTATCCAAAGCAGAACATCCAGATTCAGTCACAGTTTTGTTCCATACAGCACTAACTTTGTGAACTCTCAAGCTTCCTCTTTTCACTATGTATTCAAGATGGACAGTGATTTAATATTTATATGTATTTATATGTAAGGATGTAGGTATATACATATATATAGCATATTTATATGTGTGTTATGTATGTGTACACTTTTGAGAGCAGGCAACAGAATTTCATTTTTAATGTGTGCCCACAGCAAAAAATGACAATAAAGGTTATCTTATCTCTCTCTTAAATCTTTCAATGCTACAGAACTTGCAGTTTATTTATTTATTGAATTTATTTGCTGCCCATCTTGTAACGAACAACTCTGGATGGCTTCCAGCATTAAAACAATAAAATCCTAACAAAAAATACTTTAAAAAAAATAAAAGTACCAAGTATCTTACCTTAAGGTTGGGAGTGAAGGGGTCAGGAAGCCTCATATTACGTGGAAAGGCACTCAAAATCAGATTCCTTAGCTGAATACAGTTTGGAGGAATCACATCACAAAATCCATAGTGGTAATCACAAAGGAATTCTGGGAAATCATGTAATAATACCAGTAACACACGCAGTGTTCCCTATGGACAGGAATATTAAGAGGAGAAATTATCAATCTATTACAAGAGAAAGTGTGAGAGACAGACAGCGTATAGGCACTTGTGACAGCAGAACTGCAGTTATTTATTTAGCGCATGTCATGTCATACATGGACTAGAAATATATATTAACATTTCATACCGCAATAAAATAGAAATGTTAAAAATATATCTGTTCAAATACCAATGTCTGGGGCATCTAACCACTGAAGGGCTGCATTGTTTGTATGAATGAAATCAGACACAGGGCCGGCTAGATGCCCTCAGCTATCAGCCAGTCACGATGTGATCTACAGAGTTTGAGGTGGGAGCCCTGCAGTCACCCTGAGGGGAGGTTGCAGGGCCCCGTTTATGCAGGGAGCCCCGGCAGACGCCATGCGAGGTGCGAATCCTATGCAGGAATGTCCATGGCTGACATGGTAGTTCAAAGCCTGGTCCCTTTTCTGTGGGGTCATCTATATGTCTCCCTATACCCGTCTGGCTCCCCATTGGGAATTGATGTTAATAAAGTGGCTGGGCAGAGGTTGCACAAGGGCCGGTGGGGGCTTCCTGGCTGATAAACGAGGAAAGTCAGCCCGGTAGGAGTGAGTTGTTCATAATTTTTGCAAACTGAAAGTCAAATGTAAAAGCTATGGACTCTGCCAATGAGTTATAGTCAGTCATGCTGGAAAAAGCCTACAAACAGCACTAAAATGAATCTATTGTAATCAACTAATTTTGTTAGAAGTGGCATTAATGAGCACTCAGATCATATGTGCATTAAAACTCCTTAGTTTCAGCTAGATTTAAGAGCATATGTATTTTAAACAACAGTAAACAGTATTACAGCAATTTTTGCATGGGAAACTGTAAGGAAAAGCATTCTGTTAACTCCTTCAGTTTGTCACAGGAATGCACTGGCCATTCAACTTTCTCCTGGTCTATTCCAATTTCCCTTCTTCCCCTCCTCAAATTGTCTCCTAATTTACCTTGTACAAAATTTGCATAGGCTTGGCAAGTTCCACATTTCTCAGGAAAGGAGCCAAATATTTGAACAGGTCAATCAAGAGCTGTGCATACATGGGCCAACCCTAGAAAGAGAAAGTAAGGAATGAGAGCATTGCCATTTTTGCTAGTATGTTTCCAAAACTTCCCATCTGACTCCAGTGATTAACAACCTGTACTCAGCAGCATTATCAGGACGATTCTAAAAATCTTCAAGCTCCCAGAAACCAATCTAAAAGCATACATGAAGAGCTTCCCCAGAGTTTGGCACCTTATTGGATGGAAGTGGAACAATGAATTGGCTTGCTTGGATTTATTTATATTTATTTATTTAATAAATGTTAAATTTATACGCTGCCCATCTTGTCATGGTGCTACTCCGGGCGGCTTACAAGAAGAAAATAGAAAAAAGATACAAAAAGTAAACACAACAATACCAAAGCAATAAAACAATAAACAACAGAAGTACAATAATATAAAATTAAAAAGATTTTTTATTAAACTTGGCCAAAGAGCTACAGAAAAGCATACCAGTCTACAGCCTCGATGGTTGTATTGAAATTTAGGGCTAGAGTAAACTGACTGAAAATTAAAGGGTAGCTCTCAATTACATTTCCTATTGTTTTTTTATTCCCTCAAAAGAAACATATAATAATGAATGTAATCACCAACAAAAAGTGGCTATTTTCCTGCCACTGGGTTCTTTGAGGATCATTTATACATTTTGTCTCTCCCCCCACCCCTTACACAGATCCCATTCCAAACCTTCTGGAGACTTCTGACAGAAACCCTCATGCATGCAAGGCGTGGGCCATGCTAATCTCGAGGCTGATGCAAACAACTGCTTTAATTACAAGAGAAAATGGCGACACAAAACAGGATAGAGCAGATTAAATGAAGGGGTGGCTGACATTCGAAATCCTTCATTATATTCCAGTGACCTGTTCTTCACCGAGGTTTTGGTGATCAACCAATCACCAAACAGCAGAAGTGGGGCTGTTGCCCCAAAGCTGAACCACACCCAGTTTGTGTTGTGCTGGGCTAGATGACACCAATGAACTCGGAGATACTAACAGCATGCATAGCCTGCATGACTTCAAGGCCATACGTGGGGATGGAAAAGTACTGAAGACTTAATTTATAGATCACAGTCTGTAATTTTTGAACTTTATCCAAGGCATCATTGGTCTTCACAACAAGCCATTATTGTTATCACAGAAAAACTCCTGGGCATCTTTAGTAGACCAAAGCCACACAGGTTAGCAAAGCATGGCTTAAGGTTATGATCTTTAGCACCATTTCTCATGGTGATAAAAGTATCATGTACTTGATTCCTCCTTTGAGAAACATTTCATCTCTATGTAGAAAAACTGGACAATTTGGTATTTGTTTTCTGAAATACTTTCTCCAATGAGGGTGAGTGTCTGATAACTGGATAAGTGCTCCAGAGGATGAGCTTGGAATGAGTCAGATTGCCCTATATTGGATAATAAACCAAGAAACTTTGCTAAATAAAAATCTGCTCAGTATATAGCAAGCTTCTTGATCCTTTGCTAATTCCCACTTTAATATCAGGTGTCAGTATAAACCAAACTTAGGATAGAACCACAGCAGCTTTCAAAGCAAAGTAGACCAAAGAGAGGCTGTGGCCCATGTCTAACTGAAGAACACCAATCTGGGGCCTAAAGGTCTCAAATTAAGGAGGCTCGAGAGAAGATTCTGATGATATTGACCTTGAAAGGTGCCAGGAAGAAAGAGATGAATGGCATGGGAAGATGGTCTGATTCCCAGCATCTGGTTGGGGGAGGTTAACATGCAGTTTTTATCCTTTGTCTTATATGGGACAAAGGTTTTTGACCACTATCAGTGTTGCACTTGAATGGTGCTGAGAAAGAACATGGAAAATCTCAGAACTTTTCTAAGAACTTGAAACTGACAGTGTGATGTGGAGGTCAATAGACAAAAATGGATTCTATGGCCTTCAAACCTTTCCCCCCCACAGCCGTGTCAAGTAATTGTGTCACTGTTGCTTAGCAAAAACCTGGCAATGATTCGAAGAGCAGGTGGCAGTAGTGGCTAGGAAAGCCTTTGTGCAACTTATATCCTTTCCTGGATTGGGAATCCCTGTGCTCAGTTACTCAGGTCATCTCGCGTCTGAACGACTGCAACACACTCTACATGGGACTACCCTCGAAGAGTACTCGGAAGCTACAGCTGGCACAAAATTAAGCTGTGTGGTCAGTTCTTGGGAGCCCTTTGCCATCTTCGTTAATTTTAAGTCAATTTTAATGTTAATAGTTATTATTTTAATGTTTTATTTTATTGATTTTACTTGGTTGTAAGCCACCTAGAGTTGCCTTTAGCTGAGATGGACGGTGTATAAATTTAATAAATAAATATAAGTTTACAGGTATCCCTCATGCATCTATCTTTATGGCATATAGTCCTTCCTTCCTTCAATCAATCAATTGGTTTATACAACCAAGGATTGTATTGGGTTTTTTGGCTCCTGCCTCACAAGTGATCATTGACTAGGACTCCAAGGTCCCTCTCCCAGTTACTGTTTTTGAGCCAAGTTTCGCCTAATCTGTACTTGTACGTTTGGTTTTTATAGGACAAAGGCCAGGACTTGTGTCGTGGGACTTCAAGGTCAAAGCCTGAAGAGCACTGGTCACAGAATTTGTTATTTCCTGCAAGGGACTCCTTGCTATTTTCTTCTTTCTTATAATGATTATTCAAAACAAGTCACAGAGAAAAAGAACATTCCTAGTCCACTGAACAGATAAAGACTTGCTACTGGGGGGATGAGCTGGATCCAGTCTCAACCTGGCAGCTCTGTGGAGAAGGCCTTCTTCCCATACAAATGGGTAATTTCTATGAATAGGCTCTGTACGTACCAAACGTAGAGAATGAAAATGCGACCAAAATTATTTGTGATTAACTTGTATCCATGAAGCAGAATTGAGTTTTGATATCTTAAAATGACAGACTTAACTTCTTAGCCATTTCCTTAACCTTGAGAACTTTAAGACTTGTGAACTTCAACTCCCAGAGTTGAAGGAATTCTAGGAATTGAAGTCCAGAAATCTTAAACTTCCCAAGGTTGGAGATCCCTGCCTTATGGAAAGATAAGAAGTACATTATATTAAATGTCATACAGCCACATAACCCAAATCTACAACCAAGACACATTTTGATACTCTGCGGAAACTTCATAAGTAAGAGAAGATAAACTACAGACACACCTTCTGCTGTGGTGTATGTGCCAGCATCCTTGCAATAAATATCCGATGGGAGATCAGTTCTAACCAAGCATAAACAAAACCTGGAGCTTTTGTAGGTCGCAGGATGTGAAATGTATTGCTAAAATAAAAATACAGTGGTCAGTGGGATATTAACCAAAGTTAAGAAACTGCATTATAATCTGAGAACATCATCAACAGTAACAAATGAAAACTGTGACATAAATAGCTTTTTCTAAAAACAAAAAAGGAGCCATATAGTGGAAATATAAATATCATTAGTTGAAAAGAAAAAACCTGAAATTTCAGAAACCAATTTTCATGGTCTATGGAAAAAAGTATTTTTAAACAGTTATTCCCTTCTCTCGAAGATCTTATCATTCAAATTATCTCAGTATTATCAAATTCCAACATATAGATTATAAAAATGGATACAATTATTTTCTTCAAAAGCATACTAAGTCATTCTCTAAGAAATGAAGTTGTCTCAAAAGCAATTAAATCTATCTCTTATTTAAGAGGCAATCTCGTAATAAAAGTGCAAATAAATGTAGTCCTCGATTTACAACCATTCGTTTAGTGACTGCTCAAAGTTACAAAGGACCTTATGACTGCATCTCCACGGTGAAATCATCAAAATTCAGGCATTTGGCAACTGGCATTTACAGTGGCTGCAGCATCCCAGGTTTGTGTGATTGCCAGTTGCGACCGACCCAACTGGTTTCCAACAAGCAAAGTCAATGGGGTTAGTTGGCTTCAGTTAATGATGAGATTCACTTAACAACTGAATGATTCGCTCAGCAACCGTGGCAAAAAAGGTTGTGAAATCAGGCATGAGTCGTTTAACAATGACTTATTTAGCAACAAAAATCTGATCCCAATTGTGGTTTGTAAACTGAGGACTACCTGTATTGGAACTGCAATTTAATTGCTAGATCCACAAAACCATATCTAATATACAAACCAGGCTTGCTTTTCATATACTCCTATTTATCCTGTGTGCCAAAGGGGCGCCATACTCTTCTGAGGTAAAACATGGCTTCCATCTATCTGAAGAAGTGTCTTGATTTCAATGGAGAACTGGCCTGAGAAATCTGATGGGGCTGCAAAGGGGTGGTCAGTTTCCTTCCCAGCTTAGTCATGATGCCTCTCTTTCTCATGTTGTCCACCATGGCATTTTCCCCAAAGCTTCCACAGGGGTTACTGAAGTTTTTTTAAAGCCACTCCTCCTTTCTGGCTGGTGAAAGGGTAGGGCTCCAGGGACCAGCTGCTTTTGCTGGCCAAGGAAGAAGCTTCCCTACTGCCCTCTGGGTAACAACCCCATCTTTCCGTCAGTTAATGGAGATGGGCTCATTGCAGGAGGAAGGCTCATGCCTTGATCTGGGCAATCAATTTTCCCAGATCAACCCCTTCCCCGAAGAAAGCAAGGGCTCCAACTCAGAACAATTCCTCAAAGGAGAAATTCTTCAGGGAAGCACATGCATTCTACCTGTATATACACATTTGCACACATATGCTATCTTTTGGCCTTTAAAAATAATGGGCTTTAATTTAAAACTATTTCTGATTGAGGGTACTGTCTAACAGCAGTCAAAAGGCCCCAAGGCACTGGCTCTGTGTCTGTCTCTGCAAGCGGAGATTCCAAGATTGCAGAGATCTTGAAGAATATCAATATAGGTGCTGGAGAATATCAACAGCTCCACTCAGTGCTGGCTTGAGAAAAGACAGATGAGACGTTCAAGAAGTCCACGTGGCCTCAGACAGTGGATGTTGCAAAGGGGCTGAAAGGGTTCAGAGTCAGTGTGTTCTGCTTGGGCCACTCTGATTGGGGCCTGGTACTCTGAATCATTACTGGCCAAATGCAAAGGGCTGAGGAAGGATGGGAGCCATACATAATCGCATTGCACTAGAAATCCTACTGTGAGCCTGATTCATTAAAAAAAAATGCTTTATCCTGAAAATATGATGCCCAGTAAGACTGTAGCACCTTCCATCAAGTTCAGATGTTTAGGTGTTCCACATTCCAAAATATGAAAGAGGAATCTGGTTCAGACAGTAAACAAGGACAAACACATTTATTTCCCTAAGCGCAAGTCTTTCAGGCTGCAGATAGGTCCTCAATAGACTCCAGCATTTCTCCTCCCTACGTTTGGTCCCCAGTCAACTGTTTCTACCCCTCAAGACTACATTACTCAATAGCCATGAGAGACAGGCAGCTTTATTTGTAGTGAAACACACTAGCAGACACAATACCAAACAGTATTGTGTCTGCTAGTGTGTTTCACTACAAATAAAGCTGCCTGTCTCTCATGGCTATTGAGTAATGTAGTCTTGAGGGGTAGAAACAGTTGACTGGGGACCAAACGTAGGGAGGAGAAATGCTGGAGTCTATCCAGAAAGCCACTTGAGGAGTCTCCACGTAAAGCTCTCCTTTCGCAATGTCCTGGCAACCAAAATGGATACCTCAAGGTGAGTCAAGCTTTGAGAAAATGGTGCTGTCCCCAAATGCTTTTCTAAGGAAATTTCCACAAATGCTCATACCTTTCCATTTGGTTTCTATTTGGTTAATAGAGGCTGGCTTGAGTAATAAATTCTTACTTGCTGAGGGAGAATAAGCACACGAGGAGCATTTGATGACCTCTGGCCACCATCTCTGCTGCTTATGAAAGAGAGACTGACATCCATGAGACAGGCCCTGCAAGTCTGACATATTGCTGTCTGTTTTCAGGGGCTCTGCTACACCTACCAGAAAGCTGTCAGGGTCTGAAAGTTGATAGTTTCCAGGACATGTTCAGGAGCATTTAATTCTAACAGTAACATGATGAAAATGCGGTGGTAGGGAAGTTGCTGAAATTCACTCTGACGAACATCATGATCCTGCAAAAGGACTCCCACCACTATCCCAAGAACCTGCAAATGCAAAGGAATGAATTGGCTCAGCATGTGCTAAAATCACTTTGAAAGCACACTGCAAAGGTAAAGATTAGAGAAAGCCCTTATAACTAACAGTTTATGGAATATTTTATTTTTAAATGTTAAAAATATTTTACTTGAGGTAATATTTTATGTTGTAGATATCTAAGGCAAAGTGACTAAGCACTTATCTATTCCTTTATTTCTCCCTTATTTAAAAGAGAGCACAAATTCATCCATCTGGGGAAAATAAAGACATCACTAACCTTATTAAGCAGGTTGATTTTTGTGACTGTGTTGGTAGCCTCTCCAGAGTGCTTCACCAACAGTGCAATAAGGCGCACAAAGGCATCCAAGTTGTGATAGCACTTGGCACGGATCATAGTGGGGTTTGCAGCAGGGTTGTGTTGCTGCTCAGCTTGAGCACGATAGCTGATTTCAACACACATTTCAGTGCAAAGACGGAAGAATCTTGTGATCAAGTCATCAGTTTTCAGAATCCCTTGTTGATGCATCTGTTTGGGGATGGCAATGAATTCACATTTAACAAAACTTATCTTTGATACAAAGAAGTACTGATGTTCTACAGAACATGTTGGAAAGCAGAGGGTGTGATGGGCTAACCATGGATAAAATCTCAGCATTTCACTCAATAGATGTGCATCATCAATGTCAGTCATGGAGAACCAGGCAAGCACTGTAGAGCTGCGTGCTAGTTGGGAGGCCAGAGGGCCAGTTTGCCCTGCAGGTAGAGATCCCTAATGCCACACCCTCGTGAGATATGATAAAGGAAAGGTACAGTCCTTATGGTCAGTCAGATCCAAGAAATGGTGGATGGATCGCATCAAGGAGGACATGAAATACGTGGGTGTCACCCCTGAAGATGCCCTGGACTGGCCCAAAGGGAGATGGCTTTGCTGAAAAGCGGACTCTGCCACAGTGCATTAATAACAATAGGAAGAAGAAGACAGTCTTTATGGTCAGTCCTGAGGACCATTCCATGTCTCTGAAAAGCAAGGAAGACTGACAAGCAATCTGAGCACTTTTTATGTGCTCTAGAGTGAGGCACCACTTATAGTAAGGAATGCTCTCAAGAGACTGAAGAAACGGATATTTCACTCAGAATGAAGCATACAAACGTACATACTACTTATTGACAATGACAGTATTTCAATGTCAACTTATTCAGAAGGAATGCTAAATTTGTTTATTCTAATGAGTCTGACTCCATAAAAAGTTTTCAACGTACATTTAATGCTAAACTATGACAGACATTGCAAACTGAATGCAAATATATTATTTATATATAACTGTACCATTTAAACATAAATGAGGGAAGGAAATTAAAATTCTGTGGCTGGCTATGAATTCTAAATATTCTGGACTTACAAAACTAAAACAACAGAAATACATATAATTTCATTCTTAAATTGATGCATACTATAAGTCATCTTCCTCAAAGCACACATGGGATATATATGTACATTGTTAAAAGAGCAGAAAGATAGCTTCACTAACACTGTTGCCATGGACTCAGTAATAAACAATCATATTCAAATATATTTTCAGACCAGTTAAGTATAGAACTTAATTTTGTTGCAGCGTATCACACAAAAGATCACCATCAGAGAATGCTAGCAAGAGATGATACTTATCAATGCCAGCAGGTGAAACCCAGAGACTTCATGAGCTCTACTAAAAGAAGCCATTAAATCTATTAACAAATCATTCACTAGTCTTTTACTGTCTGACGCTACTAATGAATATTTCTCTCACAATGTTATTTTTTGAAGATCTTTCAAAATGAAATCTTATTTTTGGAGGATTCAGTGTGAATTTCATATAAACATGTCATAAAAAACAATCTGTACTGGAGCAAGTTAAAAAAAAAACCCCAAATGGTGTCAGTCAGTCAGTATAGAAAGTTGAGAGAGGGTTTTTGCTTTACATTTCTTAGCTTATATTCCTGAAGTTTAGCTCCCTGACAACTTTTAAGTTAAATGTTCGGTTTATTCCATATCTCTATTCCAAGCAAGTACCTCTCTCCAGAAAAGGGCTCTGAGCCAACCGCTAACAGATGAGCGTGAAATGACAAAGGTGGATTTAAGAGCCCTCTGAAGCAGTGGATATTAAATGTATTCAGGCAAGGGAGGGTCTCTCTGCAAACATGTCTAAGTAATAATTTGTTCAATCCAACAATACTGTGAATTAGACAATTACTATTGGGGGTCATTGGTGCTCTCTGAGCTTGGTTGTTTTCTTGCAGAAGTTTCATTGCCCAAACTTAGTCATATCACCAGTGCTAATAAAGAGGGGGTTTGCTCTCAGTTGATGTTCTAGTGCAGGGGTTCCCAACCAGGGGGTGCGAGACGATATTCCAGCGGGTGCGAAAACTTGGGTTTTCAAAAATTATAATGTATGTGCATAATTCATTGCCGTTATTTCAAACTTTTGTAAGGGGTGTGAGAATATATCAGAAGCGTTCTAGGGGTGCGGGGTATAGAAAAGGTTGGGAACCGCTGTTCTAGCATCTCGCCCTATCAGTGTTGGTGGGGGCTGGTCTAAGAGGTTCTTTGGTTGGGCTGTTTACAGTTGGCTTGTTTGGATTGGGGTATTGTTTTCTTGATTGTTGCTCTGATGTTAATCTTGGAGTTACTCTATGCTGATCTGGGTGCTGATTACCCATGGGGAGGTATTTCGGTCTTTTTGTTTCCTTTTTGGCTTGTTTATTGTCTCTTTTGCATAGTCTATAGATACTGTTTATGTTTAGGTGTCTATAGGTGGTTGATTTGTCAGAGTGCCAGGCTTATAGAAATTCCCTGGCATTTTTGGACTTGGCTAGGATGGTCACAGTTTCTCACTTGAAACTATGGTTAAGTCTGTCCATATTGACAATTATTATTTTATTTAACACTTTTCCATAGTACGGTTGACTGTCGTTTGGTTGCTGAAGCCACTAAGGGGGGGTGGGGTTGCAAGGTCAGCTGCATATACAACTCTAATGTGCCAGAATGGGAAAAGGATTAAATACATGGTGGACAACAGACAAGTTAACTGTATTGATTAATTTAATGAAATTATTTAATTTTAATTTAACAATTTTTGCTATGGTCCCATCTATTTTCCCGTAAATATTCTGCAGTACAGTACCCAGCCACCCCAATGCTGCAGTCTACACAAGGGTGTTCAAAGGAGCTCCCAGATGTGCTAGAGCTGCTTTACATACTGCCAAGCTAAAGCTCTACTCGACTCAGGCCCAGGCATCTGATGGGTCACTTTCCCCTCGGAGACAAGCTCAGAACATTATGTTCGAGGGAGGAAGGATCTGCAAGGCATTCCCAAAGTGGCCACCATAACACCTGTTCAGTTACGGTTGGTAGCAAACTTTTATCAGGACCAGCCAAAACCTTATTAGCTCAGCAGACTTTGCTGACTTTGTCCTCCTTTGCTTTCTGCTTGTCTTTACTAGCAACCCATAAAATGTTTCAGCTATTTATAATTTTACATGACTTAACTTTTTGCTATTTCATACTGTTTATTTTTGCTCTGCATCCAATTTAAGCTTATAGTTTAATGCTGAAAGTAGGTAATTTTCATTCAAACTACTTAATATGGATTTCAGTACACTGATGCAACAGAATTAATACTACACAACTCTTTTTAAGTTCAATAATCATTATGTCATAGTTTTGTTGAAAAAAAGCACCTCTCTTTCCCCAAGTTCTACCTGTCCAACAAATGCAGAAAAGGCTTTGGTGCTGTCCCGACCAGCGGCTGCAGAATGGTAAAGATTCACCCATTCCCTCAAGAGATACTCTGCCTTCTCCCTCAGGCCTGGAGGATCATCGTATTCTGAAGCTTGAGAGATCCCAGAATGCATCATAAAGTTGGGTCCACCATGAGCACGATCAATCATGGCTTCATAGTTGGATCGTACCACTTCCATCAACTGTGGCAACCTGTAAGTATCAAATTGGTATGGTTGGCTTCTGTACAGCTAAAGCCCATCCATAGCATGTATTATTTTAACACTCTGCAGATCTTCAAAAGGTAAGTGAGCAATCGGTGACGGGATGGGAAGGAGCCAGTGGGCTAGCCTAGCCGGGGGGGGGGGGGAGAGAAGATAGGCAGAGTAATATTGCAGTATCTTGTGGTCAGTCGTAAGGCTGAACAACTGCCGTGGTGCTGCAACATTTGTAACTTCAGGACTGTGTCGTAAGTACTTTTGGGAGTGATGTCAACTTTCAACCACTGCTAAGTGAATTGTTGTAACTCGACTATCTGTATTATCCTATTTTTTTCTTCAAAAGGAAATTGACAAATTAACTAAGTGAAATGCAGGAATGATAATAACAGGTAGTCCTTGAATTATGACCATTGAGCCCAAAATTTGTTGCTAAGAGAGTTACGTGAATTTTGCCCCATTTTATGATCTTTCTTGCCATAGTTGTTAAGTGAGTTACTGTGGTTGTTTAGTGAATCTGGCTTCCCCATTGATTTTGCTTGTCAGAAGATCGCAAAAGGTGATCACAGGACCCTGGGTTGATGCAACTGTCATAAATATGAACCAGTTGTCTGGCATCTAAATTTTGATCACGTGACTACAGGGATGCTGCAATGGTCATTAGTGTGAAAAACAGCCATAAGTCATCTCTTTTCAGTGCCGTTGTAACTTCAAATGGTCACTAAGTGAATATTCTAAGTTGATGACTACCTGTATTGTGTACAACACAGTGAGCCTGAACGGATTCCAGGCTGGATAGGATAGCATTCTTTGCCACTCCTGACCCAGGAAGAACGTGGGGTGGGAATGAAAACAGCCATCAGGCCCCTCTGGCAACCCCCATTGGCATCTGAGCATTACCCTTCTGGAGCATTTCCTCTGGAGTGAGCATTTATCCTCATCAGAGTTTCAATGGTATGGAACAAATCTGCTTCTGTCATGTGAGCCACGCTTCTCTCATCCACCAGCAGGATCTTCACCAGCTGCATTGCAAACGCCACTGCCATGTAGTTCAAGCCATTCTCCATGGACTGTAAGGAGCATAGATGCCAAAAAAAGTGAGTCATTTCCATCCCAGAGCATCTATGTTGTCTTCATGAAAGTCAATGTCAACAACTCACCTGAGCCAGGTGAAGGTCGTACTGTTGCATGTTAACTAGATGGTTACGAATCAGGAGCTCCACTGCTTCTACATTGTATTTATATTCATCTCGACACTCAATCAGGCATCTGGAAAAGTATTATCACTTTCTCATGTTAATTTAGTTTTCTTCTAACTCCCAGCAGGCAAAGATTGATTAAACTTTCCTTGACACGTCTCTTCAGTTTAAGCAGACACAGGTCATGTCTTGGCCTGCGGCAAGCAGGTCAGCAGGAAGTAGTAGCAAATCAGTTCTAGCTAAGCTGTCCGCAAAGGACAGAAAACAACCAAAACAAAACCATCCACGGAAAATAATGAAACCACCACAAGCTTTACCTGCCACATAGCAATAAATTTCAATAATTTCATTTGTTGTGGCTCCACAGGAAGGATTCAGAGGAAGTTAAAAACAGAAAGATACTATAAGCAACTAGGTTTGATTTCTGTCATTTTTGTGATGTGATATAACTCCCTATTTCTCAGATATAACCTGTTTCAATAGTCATCTCAGAATATATTAATCATATCAGAGGCATTATTTCTTTTATTTAAGGAGATTAGAACAGTACTCCCACACCAACACTAAGTGCACAATATAAGTTTATACGGAACTAAGAACAACATTAAGCCTGAATGGTGGAGTCACATGCAGCAGGACACCATTTATACATTCAGCCATTACGTGAATACTTTGTAGGAGGTACTGGACAAATACAGGGATTCAATCCAAGTCCTGGAATGGTCTGTGCAAAAGCCCAAAATAGCTATTTTGATTGGTCTAAGCTTGGAAGGAAACACCCACATTCAGAAAGCTTTCTGCCAGCCTCAGAACAAAATACAAAAAACTTGGGGGGGGGGGGGAAGACAAGGCAGTTTTGAATACATTTTGTTCAGCAGAAAAACAGAATTGTTTTTAATAGTTTTGAAATGTAACAGCATGTTTTCTGTAGCTACTCAGAGCTTTCCTTTGGAAGTAGTTGATACTTATGCAAATTCTGCTTGGATTATTTGATGAGAAATATTAGAGATAAGCCAGATTTATAATAAAAAAGTACTTTTTTTAATGTCATCACAAAGAATCTTTACCAGACCAATAGCCACAGAAGCCTGTATTTGAATGTGGTGCTCGTTTTGCTTAAATTGTTATTGTTTCCCATAGGAATTTTAAAAAAACTTCAAAAAAACTAAGTTTGCTTTGGGTCAACGATGAAGGAATAGGGGCTTCAAACATTCTGAAGATTTATTCTAGAGAACCTACGACACCTTTGCTCCATGTTTTTTTTTCACTAAATTCAACACAGAAGGACCTTCTGACCAGACTGTTTCATCCCATATTCAAAACAAAAAGCTTTTTCAGCTTCATGCATTTATTTTATAGAGATTAATTCTTTTGAAGGTGCATGAATCCCAATCTTGATACTTTTCTTTTTCTTCTACATTTGCTTTGTTTCTGAGAAAACGACTATGATGTAAGCCATGTGATGATCTTTCAAAGCTCCCCACCCTCATCTCATCATGACCGACCTTGTTATCTGCTTGTTGCACCAGGGAGAGCCATAGGCGCGGCCATCTTGCAGGGCTTTCAATACAAGCAAATGGCATTCACGGTACCGGAGGAGTAGGTCCGCATCTGCACCACTGGTGGCGTCTAATAGTCCTTCAACGGCCTGTCAGAAGAAGAAAGTATTTCTTAATGAATTTTCTGGCAGAAAAAACCTAGTTCTCTCTTCAGATTGGACTTTATATCTTTCAGAATATAAAGGAATAGTTAACAACTAACTTCTTTAATAATGCACAAGCCCCACAAAACTTGTATAAATAGTCTTCGACTTACAACCATTCATTCAGTGACTGTTCAAAGTTACAATGGCATTGAAAAAACTGACTTATGACTGATTTTCACACTGGCAACTGACTCATATTTATGACGGTTACAGCATTCTGGGGTCATATGATCACCTTTTGTGACCTTCTGACAAGCAAAGTCAATGGGGAAACTAGATTCACTTAAAAACTATGTTACTAATTTAACAACTGTGGCAAGAAAGCTTGTAAAATGGGGCAAAACTTGCTTAACTGTCTTGCTTAGCAGCAAAAGTTTTGGATTCAATTGTGGTCATAAGTCGAGGACTACCTGTATAGGGAAGACTAAGATGAAAGCTTGAAAACTCAATCCTATGAAGGACAATTAACTGGGTACATTTAGGCCAAAGAACAGAAGGGGAAGGAGTGACAAAAGGGTCTTTTAATGCTTTAAGAACTATCACAGGAAAGAAAATATGGATTGGTTTCCTTGAGAATAAGATGTCAGCCCTTGTGGAAGGCATGTGAAAAAACAGACATTGTGGGGATTCCAGGAATGCTATTTATCTTGAAAGCCTCTCCAGGTTGTGCTCCATTTCTTCTTACAGGCAGGGATATTTTGAGTTTCTCATGTTTGCTTCAGTCTCTGGACTGCCGTAATCTTTTCTGCACTCCTTATCTCCTATAAGGTCATCTCTAAATGTTTTCAAATCAAAAACAGGTGGAAGAGGTACAGGTACAGAGGGAGGCCCTAACTAATTGGACAGCCACTTGTCTGGGATCAGGGATACAAGGACTCGTGCTTTATAGTTCGGTTCAGCATTTTCATTATTTAACCATGGAATCAAGCAATTATAAGAGGACGATAGATAATTTCAGAAATGGAACACATTTGTCTTTAATGAGCAAAGCAACTGGCTTCACCAAAGAGGCTGGGTTTGAATTCTCTTCACTTGAGGGTAATGCTTAAGTGAGATGCCAGACAAGGTAATATTACTAGCAACAGAAGACGACGATGTGCCAGAACCTAAGGTTTTATGTAAACAAGTAAAATGTAATAAATGAATTGTTCAGTTAGGCTGATTAATGATTTCATATAGAACTTTGTAATTGTTGTTTGCCCTTGTTTCTCCTATATTCTTTCATCAGTACATTTTCTTATATCTAAAGAATGGATTTCACTGTTTTAAAAAGGGAATTTAAAATATTTTTTCATGTGCAAAATTGTATAGTTACATAGTCTTTAAGTTTTAGAAGTTTTAAATTAAGTTTTAGCACAAGGTTTATTACATTTTATATTGCTGGGCTTTGTATTTTTGCCTGTTGTTATCTAGGGCTGGTCTGAAGAGAGAGACCTTTCATCAAAGGGTCAAGAACTGGAGACACTGCAGTTCAGTCTGACTGGTGACAAGCTATCCGAAACTCACTGGAAACGTTGGAAGAAAAGTCCACCAATGAAGTGTCTGTCTGTCTGTCTGTCTCTATCTCTTACATAGTCACCCATTTCACAAACTCTGGGTGTTGTATAACAAGGCTTAAAATATTTAAATTAATAAATAGTAAAACACTAATCATTACTATTACAAAAAAAACCTATAAAAGACATCGCTAATAAGGAAGAAAAGTGAGGAAATGTTAATAATAGGGGAGCCACCCCAATAATTCCCAGATCCCCTATTAAGACCATCCTCTCTGCTCATATCGTCAGGGTAGCCAGTTTATCCTATAGCCCCCATGGAAATTCGACCAAGCAGAGCCTAAGGCAGAAGGAAACAGCTAGTTTCTTGCTAGGAAATCCTCCACTGAGGGTTCTTCTTAAGACTGCAGTACAGGTAGGAAGCCTAGTCTGCCCTGATTCTTCAAATAGGGACTTTGTAGGGACATATCCTTATCATTTTTTTAAAAAGGTGCTCGCGCTCCAAATCCCACCCAGCAACTATTCTCTCCACAAAAAAGTGACCAGGTTTAGCCCAGAGTTTACGCACAAACCTTCTGTAGCAATCCAAGGGCTGCAATAGCATCTCGAGAATTACGGGCCACAACGACAGCCTCCAAAAGGCTCCGCAGTGCTTGTGTCTGGGGATTCATGGCCAGAGTGTGGGGAACAGACTGCAGGTGCTGCTCCAGCTCTGCCATGCATTTATCATAGATCTGCGCCACGTCATCAGTTGCCCAGGCTTGCTGTATTGGGATGAAGCAAAGATTGTGGTCAGATCACCGAGGAACCATCATTTTAAATACTTGCTTTTTAAAAAATGCCTTTGGATTAGTTTTCATCAGGAGCATTACCACTGTTGTTCAAATAGACACTGCTGGAATAATAGTCACCTAAGCCAAGAGCTTATACTGGACTATTCATGCTGATCTCCACAGCCCCTTCCAACTTTTACATTCAGTGATTCTATGAAATGGATAAACATTAAGCCTTTGATAGATCGTAGTAGATTTTAAAATTTTCCTCTACAGTATTATGTCACTTTTGAAGAATAGCGCTACTCATCAGAAGTGTTCTTCAAAAGCCACTGGATAAAACCCTAAGTGGCCTTTTCTGACTAAAGTGGACAGCTACCTTCATAGGCTGGGCCAGGATTCCTGTTGGTTGGCTTGAATCATTTGTTGGCAGGAAACCAGGAACATTCCGTGCAAATTCTTCATATACAGCTAGCTGCTTTGGGTCCACACCACCAACCTTAAAAAAAACAAAAAATGAGTGTCAGTAAAATATTTCCACAGCTGTATTCACATCAATATTCAGTCAAATTACTATATTTGAGAGTGGATTCCTCAATTACTCTTGCTTGCAACTAATTCAGGAAGAAAGACTACAGTTTTTGCAGTATCTACTGGGTAAAGGTATTTAGCTAAAATTTAAGAGCAGATCTTTCTGCATCAATGGCAAGCCTGCAGTTCCTATTATTGCTAGAAATCTAGCTCTGTATTACATGCACACAGTAGACATCATTCACCAAGTTCAATGTGCCTGATGACAAAACAAATTTCCAGTTCTTAGGCAACTAGCAGAAGAAGAGCAGGCAAGAAAGGGATTCCACCTGGTTGGCTTTCCGCAAACTGTTAAACACAAAATTATTCCAAAGAGTACCAATGAAGGAGAATATCTGTATTCTAGACAACCAGAGAGAACCCTCAGGGACCTCACTAAGGAAGGCCAAATTACCAAAGAAGAACAGTGGCAGATAAGAAGCAGCAGACCCTATCCTCCCACACTTCTGCAGATGCCCCAAAATACACAAACCTGGCATACCCCTCTGTCCAATCGGATCTCTGCCAGGGACCCTACATACAACATTGCAAAAGAACGCACAAAAAAGCTTGGGCATCTCGTAAGAGGAAGCCAACACTCCATTAACTCTCCACTATGGGGTCTTCAAACAATCAGGGATGTGACTACAGATGAGGGCTTATATCACGAGCATCGTGAAAAATAATGCTAGGGCTTATTTTATGGTTGGGTCTTATTTTCGGGGAAACACGGTAGGTGTGACCCTGCTGCTTGTTTGAGATAATTCATCAGGAAGGTTGCATTGGAGATTGATTTTATAGTATACAGTAAACTGAATGTATATATGTATATAGTATTCAGAGAGAATCTAGACAACATTCTGTCAGGGATTCTTTCACACAGAGTCTTGCATTAAATAGGGATCTAGATTTGAAGGCAAACTGGGATTCTACAAACACCTTTCTGTTGTCTCCTACAGGTGACAATCAACTGAGATCCTCTACTGATGTCTCCTGGTATTAATGTATTATGGTAAAATTGAGCTTTGACAAAAGAGGGCTGAACACCATTTGAAACTGGATCCCCTGAGAAGTTCAGAAAAAATGTCTGACGTGGTCAATATACCACAATTCCCAAAGAGAACATTGTACTACTTTATATTTGGATATCTATGCATCCACTAAGAGTAGCCTTAACCTAATGTGGAAAATATACAATGGGATCAGAATTCAAAGTACAAGGAAAGAGAAGACAAGACTTGATTATCCTGGGCTACCCTGGCTTAAAGTGGCCTAGCCACTTGAGGAGCAATTTATCCTTAGCTTCCTAGTCTCCTGTTAGCTTGGGGATGGCAGCATTTTTGCTCACTGGGGCAGATGCAAAGCTGCAATGGTTACCTCTTAAATGGTCTTCAAATGATTTCTAAAAGACAAATTTAGCTGAAAAGCATTTACAACTTTTTGATATAGAGGCAGCCAAAAATACAAGTGATCCTGAGAATGTAAAAAAGTAATGTATGTCCAAAATATATGTAGGTGAGCAATTTCACTTGACCCCTCTACTTGGCAGTTTCTTGCTCACAGGTTGAAGACTTCAGAATGCTTTGCAGGACTCTCCTTTCTCACCTTCAGCCTGATCTGTTCTGGCATACGCTCAGCCTGGTAAGTCAAAACCACAGGATCACAGTACCTGCGGCCCTCTTGCCGGGCATGTTTTCGGAGCTCAAATTCCTGTTAAGAAAAAAAGACAGAGGTGAATGACAGGAGGACTACATAGGATAGCCAGAACCATAAACCAACCAGGTACTTACAGTCGCCAGCCTCTTGTCCATTTCAGGACCTGCTTTTTCCACCGCTGTTTTCTGAATGAAGCAGCAGGCCAACTCACAGTTATCTTGAGCCAACTGGGCTGCCGCCTGCTCCATCATCTCCCTCTGCTGTGGTGAAGCTGCCTGTTAAAAACTCAGTCATTAGAAGGGGAATGGGCCCATCTTACAGACTTCACTTTATATGACTTGAACAAATCTGTTTAACCAATTATGTATATGTAATTAGTTAAGGGGTCAATGTGACTGAATTTAGTGGAGCTTACTCTTAAGAGCACAGAGTGTTTTCTATGATAGAGATCTCTTCCCTCATTTAATATATTTAATTTAAAGATTAACATCTATTTTTTTCTGGCAATCAGGAAACATTATTTGTAAATTGACTTTTTTCTCAGTTATTACTTCTAACTTTTTTCAAATCTATCAAATTTTACATAGGTTTGTATCAAAATACAATCTCCCATACTAGGGTCTTCATACAAAACTCATCAGTTGTAACTTCAAAGCTGTGTCCATTTTCTATGTAGTCACTCTAAGAAATGCTGCATTACAGACTTCATGGGAAAGCTGAATTGTATGCCATCAATATATTGAATTCTGATTTAATACACATTTTATATTTAGCCAACACAATTCTAACATACCCAGCATAAAATTATTTCAGGATTTTCAGATTCTCAATAAATTTCATGAGATGTAAATATTACTTCTTGAGATTGATTTTCTTTAATACAAAAGATGTTTGGCTTAGATCCGAACAATATAGTATTTCCCCTTCAAGCTTCAAGCTTTTTCTTCCATTTGTGATTAACTGTGGTCATCCCCTTGCTCAAATGCAGGACACTATGGTTAATCTTATGATTTGTTTCTAGCCAATTCAACCTACTCTAAAACAGGTATGTTTCAACAAACCACAGTTAATCTAAATTCTGCATGTTATCTGAATTCTAAATTGTAGTTAATTTTAACAGCTTCCTGGAGTCATTGCACTTTTAAGAATTCCACTTAAGTATGCATTCAGCAGACATGCAATCTTATCAGATTGGTATAGTTAGTCCACCTAAACTTAAGCTTGCAGAGCAGAGAAATATGATTTTTACATTAGGTCTTCCCCATATATAGGGTTTATGCAACCTCCACCTCATCTTTTGTGGTGGTGGGACTTTCTCTATTTTTATGCAAATATATATCCTGTGTGCTTTATCCAATTGGGATTTGTCAGACATAGATAGATATTATTTTGTGGGCTTACACAACTGGCTATTTACATCTGATGAGTGTAAGATAGGATGAAACAAATCATATGGTGTTCCTTGGTGGCCAATCTCATTCTTTGAAATATCTTTGAAAGTCTCAATGGCAGTCTTCATATAAGACATACTGACCTGAACATTCAAATACATCCTTAAAAATGTTAAAACATAATGCCAAAACTGCATCCTAAAAGTGCTTTCAACTCCCTTTGTTCCAGACGGCCTTTCTTGTGAACAACACACCTACCCGCAACGCAGTGGCAAAGCTGTTCTTCAGGTTGGTTGCAATGCTCATCAGCAAGGGCTCCCTGCAGGTAATCATGGCCATGCCAGCTGTCAGGTTCCGCATCATGTGATGCGCTGCCACACGCATGCGTGACTCTTCTGAGTCCAGCGCAAAATCCTTCCTCACTATCTGTTCACAAGTAGTCATGGCAATTTTAATTGAGCGGTCCACTACTGGATGAACCAGTTCTTGAACTGCACGCTCTATGGCTTGGCGCACACACTGCTTTAACTGTGGGTGGGCTTGGAACAGGGGAATCTGAAAAGAGAACAGCCGATACAATCCATCTTGTTTAAATCTATTTTTAACACCAATACAAGCAAGTAACACCCACCCCAGCCCACAGCAGAGCTGATACTTACAGTGGGGTTTAGAGTAATGTGTGGAGCTAGCCCTCCCAGGGAGTATACGTTGATATCATGGTAACTGTACTGTGGCTGTGGAGGAACAGTAGCTGTGCATGTAGTGCTGGTAGCTGAAGTTGTGGAAGTAGCTAAACAATTCAAGAGCAGAAGTTTGTGTTTTTTTAGATTATTTTTTTTACTAAACATACATTCAGTAACATAGTTGATATATTATTGGAAACAAAATGCTTTATTAGAATAACAGAAAAGTCAAATAAGTTGTAATGGAAACACTGTTCTGCTAAATACAATTTTACAATTTACAATTGCACAAGTACTCTAAAATTATAATCATTTGGAATATCCCCTACATTTAGTAGAAGTCCAAATAAAAGCTATGTTGGGACAATTTGCATTGATAATGACAATAGATGGATTGTCAATAAACTATGTGTGCTTCATAACCATCACCAGAGATGCTTCTTGAAAGACAGGCAAGTGAAGGCAGGTGGAGTGTGTCACTGGGTACCTAAATAATTGCACAGGGGTGCCTCCAATACAAGGAACAGACTCCCTGCACTTATCCCTCCCATTTGAACATGTGAGAAGGTCTTCTAGGTGTATCAAGCAGAACTGAGTTTTCTGTCTTCATGTATAGGGCTATCTCCTCTCCTCACCACGGGGGGGGGGGGGCGCAATTTAAAGCACAACTGAGAAAGGAGGTCCCTATTGATACAGAAAAAGAATTATTGTAGTCTGTTTCTAGGAATTGATATGCCACATAAGGTTTTTTCAGCTGTCCACTAAGAGAAATGCATCTGAATATATCTGGTAGATGATCATGAAAGTAACCCTGCCAGCACCAAAGAGAAGTGAATTTTATAACTAGTGCAGTGATGGCGAACCTTTTAGAGACCGAGTGCCCAAACTGCAACCCAAAACCCACTTATTTAATCACCGGGTGCCAAGTGGGTGTGGCCCACTGGGTGGGCGTGGCTGTGGTGGTCATGGCAGATTGCCCCCATGGACCAGGCCAAGACATTGTATTCAGCATCTTGCTTTTTACAGGCATCAATTGGGTAACTCTGTGGCACTGACAAACAGGAGGTTAGGATCTGCCATTGTTCCCTGCAACTAGTATTTGGAGGCATACTCATCCCATGTTGAAGGGAAGTCTTCGAGGCCAACAGCCCTGGATTGACCTGTTCTCCACATATGTTTATAGTTTATTCTTCAAATGAGCTAGTGAATTAGGGGATACAGAGCCACAAAGCAGCAGAGAGAAGAAGAAGACATGGCGGCAGACCTTGTGTTTTGTTTTGAAGTATTTTGAGTTTCATATGAAGCTGGTGCATAAGACTAGTGACAATTGTTAACAAAGAATAAATCCGAGATCTTGTTTTACTCATCGCTTTGCGAAATACAAATTGTATTAGTATAGTGCAGACAAGAATTATTCTGATACTTACTGGTAGTAGTAATTGGTGGTAGTTCTTCTGTGTGTTTTATATCCTTCTTTGGAGCAGATAACTGTTCATCCAGGTTTTTCAACCTGTCCTTGTCTTTTAGGAGACTACCAGGTTTTAGATCATTGATGTCAAGGGCCAGGTTTTTGCAGAGCACTTCAATTTCAAACTTCAGATTCAGCTGCACAATATTTAATCATTTTAGATTTAATAATGTAATTATTTTAAGCTATATTGACAGTGAGTTTTCACAAGTATGTCCACCCACCATTCCAAATTATGGCATGCTGTGAAAAAATATTATTTCTTTCAAGATAAGATTACATAGAAAATTAAATCTAAATTATGGTAGGAACATAAAATAGAAGTAGCTGAATTATAACTGCTAGCAACTACTTCAGCAGGGTATTGTTGGTCCAATATTTTGATCTGATGTAATCACATTCAGCAGTTGAGCTCAAATCCTGAAGCAAATTCGTGTTTTAAACAAGGGACAGCTGAAAAGTATAAGTAACTTAAACACAATTTACCTTTAAGTCATGCTCCTGATGAAGCTCTGCAAGAACATTCATGATTGCCATGGTCCATGGATTTGGGGGCCTGAAAACCTACAAGGAGAGAAGAAAGATAAAATCAGCATCCTGCTTTTAAGAATAGCATTGGGAAACGTAAAATAGAGTTGACACTCTATTTAATATGCACTACATATTAAAAAGGGAGCAGCACAATTCTAGCCAGAGGTTAGTAGTTTGCCAAATGTTCTCAGGACTGCAGTCTGAAATGCTGAAGATATTGAGTGAGGGGGGCTGTAGTTAGCAGATCCAGAGGTTTTCCACCCCTGCCCTATCTTCTAAGCAGAAAATGCCCAATATACTCATTTACTCCTATAAAAATTGATATCTGACCCTTCGAATGCATGTGGATCTGAGACCGTTGTTCCCAGCTGATGGAAACAAACTTACCTAGGGCTGGACAAAAGCTTTGTAGACTTTTCTCTATGAACACTATGTTAAGTGATGACACAGAAAATCATATCATCACTGCATACTGTGTTCTTGGCTCATCTGCATTTTTAAAAGTATGAGTGGAATTGTGCTTTTCTGCCTTCAACATTATGGTGGGTTTTAAGAAGATTTAAAGGGTTCCCCTATCCAGTCATGACTGACTCAAGGGGGCAGAGTTCATCTCCGATTCTCAGCTGAGGGAGCCTGCATTGTCTGAGAGACACTTCTGTCATCCTGTGGCCAGCATGAAATACGGAATGCAGTAACTTTCCTGCCGGAAGGGTTCCTATTGATCTACTCGCATTTGCATGCTTTTGAACTGCTAGGTTCAGCTCATCAGAGATTAAAATCCAGGAAAAGCTTCTTAGGTCAACAGAAAACTTTGAAGAATTTGAAAGCAGAGTGGACCTATGGAAAGCTACAAAGAACCAACACTGGATAGAACCAACGGAGGAGCTGGCACCTGGATCTGGCGAAAACCGCAAAGTATGGAAATCATTGAATAGACTGTGCATGGGTACAAGATCCAGGGACCAACTGAACAAATTGGGCTATCTGGTTGCTTCTGCTCTTTGCAATTGTGCTGACATGCAAACAACAACACATATATATACCTGCCCTTTATGTCCTGTCCAGGGTACACTTTAGGACCTCCTGGCAGCATGATAGAATGCAATTAATGTTGCTAGTTTCTGGGCAAGATTTGTTTAACTTGTACGTATTTTAATCTTGTATTTTATATTTAAATGTTACTTAATTTTGTTGTGAGTTACACAATGACAATAAAGATATTCTATTCTTAGGAACCATTAAAGTTATTAAAACCACTGAAAATTATGGGAGATTCTTGCTTCTATACGTACTCTGTGTTTTAGACTTACCACACTTCTTACGCTGGATTCCAATACTTTAGCAACAAATGGCACTACATACAGCAATTCCTGCTGTCCTTTTACATAAGCTTCTAGCAGCAAAGATTTGACATCCAAGTCCTAAAATAAAGAAATAATGAGACAATGTCAGAAGCTAAATTGGTTTCTTTTGCATATTTTACTTATTCTTTATACATGTTGTGTTTGTAGGTCAATGCAGAAACCAGGAAAGGAGAAAATATGCAAGGATGCTCCCCTTCTCACCGTGTGCAAGATGGGTTTATTCTTTGCCAGTGTTATCATCCCCAGCCAGTGACCCAGGTTCTTCAGCAATGAACGGTCTGAGAAGTTAGCAGCAGCTTTATCTGATGTAAGCAGCACCTATGTTTTTTCCAAGAGAGAGCTTCTGTCAACAAGAAGGAATGCAAATCTGACATGATAGCAAAACTCTTCTGGGGATGCTCAAGCTATTCAGCATATTGACTGAATAAAGAATACAGCCTCTTCCCACTCCTTTGTCACACTGGGGCCACACTACTATATTCTGCCATTATGTGGCTTCTTGACCTGTGAATACATTACTCAGGGGGACAATATATGGGATTCCCATTCTGCAAGCACATTACGCACTTGATGTGATTGACACAATGAAAGGCCTTTGTTATTGAATGGAGCATAAACTGACTTATTTTGGGTATTCTTGGTTTTCTCAGTTATAAATAATACTTCGTATTTCTTGGCATTTTCTAAAACCAGCTCTTTTTCTGTGTAGGATTCTAATTTGCATTGGATGAAGCTGATATCTTAACATCTCACTATAAACAGCAAAATAATTGGAGGGAGGAGGAATTATGTATGTTACATTATCTAAATCATAAGGAGTGGTTTGCTAACTTTAAATTAATGCATTCTATATCTGTTACATAATTGATCTGCTCTTGCAAAGCACAAGGATGAAAATATGGTTGTGTATGACACCAACCTTGATATTTCTGTATGTTTCATTCAAAACCATTTTATTAAATTCTGGATTTTTAAGAGTGTCAAGGAAATTTGAATAAAGACTATGGAAGTTTGGCTCAATGCTAACTCTCTTCATCACGAGATATTGCGAAACCCAAGGCATGAATTCTTCTTTCACTGTTTCCTTCAGTTCCTCAACCTGGCTCCATAAACAAACAAGAAACAGAAAGGGATTAATGAAGTAATAGGACTAGAAATGATTCCCCAACTCATATAGATTATAAAGATCTGAAACAAAACAATAACTTCTGAAGAGTGTAAGTTGCTAGAATGTGCACTCTGTTTGGAATAAATTACTTAAATACAAATTATATCAAGGTATTTAAAAGCTGGAACTTTTTTTTTTATATTAGCATTTGTGGCACCTTGGTCTTCCCACAATTGTGTTACTTTTCACTTATTTATTTATTTTATTTATTTATTAAATTTATATACCGCCCTATCTCCCTTACGGGACTCAGGGCGGTGAACAGGCGATACTAAAAACCACAATAATAAATAAATATATATAAAATATGCACCCTGACAGAATGAAGGCTTACAGAACAGAAACTTTAAAAACTCATCAGTTGCAAATAAAATGGCTCTACAGGAAGCTGGCCTAAGATAACCTTTAAAGTCTAAAAATATTTGGATATGTGGGAAAATAACAAGTGCATTTACATTTCAAAGACTCCTACGTCAACTTGACCATATTTAAACACTCCCGGGAAGAACAGAAGGGTGATGGGAAAAGGAAGCTTTCACATGTGCAAACAATATCAGGTTGGTTAGTCGTTCCTTTCTTTGTATGTGACTGTAATACAGGAACTCCCTCTCCTTCCCCCTCCAAATCAGAGCTAAATTTGTGCAATATTTACCTTCTGAGTCATGTTGGATTGAGACAAATTATTAAAGATAAAAGCAATCTTTTCCTGCACATTTTCAGGAGGTTCTACAATTCTCTCTGTTTGATCTGTGGCCACTAGTAGAGTATCAATGTTGGTTGTATTAATAGAAGGCTGCAAAAGACAAACCATATTGAAAGGGTATGAGTTAATTTAGTTAAGAATGCAACAGAGCACAGGCATTCTTTAGACAACAGGAAGTCCCAAAATGGTACAATTCAGAGAGGCCTTGATGCCAAACTTCACTGTGGAGAACAGAATCCTCCCTTGGAGAGCCAACAACAAATGTTGTCTGCTAAATTCATGCAATGAAGCTGTTCAAGGGAACCCTTCCACCATCGCAATGAAAGCATGTGTGAAGAAGTCCAGTCAAATCCTCCTTGGCTTAACTGCTGTTATCTCTGGTTGTGCACAAAGATACGAAATGAGCCAATAATGGGAAAGGAATCAATTCTCCTTCTCATGGCCAGATTCCCTGGGAATGGGGGGGGGCAACGACAGAGGGACACTTTCACCTGAAGAATCTCCACCCTTTTTTTAAAGCAAGAAGACTGATAAAATATTTGAAGAGCTGCAAAGCAAAAAGGCAGGCAGAGCAGAATATAGGCAATAATTGGTATAAGTAATACAATTCAGAGTTAACTATATACAGGGAGTCCTCAACTTACGACCACAATTGAGATCAGTTTCCGCTGCAAAGCAAGGCAGCTGTTAAGTGAATCACATCTGATTTTATGACTATTTTGCTTGATTGTTAAACAAATTACTGCAGTTGTTAAGTGAATTACACAATCATTAAGCGAATCCGGTTTCCCCCATTGGCTTTGTTTGGTCAGAAGCCGGCTGGGAAAGTTGCAAAAGGCAGTCACATGACCCTGAGACACTGCAACCCTTGTAAATATACACCAGTTGTCAATCACCCAAATTCTGATCATGTGACATGGGCATGCTGTGATGGTGGTAAGTGCAAGGACTGGTTGTAAGTGGAGGACTACCCGAAAGGCATTAAATATAGCAAAGCAACAATTGCATTCACTTATCCCAAACCTCCTCCATGTGCTTCCTGCCAACGCATGGAAGCAAAGACTTACTGGCACATCTTTCTTGAAGCTGACTCTGCCCACAGGCGCAACGGTTGTCTTTGCCACAGTGGTGGTGGTGGTGGCGGTGGTGACTACAGTGCTAACCTGGCCAGTGAGAGGCGTTTTTGCTGGGGCCTGGGCCTGGGCCTGAGCCTGGGCCAGAGCAATACTTCCAGGCGTGGTGATGGACCCCTGCATCTTCACGGGAGGATCTCTTGATTGCTGTCCATATTCAATGTACTTCGACAGACAAGGAAAAGTTGTTAAAATTCACATACAACAAATCTTAATCCTTAAAGTCCTTGCAGAAATTTCTAATCTTGGTACGTGACTACTGTATAAATAAAATAATTATTTCACGCATGGCATCTACAGAGATCATGCAATCACTGATATAGAATACCAAAGTTGCCAAATACTAGAGGGAAGTTTTTTACAAACTTCAAGAAAGCAAACAAACAATCCAAAAGCCAACTTCAATTCTGGACAAATGATGAGTACAGGAATTCTGAATAGCGTAATCTTTATAGTTGATATGTTTGTAATCACATATAAAAGTGCAATACTGCACACAGAAACCCTTCCAACTGGTATAAGATTAATGCAGAGGTCCTAAACCTCCTGTCCTTGTAATATTGCACTACCTTCAAAAGCTTAACTCCACTATTCTTGTTCTAGCTGCTTTCAGGACCTAAATATGGGCAACAAGCATTTGCTCTACCTGGCAGGTACTGTGCCAGCAACCCCCTTCATCATTCTTTATGAAATATCTGGCAAAAACGAGAAGGCAAGTAAGCTGTTCTGTAAGCCTAATTTGTTTCATACTGCTTTACTCCCTCTTGTTGATTCACTTTCCATAAATGTGTTAACACTCACCTCCTGCAGGTGATGAGGGAACTGTATAAAGTGACTAATAGAAGCCAGGTGCTGACAATACTGAGGGTAGTCCTTCAATCTGTCAATAAAATTAGCTATTAATAGTAGGAAATAAACAGTCTGATCCACAACTATTAGCACAATATAGAAACGGTTAATCTTTGCAAAAACAGCCCTGCTGTTGCCTCATCAATGTTTTCCTTCTGAGCAGCAACTAAAAGTAACCCCTGAGAGGGCAGGTCAAGGAGGAAGTGACAAAAGCAGTATTGTGGCATTGCAACAAAGGTCTTCTCCTTTGGTATATGCACCTTGATGTCATATACGTAAAGCAACATGATGGTACAATGATTCAATGCTGCTCTGATCACTTCAATGAAAGCATCGGATTCTGCAGACACCTTTGCCAACAATTATTTTAAAAAGACTGGGCTAATAATTGTGACTACGTGTTGCTAAGGAATAATCTACTGCAAACAAGCCAATTTATCAGGCAAAAGGTACATATTATAGCAAGGAAAATACAGCCACAGTAATAGATTTGTCATATGTAACTGGAGTCCTCAGCAAAGACCACCTCTGCAGAGATCAACATTCCTGAAAGAAATTAACGAAGAATTAAGAGACACCCACCTATTTTTAAATCTATCTAATGCAGCAATTCCAAAATAGTACATTTTAGATGTAAAAGGCTTTCGTAAGGCTTCAAGCACGTAGCGCAGGGCCAGGCCCAGGGCCATATAGGTCACCAATCCCTTCTCGATTATCCCTCCAAAGAGGCAGGCTGTTATGTGGAGCTCTTTATCGGGATATTGCGGGAAAAAACGATATTCTTCAAATAAATTCCTCAGCATACAGTTAAATACTTCTCGCTCCCGTTTAATGTTAGAGTCCTTAAATCTCTGTAGCATTTCTAACACCTGCAAGGAAATCAGAATGTTATAAAGAAAATTCAGTTGTGCAGAGCCCTACATAAACTATAAAGTTTTTTGAGTAATCCAGTCAAAGTTTGGCTAGAGCTCTCTGTAAACAAGGTGGTAAATATAACTTTCATTTGTTAGGTTAGTTATCACAATACTTTTAAAATAATTATTGCATTTTTTTTAAAGTAAGAAAAGGTCAAGCCTGCCACAAGTTGACCTTGACTCCTGGTGAGTTCATGGAATATTCAGTTAAAATTCAGATCTGACCATCTGTTTTTTTCAAGGCAACCCAGCTCAGTGGCCACCTATTGTGATAAATTACAGTTATGTTTCTTATTACTGATAAAGCACAAAACTAGTGTATTTTAAAGGGACTGTAAGATGATTCAGTTCATACAAGCCATCCTGACATTTAAAGATGGAAAAATTCTGCCTTAAGTGAGGCAGGCAAAGGAAAAAATATTGTCCCGGACAAGAATTTCTCCTTAAAATTGGGTTCAGTTAAAGCCAGAATCGTTTTCAAAAATACCAGTGCAGGTTTACTTACCAGACCCTCTTATTATATGGCATATAATAAGTAATACTTAACAAAATACATCAACAATGAGATTTACTAATAATGTTTAAAATATAGGCAGTCCTCACTCACCATCTGCAATTTGGATCTGCAACTCTGTTGGTAAGCGGTACTGTCATTAAACACAAATCAAGTGACCACACTAATTTATGACATCAGTGCTGGCTTGGTGAATAACCACTGGTCGGTAAGAGTGATGTGATGTGAAATGATCACGACCTGTGACTTTCTGCCGGCTTCCCCATGGAATTTGCTTATAGTCAGCTTTGAAGGTCACAAATGGTGACCACATGACTGCAGGACGCTGCAACCATCGTAAATGAATACAGGTTGCCAGATGCCCAAATTGTGATCGCATGACTGTGAGGACAACACAATGGCTGCAACTTAGAGAACCAGTTGTAAGTTTTGTTTTTCAGTGCTGTTGTAAGTTTAAAAAGCTGCTGAACAAGTGGTCAGTAAGTATAGCAATTGTTTTGCATACAGGAGATACTTAAAAAGCAAAGGTTGGCTGTAACTGTGCAAAAGCATATTTCAAAACTTTCAATTTTAACTAACAAACAGAAAGTACCATTGTCAGCACCTGCTATACCAAGAGTTTGATAATACTTGAAATAAAAGCATTTGCTCTCCAAACTCACCTCATCTACAGACATGGTGGGATGGGGTGGGTGATTATAAATACGCTGAAAATAGCTGTTGGCTTCATCATCAATCTCTTTGCTAAAGTGCTGATTAGCCTCTGGCCATACCTGAGATAAGTCAGCTGTTGGGAAAAGGCACATACTAATTAAGAATATGAAATGCTGGAAAATGCATTTATTTTATGGCACCAAGTTAACAGAAGCCACCCTACAGTGTTTCAACTGCCTCTACCAGTCAGGGAAGTCATTGGGACCCAGCACACTGATTGGCAGAGGCTGAAAGGTGGTCATCCGATTCAAAAAGCCAACATCTCCCAAATGCTCAGGATGCTCTAAGTCAGAGAAGAGATTTGGGCAGAGGGTGAGAGCACAATGAAACAACCTTGGCAGGAAATATAAAGTAATAGTTAATAGTTATGGGGGAGTTAAGTGCCCACAACAGTTCTTGCGGATGTTCATTACCCAAACTAGTCACATCATCAGTGCTAGGTCATTGTCATCATCATTGTCGTCGTCATCATCATTATAGCACTGATGATGTGATCTAGTTTGGGTAATGGAATGTCTGCAAGAAAACAACCAAGCACAGAGCACAAAAGACAGAAACATTTGGAACAAAGTACTCTGGATTTAACAGAACAAAAATTGAGCTCTTCAGCCACAGCGGATACATTGAGAGAAAAATAAGTGAAGTATTTGAAGAGGAGAATCAGTTTGGGATAGTGGTTAAGGCATCAGGCTATAAACTGGGAATCTATGACCTCTACTTTTGTCTTAGGCATGAAGCCAGCTGGGAGACCTTGGTCCAGTCATTCCCTCTTGGCCCTAGGAAACAAGCAATGGCAAACTATTTTCAAAACTTTTGCCAATAAAACCACAAGACTTATCCAACCAATGCACAGGAATATTTATGCAGGTGGAAGAAAGAATGATTCAGTATTCATAAATCCTACAAGAAAGTGCAGCTGAAAAATATTGGAAATTTCAGTGAGACAATAATCTAGCATAGTGTGTAGCTCCAAACTGGACAAAAAACATACACATTTTGGAATGGTCTTTGGAGTCCCACACAATATTAGTGAATATCTGCGGGAAGATCTCAAACATGCTGTACATTCTATCAGCAGTGCCTCAGATAGAAAGTCTATACAAAGAATGGTAAGGACAGCCGAGAAGATCATAGGAAACTCGCTCCCTGGTATTCAGGATGCTTCTTATAAGCACTATGTGCTTAGAGTTCAAAGCATTCCCCACATATTCACTTTACGGTCTGCTTCTGTTGCTCCCCTCTGGGAGGAGGTTTCGAAGTATTTCTAGCAGGATTACCCGATTCTGTAATAGCTTTGTTCCCTATGCCACCTGTCTGGTAAATTAGCAAGATTCATTTTTCTCGCCGTGCACATGTATACATAACCCAAACTAGACTGTTGTTTCTCTGTGTCATATTATATGTGGGTGTATGCATAATTCTGTTTTTATTTATTTATATTTATATAGTGTATATTGGAGGTGGTGACCCTTTGAGAGCTGAAATTTCATTTTAATGTATGCCAATTAGTGTACATTCAAAGTGACAATAAAGTTATTCTTCTATTCTATTCTACATTCAAAGATACTTAAGAACTGAACTGGAACAGTTCATTAAGGAAATGGGAGGGGAGGGTTCCAAAAGCAAGAACAGAGAGACTCTTAGCTGGCTAAAGGAAATTTTCAGAGCCGTAATTTCTTCTAAAGGGAGCGTTGCAAAGTACTGACTGAAAGGGTGTTCACAGCTATGCACCTGCCAGCGTCACTACTTTTATTATTCCAAGCATACATAGCACCATCCATCCCTGCAGCCTAAACCAAAAAAGCTGCGGGCTGGTCAACAATCAAACAACACCATCACTTACAAGGTTTCACCTTACTCTGCTGGAATGTGGGCTGGTTCAGTCCTGATGTGTTCAGCTTTCTTGGCACAAATGGATCATTATTCACTGCAGGGAGGCCAAGGGTTCCAGTTCCGATACCCAGACTACCTGTTGTGAGACCACCTACTGAAAAAACAAAATAATTATCTCTGACTTTAGAACAGTATAGTTATCCTTACCATGAAAAGGCTAACAGTTGATTATTTATATTTCATATTTTTAACCGCCCAGCCCCAGCCCCAAGAGCCTGGTGGCACATGGTTAGATTGCAGTATTGCATGCAAATTCTGCCCACAGTCAGGAGTTCGATCCTGACTGGCTCAAGGTTGACTCAGCCTTCCATCCTTCTGAGGTCGATAAAATGAGGACTCAGATTGTTGGGGCCAAGAGGCTGATTCTGTAAACTGCTCAGACAGTGCTGTCAAACACTATGGAGCGCTATATGTAAGTGCTATTGTTATTGCTGTTTACCGTGATACAATGATGCCATGTACAAAGGAATGTTTGAATTATAGGGTCCAAGGATTCTACTACTCTGAAAATATAAAGGGCACTGCAGAAGTCAATGATAGAGATATAGTTTTGTACATGTCAAACAGCACTAGTTATGCTGAAATAGCTTCCTATATTTTGCATATATTCAGATATGCATTATTACAAATCCTTCCTTTTTTTTTTTTTTTGCTTTTACCTGCAAGCTCAGAAAATTTGGGCTTTGGGAACAGGAAGCAGTATCCTTTGAGAAAGAACTGATTCTTAGGAACAGAAGGCTATATGTAGAGTTTCTGGGATACAGTTAAGAAAATGTAACAAAAGTAGTTTCCCCTTAAGTGATAATGTCTGGCTCCAAAAGGAGGGTCAAGCAGAGTTAACTTCCAGCACTATTCCTAATGAGCAGAAGCTTGTTTAATACAACCATACCTGGAAGCTGTGAAGAGAGCCCACCAATCCCGCTAAAAGGTGTGTTCTGGCTTTGTGTGGAAAGCGGTGGAAATGCTTTTGCTGGTGACTGAGGAGTACTAAAAGCAGAACTCAAGTTTGGAGGAAATCCAGGCACACTCTGGGTATGAGGAACCGTTGGGCCACCTAAACTGAGAGATGCCATCCCAGCAGCAAGCGGATCAATCTGATAAGAATAAAATATTAAGGAAAAGAAACCAGTTATTTATATATTTGTATCAAACGGTTTATCATCTTTATTTAGATCATATCTGCCAAATCAGTAACATTTTGCATCAAATACTGACAGGATGGGTCTGTTCCTACTAACGTTAAGAAGAATCATGAAGATCAGATCCAAAAGCCCATCTAGAGTGGCTTTTTATTCCCCAAATGCCAACCATCAGCTTTGAAAAGCTAAAAAATCAACTGGAGTTTTGCCTACAAAACTGGAAATGAGATGATATACAGAATGGCTCTCAAGACTAAAGGAAGTCTTATCCATTGAGACTAGAAAGAGACAGGACATAAATATGCAACAAGCAGAGGTAGTCAGAAAGGTTAAGAGGAGAAATACATACAGCAGAGCTATCTGGAGAGGGATAATGCCATAAGCCAAAGTGAATCTGGATTTGAAAGTGTACATATATTAAAGCATAGGTAAAGGACAGCTGGTGGACAGCAACGAGTTTGATGCAGCCTCGGTACTTATCAGCAGAATAAATAAGAGTGAAGTCAAACATAGATCCATCAAAGATCCAAGATCCATCAAAGAAATGCTTCTGCAGAATTCTGCTGCTGGCTCTTTTAGATTATAAATTAACATGCAGGACAACTATCTTCCAACTGACCATAATGTTCAGTACTTCAGCATGGCCTTATTGCAGATAGGTTTCTTAAAACATACACCCAGACTATCTTTCATTCATTTTTTTTTCTTTTAATCAATAGAACAGAGCCAAATACAGTATTTAGAAAATCAATAATGACAGGTCACAGAAATCTACCTCTGAGTGCAGTCTTGGAGATGTTCCTTGCTTTTTCAAAGAGCAGTTCAGCTGAAGGCCAAAGAGCCCCATATCACAAGCCTTTACAATCTAGCACTGATGCTTGGCCTGAGAAGCTGTAAAAGGCCAATCAGGTTCAAAGGTCGTGCTTAACCCACAAGGTAACATTCACCAAGCAAAGAAAACAGGATGCACTCCTTTTGAATGAGGCTGAATTCTGCACACCAACAAACCAATAGGCAAAAGAACTATTACCTGCTTCTCTCACGCTGGCTACGTACCTGCACAGGGGAGATGGCATCCAGGCTGCTAGCACTGGGGGGACGTCCTTTGGGCATTACACCAGGCGGTGGCTGTCTGGCTTTATTCACTACATTGCTGCAGTTGGCTACCATGGTGAGAATAGTTTCCGACAGCTCTTGCGTTACACTTCTAATGCAGAAACCAAAGTTATTTTTATTTAGAATTACCAGAAATTCAGTTTGTTCCAGCATTGTTCCAAGAACTGCATTTATATTTATAAAAATAAGACCCGGTCTTATTTTCAGGGAAACATGGTACCATCTCCTTCAAAAGTTGCTGATGCCACCCTCTCAGATGAAGAGGCACCCAAAGTGCTATCTATGATTTTACATTTCTGGGAAGTTACAGATTGATTAGAAGAGATTCAGAGGACAGCAACAAAGATAACAAGGGATCTAAGGATATGTCAAATCATAAAAGGCTGAAAAAACCTGGGGCGGTCAGGCGGGAGAAAAGAAGATGATGGGAAGATATGATGAAGCTACATTCATATATATATAAAGGAAAGCAATAGGGAAGGTAGTCAAGAACTACCTTCTCCAGCTACAGAGACCAGGTCCAAAATGACAAGTTGCAGCTACATATAATTTGTTTAAATACAGGAAGACCTCCTGACTGTAAGGTCTGTAAAACACTGGAACAGTGTGAATGTTGCAGGTACTTCATCTCTATGTGTTTTAAAGGAGAGGAGCACTAGCTGCACCATGCCGTACAAGTCCTCCAAAGGTCATCTGCAAGTTTAGCCAATGCCATCTCAGTACAGTACACTAGTACTGTAACCCAGACTGAAAAGGATCCAATAATCCACCTGATCCAGGATCCTCTGAAGCTGAGCAGTAACAATCCTCTCAACAGCCTTCCTTTATAGGAAGTTTGGAGACTGGATGAAAGTTGTCTAACACGGTTGGGTCTAAGGGTGGCTTCTTGAGAAGGGGCACACAAATAATTCACTCCACCTCAGCGTTTTACATGGAGGGAAATATTCTTATACGAAGCATGGTTACACCTAACTAGTACTTGATGGAAGTGCATGAAGAGACTCCAGACTCCAGGCTAGACAGGAAAGAAAGCAGCAGTAAACCACTTCCATATTGCTGCCAAGAAAAATTGCCCAAGAATCGAGGTTGAATCCATTTTGACCCTGTAATATGTAAATTCTAAATCTAGATCCAATATGAAATATATAAATAGAAGAAAAAATTCTTTATTGGTTTAAGGAAAATTATATTTTGCATATAACAATGTTGAGGATTACGCATGTGTTCTATATATAGAATTCATACCTCTTTTCAACTTGTTATTTGTTCACAAAGTTCTTACTTCAACCAGTGAGCCTGTGGCTCAGCCACAGAATATCTGAAGCTCCCCTCCTCTGCTTTAGTCCCTAAACAGACATCCTTTTAAAGAAGACCGTGATATGCTTACCCAGCACAAGCCTGAAGACAAGCTAGCATTGTTGCTAGGGTCTCTGGTGGAAGTTGAGCACTTTTGGGCTGGTCTTTCTCTGGAGCAAGACCACCCAAGATAGAGGGACATCTTCTCTTCAAGAAAGTCATGCAAGCTTGGATGAAAGGCTCCTAGGGAGAAGAAGTGCAAAGCTGTATGAGTTGTACATAGTATAAGCACAAAAATAACTTCATATTTATAAAAAATAATAAAGGCAGGATATAAATAAATAAAAGTAGATAAGCATTGGGTGAGTTAAAGTTCAACACATTTAAGGCCATAGTTTGCACACACAAACAGTAGGACTTCTTTAAAATAAGCAACTATTTTCATCAGAAAACAACTTGCAGAATGAATTAAGAAAAACCTTACTTACCCCATGCTCCCGAATTTTATCTGTGAGCCATTTGTCTAGTTTGAGGTATTCCCGCCGAGAGGCAAGGGCAGCAAGGTCAATAACAAAGGCAAATGGAGTACCATTCAGCAGCATAGACAATGCCTGAAGAAAAAGAAAGCTGCTAGTCCATATGGCAAGCTTGACTTCTCTAGTAGCCTTCCTGTAGTGGTCCTGCAAATTCATTTCCACCGCAGAGCATTTGTGGTAGAAGAAAGCAACATGTCTTTCCAGGTGGAAGTTCCTTGGGAACCCTAAGAATTAGCAGGGTGAAGGTAGGGTATGTGGGAGAGAAGTGATTGGCCCCAGGAAGGTGTCAGAAGCAGAAAACTAGTCCTCCTCCTCCTGGAAGATTGGCCTGAAACAATCTTCCTCTTCAGCACCACAATAGTTTGTAAGTACCATCTCACAAACAACTAATTAACAATTAATTAGTGGAACAACTTGCCTCCAGAAGTTGTGAATGCCTCAACACTGGAAGTTTTTAAGAAGAGTCTGCAATGGTACAGGGTTTCCTGCCTGAGCAGGGAGTTGGACTAGAAGACCTCCAACGTCCCTTCCAATTCTTATTTTATTCTGTTCTGTTCTGTTCTATTCTATTCCCTACTCCTACTCTATTCAACAATTAATGGACTAGAACAGGAGGGTCAAACTGATGGCCCATGGGCCAGATGCATCATGTGCAGGCCACGCCCACCCCGACTCTGCAAAGGCAAAAAACGTCACGATACATCACGTGATGTGATCGAGTTTGACACCCATGGACTAGAAGATCTCCAAGGTCCCTTCCAACTCTGTTATTCTGTTATTATAATGATCTGAGAACTGAGGTAGCTTGTTCACCTGTCAAGCCCAACATCAATGCATTATACCTAAATGCTCTCACACAAACTGGGGCATAGGTTGGCTTGGGACCAGCTTAAGTACAAGGCTGTCTCTCCCCAGCTGTATCCGATTAGATCTAGGAGGGTCATGCTCTGTATCCACTCTACCCGGGAAGCAGACCCAGGATGAGATCTTTTCTGCTATGGCACTTTCCTCCTGGAACACCATTCCCCTGGAGAACACACTCACTCTGACCCTGCTGGCTTTCTGAAAGGGTTTAAAGACCTGGTTTTGTTACTGAACTTGGGCTAAGCTCAAATCGTGGTTGTGGGTTCCCCCCCCCCTTGATGCAATGTTTATTTCCTTTTTTGTTCTTGTTATTCTTATCCTCTTTGGTATGTGGTCTGTACACAGACACAAAAGCTATGATTAGCAAATATTATCAAGTCATTAGATAACAAATATTCAAGATATTCAGAGTGCAGAACACACAAAAATCTATTTAAAAATAAGTAAATACTCTCAATGATGGCCAATTCTTGTCTGAAGACTAAGATATCCCCATGAAGCAATTTGACAGCCTATATAATCCTGAATTACAAAGACTGAGTTCTGGAAAAGGTATATACCATAATCTTATTAAATGATCCCAAAGATGGTTATTACCACACAACTGTAATCAAGATTTATTATGTATTACATAACTTCTGTAATATAATATATAAAAACCAGCTTGCCAGAATTGTATTGTGGTTAAGGCACTACCGTGTTTCCCCAAAAGTAAGTAAGACCTGTCTTACTTTCTTTTGGGCTCTGAAATAAGCAGAAGGTTTTACTTGCGGGAAGGGCTTACTTTTTTGCCGGTACCGGCACCAGTAGGCCGCGAGCGCCTGGGGGTGGGACAGGGCCTGTGCATGAGGTGGAGAAGCAACGTGGCGGTGAGAGCGTGGTGGCGGAGCAGGTACGGTACTGGTGTGGCAGTGGTGGGCGGCAGCGGAAAGGGCGCCGAGCTTGGCACTGGGTGAGTTGGGGCAGATCTTCCGTGAAACCGCCAGAGCACCACACTGCTGCTGGCCTGCCAGGCCCCTTCGCCAGCGGCTGCCGGTGGAACTGGCTACAGCCAGCCCCTTCTCCATCCCAATGCCTGCTTGCCTGTGGCCGCAACAAACCAAACCCTCGGCGAGCCCCAGCCTTCGCCTGCCCTGCCTGCTGGCCCTATTGTTGCTGTGACATTTCTCGGCCATGTCGGGTGCCATGCGGCCGCCAAGTGGCTGCCTGTGCTGCTGGCCTCGCGGGGCTCTTTGCCCTCCTGGCTGTGCTGCTCTGGGTGCAGGGCAAGTCGGCCCAGATCTTCCGTGCGACCGCCTGAGCGCCCCCTGCCGGCCTGCCAGGGCCCTTTGCTAGCAGCCGCCAGTAAAACCATGCCACCCACACCTCTGCCTTTGGGCTGGTGAGTGCCGCGTTCTTTGGGCCCTGGCGGGCGCTGCACCTCTCATATTAACTATGTGCTTTTGGCCTCTACTGCCTTCCGCCTGCCCTGCGGTTTCCACCACCACGAGGTAAGGAGGCGAAGCAGGTGGCGGGGGGGACAGAGTTGCTTCCCTCCACCTGCAGGACACCTGCTGAAGCCGCCCAGATGCCCTCACCTCCCCAAGCGTTTTTTTTACTAACCTGCCTTTCAGTTGCATTGCATTTCTCCGTTCACTTCTCAGCCTTTGCTGAGATCTCACAAATTAGGAAGTCTGATGGATCTTTTCTTTTCGTCCCACAAACATGCAGCAAAGGCGGAAGGCGATTCGGTGGGAGTAGCCAAAAGCAAGCAGGCAGTGGGATGGAGAGGGCGGGGCCAACGGTAGCCGGTTCTTCCAGCAGCAGCTGGCGAAGGGCCCTGGCAGGGCGGGGGGGGGGGAGGGCTCCAGCGGCTGCATAGAAGATCTGGGCTGACTTGCCTCACCCTGCACTAACATTTACTTTGGGGGGAGGGCTTATATTAGGTCCACCCCCCGAAAATCAGCTGGGGCTTACTTTTTGAGTATGGTTTACTTTCAGGGAAACACAGTAGACTAGAAACCAGGAGACCATGAGTTCTAATCCCACTTTAGGAAGCAGGCAATGGAGAACCACTTCCAAAATCTTGCCAAGATTAGTCCAGTCAACAAGAGTTAACACTGACTCAAAGGAACATGCACAAAAAAATTTTATTTTTATTTTTTAAAAGCATGTTTCCTCTGGACCAGAACTGTATGTTTGGCACAAACACTAGTAATCTCAAATAGAATCAACAAAAAATTAGACTCACCTTCAGGTCTTGGGCCACATCTAGAATACGTGATAATTTTGCTTGGTCATATTGTTCTCCTCTCATGTACCATTCTGCCATGGCATGCATGATGAGTTGACGAATTGAAGGGGACTGACCCTAAGAAAATACTTAAATGTTAGTCTACTGGCATAATTATTTAGTTGTTGGTTTGGTGACAGAAACCAGATCCCTTGCTCCTTTATAATACTGTGGCACTGGTATTAAATATGTTTCAACTGGATTTATGCCCAGGGCTACAGTAATATCAAGGCACAAGCCTGAGATCACTAACTCCAAGTCACTTATACCACTACATTGCCTTCCTCTATTCATTCCCCAATCTCAAAGCAGGAAGGGAACCGTCTATGGGGGTTCTCAGTCATCCAGGTCATGGTTGGCCCATAAGACTTTCTTGGGCTTTTTTTTCCCCTTGAAAACATTTTGCTTCTCACCCAAGAACTGAAGAAGCTTGCTGGATGAGAAGCGAAACATTTTCAAAGAAAAAAACCAAGAAAGTCCAGTTGCCTTTTGGAAAAGCACCTTTGGGACAGAAAGGGAACTACTTCCCATTTCTGATCCAGGTTTCTTAAATGGGCAACTCTGGCAAAACACATGAAAATCTACCACTCTGAAAGCCTTTCATCAGAGGGGGAGGCAACACCAAGTGGAAACCAGAGATAGGCAACACATAGGAAATACGCTGCCCCACTTCTGCTCTTCTTGCCAATCTCCTTGTCCTCTTGGTTGAAACCACAACCACCACCTCTACTTCTTGATGCTTTATTTACTGCAATTATTTACTTTAAGCACACTGCCAGACTAAGAGGATTATTGAGAACAACAACTGTGGCATTCAATTGATTTTCAAATGCTGCTCCTGTGATCAAAGTTGCTAAAGTTTGTCAAATACTGAAACATTCCCCTCTCCTTTCCATAAAGGCATTTACTAAAATAGCTAATTAAATGCAAGCGCAACATCTCTCTGGGGGCGGGGGTATTTGGCACCCAGAAGAACCAGGTCACACAGCATTGATATATTCGTCCTGTTGGAATTCACAATAAGAAAACTCTACAAAAAACATTTCTCTCTGTCTGACATAGCAAATGCATAGGCCACAGCAGGCTCTTCCCCACTTTTCTTTATTCCAGACAATCTTACAACAGATTCCAGGTAATACTTCAATATTGGCTCTCCTTTATTCCTGGATCTGACAAATATGAAAGAGATCTGGGAAATCATCAGTCTATTTAGAGTGAATGCCAAGGCTCTGGACAATCTCTCTCAATGACCTCATAGCATACAACAGGGTTCCCAACTCCCGGTCCACGAACCGGCACCAGTCCACATTGCACCAGAAAACGGGTCACACAAATGACTGGAGCCCCATTTGTACACATGTGGGATGCAGGCACATGTACAACCACACTTCCTTCCTGATCTGCAGAAAAACCTCTTTCCACAGTCTCTGCTGTTGAAAAGGCTGGGGGCCTCTGGTATATGTAACAGCAGAGCATAGCTTGAGCACATCACATAACTGAATCCATACCACACCACTTTTCTGCGGCCAAAGAAAAAGCAAGATATCTCCACTTTTGCTCCTTTCAAATCCTTACCTGCCCATGCCACGCATAATGCAAGATGATAGCAGAATTTGGGTGGTTGCCAAGGAAAATGGGCATAAGTGTGGAGATGAGTTCATGCCGCAAAGTATGCCAAGAAGTGTTGATCTGCAGCAAAGCCAAGACCAACATATCTGGACAGTGCTTGATAGGGAAGCTGAAGAGCTGCTTGACTTGTTCATATTGGCCCACCTCTGCCAAACGCAACAGGGATTCAATCAAATCTAGGCTCTTCCTAACAAAAAAGAAACAAAAATTGACATCTATGAGCAAATTCACATGCTTTAGCTTTACTTGTGACTATCAAATATTTTTACATTTATACTTGCAATGAGAATGCTGCTACCCTTTGTACACTTCAGCGAAGATCACCTTCTAATAGAATCCCATTTAGATTATTAGTAATGTCCAACACTGTTTTGAAAAGTGTACAAATGGCACAGAATACGACAGTCAGACTGATCCTGCATCTGCTTACGATGCACGTGAGATTCGTTCTTAAAATAGCTAGTGGTCTGCTTCTGGATGCAATTCAAAACACTAGTTATCACACAGAAAATCCCACATTTCTGGGATCTGAAAGACCGTATTCATTGTGTACACTGGAAATATTTGTGAACTGATTCTTTTAATGAGCTTCAATTGTCCTCAATTACACTGGTGTTTAACTATATTTATCAGTAAAAATATCTTGAAAATAAATAAATAAATAAATCTTGGAAAGGGAAAACTAAAAATTAAAAACATAGGCTACAGAAGCTTCGGAGTGACATAAGTCATTCCTATAGTCTCTTTATCTCTCATGATTGCAAAGTTTAAAAAATGGGACAATCCAGGTAATTTACACATCTAACTTTTAAGCAACTGATTATAGTCTAGCCCAAAGCTCCCAAACCTTTCAAGGTTGATGGCTCAGAAGGAGAGGGAGGAGCAGGGAAATGCTCGTGCGCATGCGCAAAAGAGCGCATACAGGGCATCGGCACTAGCACCTATGTGCATGCGCAAGCAGGCCACGTGTACCCACAGCAGCACCTGTGTGCATGTACAAGCAGGCCATTAGCACCCATGCGCATACGGGCCACTAGCGCCTGTAACAGTGGTGGCAGCGCTAACGCTCCCACACATGTGCAACCATTCCTGTGGCCCGGTGGCCAGCAAGCCGCAGCCTGATACCGGAGACCCCTGGTCTAGCCAATACATTCAGTGCTTGGAACTATTCCCCTACTAATCTTACTATTTAATTTATTTAATATATCACCTGTAATATTTTTATAAATAACACAAGGCAACAAACATACTAACGTTTCTTCCTCTTCCTTTTTTTTCCTCACAGCAACCCTGTGCATTGGTTTGGGTTGAGTGAAGAGTGACTGGCCCAAAGTCACCGAGCCCGCTTTCGTGCCTAAGGCGGCACTAGACCTCAATATCATCCTGCTGCCTTAACCAAATTACCCCTCTTTGGTTGTTCATATATCCGTCTGTACTCTTGGAGCTTCAAAGGTTCTTTCCATCAGAGAGGTCTCATGATAAATACTGTCACCACTCTGACCCCGCCAAGCAAGTGCATCTTAGAAAAGCAACACTGCTTACCATGTGGCAATTTCTCGATTATCATCCTCTGGTGGTGCTTTCAAGATCTCCGTGGAAACAGTATGACAGGGATAGTCGGCAAAACAGAAGATCTCTGGGTTAATGAGGGAATACTGAATGAATGAGAGCTGCAAAAAATGACATCATTGGAATCATCATTTCAGGCCTTTAACCACATTACATGTGGATCTTCATCATCTTTTCCTTCACATTTTGTTCCCACTCTTATGCATTTAGATTATTTTTGTTTTTCCTGCTCACTTTCAGAACAAAATTTAAAAAATAGATTTATTCTCTTGTCACAACCAATTTATCATTTGTAACATTGCATTATTAGAAAAGGGGGAAATCTCATATGCATAATGCTCAGTTTCTAAAGCTAATATTTTATTCTTTGCAGCTCTCAAAGTTAAGTTTCATTTTAGTTAACATCTAAGAACAGCAAAGATGCTGTGACTGCTGCTATCTCCCTTGCTACATTCTTTCAAATCCTAATAATATGTACCGGTATCCCAAGCATTCATTCCAAACCTTATTTGAAATATCAGCTATTTTTTAAAATTCCAGATCATACTACACCCAAGCAAAGACTCATGAATTAACAAATAAATAAATCTCACAAGCAATGGTATAGTCATTAGAAAAAAATGAAAGTGGATAAAAAAAACCTGAGAGCTGTATATTTACCTGGCCTTCAGCATGTTTCCAAGGTCTGTATATGAGGTCAACTGGAAAAACCTCCAATCCTAATCCACGCTGAATTCCGAAGATTACAATTTGCAGGCCCTTGCTATCACGAATTTGAAATCCAGGGTGGTCCAGCTCATAGGTTACTTCCTTGAAGTTTAAGGTTGGGTTCTGCAGCAGATATAAAGAAGTAGTAGTTTAATATGCAATATTTCCCACTTTTCCATGGATTAACGTGGCACAGTCAGATAAATACATTTTAGAAAGTACAGAAAAGGTGAGATTTACTGTTTTCCTAGCCCTAAAACACGATCAAAACAAAAAAGATGAGGTGACTAGTTTACTTCCCAGTTTATCAGGGAAAGAAGGGAATATTTGGATTGGACACATGAAGCAGTTATGCAAGGACACAGATAGCAAAAAGCCTCTCAAAAGATGAAGTGAAACACATACATGACACACACCTAAACATACTATATACAACATATGTATATAGACCCATACCGCTACATATACATAATGTTTTAGGTTTCCTAGATGAGGAACAGCTAACCTCAGCCTCGGGAATCAAGAAATCAGACTCCAGCCCTTCCGCCTCTACCCTGGACCAAAGAGAGGCAGTGACTGCAGACGTCCTATTGAGAGGGCTGAAGCAGCGTTCTCTGGCTGGACAATCTGCCAAGAGAACAAAGCAGCTCTTCCTCCCCCAGATACACATATGGTATGAACACTTTACACCCAACTGAGAATCAGCCCATTCTCCTGATCCACTAGACTAAGAACCCAAATGACCCAGTCAGATACAATCTTAAGGACACTGTTAAGGACCTGCCCCAGCTGTCCCTCTCAGGAAAGCACAACTCTTTTGACACCGTGTGATTGATCAAAACTTTTACTGAGAAGTAGTGGTTGCAGCAAACCCAAGCGGAATCTAACATTCCCAAGCAAAGCGACAGGCCCATGGTGTCTGCACTTATGACTGCACCCCCACTAACTAGAGAAATGGCAAAATGTAACTAGATTAAATTAAAGTTAAAGGCATATTTAGCTTTAGTTACATAAGCACTTTTGTTCATAATAAAACCTGTAATACATTCAAGGCTTTATATTGACAAAACATCATGTATTTTGAATTAAAACTACACTTTCCACAAACTCAATAAATGCCCTCAATAAATTGGAAATGTAGAGCAAAAATGTTTTATCTGTGTTTTCAATTAAATTTTACTGCCTGGTCTTAATAATCAAGAGATTGCATCTAACTTTCATCTAAATAAATTGCATGAATGTGTGGCACAGGATATTTTTTTATCGTGACAAAAAGCATGCAGGTTGTGCTGCAACAGTAGTACCCCAGTGGTCATTAAATGAGTAGTAACTTCTTAATTCCAGAAATACATATTTGGGATTCATTGTATGAACATACCAGTTCTTTAAGCACATCAATCAGAACTTCAACATTCCACGTATGAGTCTGTGTCCCGTCATTTTTATCTCTTCCATCACTCCAAATTCCACTTCCAGGGGCAGAAATAGACTGCAAATTAAACATGTAGATGCATGTTTATACTATTTTTAGAGAGTAAATGTATTCTGGGGATGAAGTAAAATATTTAACTCATGCAGATGGATGCAGTCTCCCAGCTCCCTCGTAGTAGCCTTCAAAGCATACCAAAGCTTGGTAGCAAAGGTACCCACTTTTTATTCTTTTTTGCAGTTTTATATTTATTATCCTGACAAATCATGCCACAGATTTTAGTAAGTCTTCCTCAGCCTGCTGATAAGCTTTCTAGGCAAAAGTATCCTTGGACTTTCCAGTGCAGGCCTAACTCTGTCCATGATTGGTATTCTGTCCCCACAAAAGGCCACTTTCTGCCTGGAAGGTTGCCTTCATTTCATGTTGCTGAACCATCCTGCATTAAAGGCAGCAGCAAGAACAGCAGCAGCAACTGCTGAACCAGGGAAAGGAGCTGCCATGAACTCCAAGCACTGATTCAACAAGCTGCTTCTTTATGTCCACAAGACAGACTTAAATAATCAGTAAGTTAAAAGCACAAACCACAGACAATTTTAAAGGGCAGTCTTTAAAAAGAAAATGTCAGCTCCCTACTCGCTCACTTTGAAGTCTATTAAAATTGTAATTATTTATTTCACTGAGTAACAGAGGAATGGGTAGTAATGTAGTCTCACACCCAGGGACACTTTGCTTAGTGCCTACCAAAACCCATGTCCCATTTATTTCTTAAATACAGGCAGTCCTTGTTTTGTGATCAAAAGTGGACTGGCAACTCAGTTGTTAAACAAAGCAGTCACTAAGTTAAATGGCGGTTGTGCTTTTGAACTTACTTTAGCTTTCCTTTGTTTTACAGACCTATGAAGATTTTATATGCAAAGACTGGTTGTAAAGTTTCTTTTTCATCACTGTTGTTAACTGCAAATTGCCACTAAATTAAGACTACTGTATCCCTTTTCATTTTAAACAAGGTAAAACAGAACCAGCCAGACACCAGAACCATCCTTATTTCCAAGGACATTCCTAGATCCAATAGAGCTCCTAGATAGAAAATAAAAAAGGCAGATGACCACAGTTTAGGGATTTGTTCAATGGTATGCTCACCTACCCAGAAACAAAGGCAATGATTAGCCAGTACAGTACCATCTTTGGGTACAAGGAGCAACCTCACCAGTTTGCCTTTTAATAAATGTCTGTTGTGGACTTTCAATAGAGACCACAACAGATTGTGTTATCAAAGAAATGGTGTATTCTCCAGCAAAAACAACAACAATAACAACTGATTTTTGACAGTGCTAAAGCTTGTACTGACCTGTAATGGAATGCCATCTGTCAATCCAGAGTGTGTTCGAGCCATCATTCCCAAAACTCTGGCAACCTGGGCAGCTGTAACTTCCCCAACACCAAACTGTGTGATGATACTGCGACATTCTTCCACGCTAAGTATGGAAGATAATGTTTGTTTTATTTAAAATATTACATTGCCCAACTAACCAAGCTCTCTTCTTACATATTAAGTAACTCTAACACAACAATGAAGGCTTATACAAGCAGCAAATGCATAATAATGTGAAGATCTCAGAAATAAAAATAATTCTAAAATTCTTTGAAAATAAAAGATTTTCATTTTAACGCCAGAAGACTATAATGTAGGCAAGCTATGTAAAAGTGTCCAAGAAGCTAAGCTTACATGTTGGACTCTCTTTTAACTCCCCACTTCCAAACCCTGGAGAACATTAACTGATTTATCTATATTAGATGAAAAGGCTATAGATGTCAGGTACAAATTTAACTGACTTATTGCTAAAAGCTTCTGCACAGGAATCTTCTCAATTTAATGATCAGCACCTGGTTAAAGTTAGATACGAGTCAACAGCAGTCAAGGGGGGCTGGACTACAGTCATACATCGGTACTCGACTGCTTAAAACCTGTCCACTTCAGTACTCAATGCATTTTGAAGCAAAAATCTTGTCCCTGATACTAATCTTTCTCTCAAACTAGATGCACAAAGTATAACTTGCTAGCGTCACTTGCCTCATGACTCTACTCCTTCCAGCCGAAATAAAGGGTCACATGTTAAGTCAAGTAGTTTGCTTAGTATTCGTTTTTAGTACTCATTACTCCTCCTGGAACGAATTAGCGATGAGTACCAAGGTACCACTGCAATTCATTCGTGGCTAGGTAGTGATTCTAGCCTGATCTCTCTTTTTACCTTTCCCTCTGGTTCTGCTAGTCCTTCTCCAACACTAGCCCACTGTACCTAAAAAAACACCTCTCCTTCATGATTCTCACCTGATCCTATGGGTTGTTAATGAAGGTGTCCTCATGTGCTGAGATATGAGCGACAGACACCCAAAGCAGGCCTTCTCTCTAGTAATCCTCAAAAGCTCTGAAATGCTTGAATATCTTTCCAAAGAGAGGGCCTTCCTAAAATATATGTTACTCAAGACTTTATGGGTCCAGAGATACATATTTCTGCCCCACCTTCATGTGAGCTTCAGAATAAGGCATGGTCTATTTACATCCAGGCAGAGCTTCAGACACCTCACTCTGCAATCCCCTGGGGACTTGTGGACTCTTGCTTGAAGCAACATTTCAAGCACTTTCTTTTTTGGTAAACATTGGTCTCCAATACGAAAACCACAGTCAGATTTTGGGAAGGAGACATGTAGAGCAAACTTCTGAGATTTAAATAGCACAGGCCAGTGCTTAAATAACTATTTGAAAATAGAGCATTCAGTTGCTTCTTGGCTTGGGTGGGAAAGGTCCAGGTATCCTCCTCAAATCTCAAAGGCTGAGATTACTAAGCAAAAGAACCATCACGTGGATGTTCTAGATGGAGCATTAAATTCTATATTTAATTTCATATCAATATTGTGCAATTTTGTCATTCTACTACAATGTCTATGCTGTAACTCCCGAGATCTAAATAACCTTTTTTTTATTCTGAAAAATTCTTTGAATAATTCAGTCACCTACATACCTTGTACAAAAGCCATAGCCAACTTCCTGCATGAAGTCTGCAAGAGAACTCTCCATCATGGTTTTTGCTATCCCTCCAGAGTCAGGCAGGATCCTATCCATTAGAATGTCCCGTTTTTCAGGGTATAAGAGTGGTGCAAGCACCACAGGGCAACGTTCCTGGGGGAAATCTAGGGATGCAAAGAAGTTTAGCATTCACAATGGGTGCATACATAAAAACAGACTTCCATTATCACTTCTGTTTTCAATTCTAAATCATGCTATTAAGCAATTAATTGTTGACAGTCCAAAACTGGGTATTCCAGTTCTTCATTGCATGTGTTAGGGTTGGGATTTACTAATGTTACTCTTCATTGCATTTTTTAATTTCATGTAATATTGAATTGTTAGTTTCATTTCAAAAATGGCACCTCTTGATAGACTTCCGGTGGGACGGCGCGCCGATGGCGGCTCTTTTGGAGCCGTCCGCTTGGGAAGGCGTCAGAGCCAGCCTGAACAGCGGACATCAGCTGTTCAGCGGCTTGGAACCTTGTGCCCCGGGAGAAGGGGTCAAGGTGAGTACTCCCAGATAGGAGTAGAGCCCCAAAAGCTCTCCCTTAACTTAGGGAGAGCGAAAATTGGGTGCTCTTCCGGAGTCCGGGAACCTCCGGAGGAGGGAAGGAGGTAGAAGGAAGGAGGGAAGTAGGTTGAAGAGAGGGAATGTGTTCCTGTGAGGCCACTGAGCATCTTAGAATGGGAGGTTTTTTTAGTTTGTTTTTTTAATTAATTGTATTATTGACTTATGCCATAATTGTATGTTTGTTTATTTTGGGGGGATAAAAAAAAAAATCAATAAAATTTGTTTATAAAAAAAAAATATGGCACTTCTTAATGATCCTGGTATTCCAGGGACCTCTACGTTTGCTAAAACAGTTCTCCTCCACTTGGTGCCTCACAGTCTATAGACAATGGAAACACAGTGCAGTGCCCCCACTGAACTGACCCTGGGAAAAGGAAAACTACCACAGCATTGTGTCTCCCATTCCTAAGCCGCACATCCAGTCCAGAAGAATACTGCGGTGAGAAAGAGGATGACCTGAAGGACTGAGAGAAGATCCACTGCCAAGGAAGTGATCAGATAAAAAAGGTTTCATCCCAGGACAGTGATTTATGCAGACAACTTGGACAGCCCCCCTACAACCCTCCCAATTCATAGGAAGATTAAAAAAAAGGAAGGAAAGCATATTCAGGTTCTGTTACCATAAGGTTCTGTTACCATAAGGTTCTGTTACCATAAAAGGTTCTGTTACCATAAAATAGCTTTAGACCCACATGCTATTACTTTCTTGGTCTCGTCTACCTTGTAGGGTTGACAATAATGTGATGTATCAGAAGCCACTGAGAGATCAAGATAGACCAAAATGGATGCCTAGGCGAGGTCATCAACAAGTGCAATAATGCCATCTCGGGGATACAAGAACTCCACATAATTTACTTCCTGCAAAGCTCTTTAGAAGTGGGCTTCAAAGAGACACATAACTTACCTCTGCGCAATGTTTTGAGGAACGCGTCAATTTGTTCCTGTCCAACCCCAAAGGCTCCCTTCTGCCCAAAAAGAAGATGGGAAAGAAGGAGGTGCAAGACTTCTATTGCAATATCTTGAAAGCCACCTTCTTGATTGCCACTGACGTCTGCGTCAATATATGAGCGCAGAAGATCAGGAAGTTTCTGTTTAATAAACTGAGCAGCTTGGAAAGAAAAAAAAGACAAATAGACAGCAATTAACAGAATTGCTTTAGGAATAAGGACAATTTTTTTCGTGTGATTTAAAAAGGAACACATGCACATTGTTCAGATTATTTCACAAAAGAGCTCCATATCACAGAATTATTCACAGAATATGACCCTGCCTACAAACACAACATCGCCTGAAGTTCGGAATTTTTTTTAGACAATGGAATTTTTTGGTCAATGGTTTTGAGGCTATCTCTAAACTGCCACTAGTCCTCAGAGATCTGGCCATTGCAGCGTCCCATGCCGGTCACATGTTGCCATTTGCAACCTTCTTTGCTGGCTTCTGACAAGCAAAATCAATGGGAAGCTAACAAGAGGCCGCAAGTGGCAATCATGTGAAGTCCTTGCTCAATGACCCACCGTAATTTGCTTAACGACAGCAACTGGCAATTACCGTTACTAATCATCACATAACCCGTGCTTTATGACCATATCACTTAGCAATGGCATTTCCAGTTCCAATTACCCTTGTTAGCTGAGGACAGTACAGACATTATTATATTATTAGAGAAACTTCTACTAGAGATAGAACAGTATCACATGGATAGGAATAGTGAGCTAGTAAGTGCTTTCCAATTAACCTCATCTCTCAGCATGTCTTGGGGAAAGACCTTTTTTTGTGCAAATCAGCATCTGAGCCACAGATATCAGTACAGATTTCTAATATTCCACACTTCACTTCCTACTGATACAAGAATAAAATGACATTGACAAATATCCTACGGTTGTATATACATAATACGTTAGGGTTAGATTTAATTGTTTTTGTGGTTTAGTATGTTTGTTGTATTATATGAACTATGAAAATGGCTAACTACAATAATGGCTAAGTATGTTGTGCAAATAAAACTACTATGTAAAAAAATTGAGGAAGAAGCTTCCTACCCAGTTATCATTTATCTTACCGAAAACTTGTAGATCAGGATTGAAAGAGTTCAACAAAGCAAGACCAAAAATAACCTATTAATAAATAAAGAGAAGTTAAACGTTAATGTATTACAATTCAGTACCATCAAACCTGGGTATGCTTACTCTTAAGAAGACTGGGTGAATATTATAGCACTATTAAAATTCCTGAAAGATGATCACACAGAAGAAAATCATGGGCAATTTTGTATTAAATCAGAGTGCATACAGTAATGGGTATAATGTTGCAAGGAGAGATCCCAATTAAATTTTGGAAAAATCCTGAATCATAAGAACAGTGTGACAGTGGAACCAGAAAGGAAATGAACTCCCATTACTGCATGTCTTCTGCCTAGAACGTTTTAATTTGAATTCCTGCATTGAGCAAGAAGCTGGATCAGGAAGCTTTACAGTTTCCTTCCCACTTCATGCTTCTAATAACAAACTGAGGTTGGCAACCACACAGATCAAAGAGAAACCCCAAGACTGAATACTGCTGCTCTATGCCCCACTTTTGCAGGCCCCTCCCCAATATGCCCAATAGATCTTGCCATCCATCCAGCGGATCAGGATTTGGAGGACGATACTCTGAACTACAGTAATAACAAATATTACAGCCAGTCAGGAAGTACAGGGTAAAAGTGGAGGATCTGCTGGTGATTGTCTCCTACTTATTTCTCAAGGCTGAGAGAAGCATACTAACTGGGGCATTTCTATGATTCCATCAAGATACTGATGCTGCTCCCCACCCACCCAACAAAATGCTGAGTGCGTAAAAATAGGACAGAAACCCACCTCTTGAACTTTGCTTAATTTGATAACTTTGCTCAGTTGGGTGAATAGATGGGGTGATGGCTTAAGACTCTGAAAGAAACAAGAAATCATTTTTAGCTTACAGTCTACCCATTAAATTGATACTGCACAAACAGACCGCTGTGGCATACCACTCTTAAGATGGGAGCATCTCCTGTACTCTGTATTAAAGTTGCTTCTCCTAGCTACATTCTTATGTCTAACTGTTTGATTTTTATACTTTAATACATTGCTGCTTGAGCCTGATAGGATAAAAAATATGTACAAACTAAGGTTTCAATATCTCACAATCTTCAACATGCTTGAAGGGCTAAAAATAATGTTTATAGTAATAAATTATGCAACACTGGCTGAATAGCGCAACAAATTATGACTTGTTTATACAAACCTTTTGATAATGCAATGGATTTTCAATAGCATAGGACAGTGTTGAAATGAAGTTTGGCTTTGTAATCAATGATGCACACTCCTGGATCAGAAACTGAGTCTGGAAAGAAAGGAGATGGTTATATAAAAGGTGTTTTCTCTGCACCTGACAATATAATTATAAAACATAATTCATATGGCTTCTACTTTGAACCATTTTGCCATGGAGTGTATAAGAAATACTTTTTATATTTGTTAAATTGATTTACTGCCAACCTGCCATAAGCTGCCTAGAGTTACTCTAGGCAGTTTGCAACAGTAAAAACAGAGAAAGGAAAAGAAGTGTAAAAATGACAGTAGCAGAGAAACAGAATAATACAATAAAATAAAACAATGAAATAAAATAAAACAATGAAAAAGAAAACACTGAGAATACAGTGATATAAGAATAAAAGATGGGGGGGCAGGATGGGGAAGCAGGGAGCGACGAGGGAGCCCTCTCCAATGTGATCCTCCCTAGGGTCCCCAGGCCAATCGGCAGAGCCAGGTCTTCAGGCTCTTACGGAAGGAATATTGTGGAAGAGACTAGATAGCTAAAAGTTTGCTTGGTTATCTTTCTCAAAGATGAGAACACAGATATTATTCATAGTTATTAGTGTATTTGTATTCTATAATATATTATCATGATATGTACTTAAAGAGAATGGTAGCCAACATATATGAATAAGTATTTTATAAAAAAACAAAAAGAGGTAAAAAGTTGCCCTAAAACCAAAAGAACTATTAGATTAAAATATACTCTTAGAACAAGAGTTTGATTCAAAGCTATTAGTGAAAGAAGCTAAAGCTGTATCTTGAATTGTTACTTTAGACCAGATTTTCTTACAGTGTAAGAAAGAACCCTGAAGAACCCGGGGGAGGGGTCCCCCAAAATCCTCTCAGGGGTCCACAAAATCAAATTATTTGCCAGGTGTTAAAGATATTTGCAAAAATTTAAAACAATGTCACTTATTACTTTTGTTAAGAAAATAGGGTTTCATCATGAAAAATATTTTATTTATCCTAATTTCCAATGGGATTAACTGTTATTTTTACATAATTCAATAAATATCTACAATGCATCACTTTTAAATTAATATGCTCAATATCAGTAAACATAAGGCTCTTCTGGGATCCTCTATACATTTTTAAAAGTGAGATGCAACCCCAAGAGCAAAACAGTTAAATAACATTGCTTTAGACAGCTTTGATAGATGTTGCAAACGGCTCCTTCTCTGTTTCTAGTTTTCAGGAGCCTTTATGATTTTTTATTTGCTGAAACAGAGAATAAAGGAGTGAAGACACAGGCCTTTTTGGTAGGAACTCCATTTGGAAATCCTCTCAGGAAGGGTCAGCTGATTCTCCTCTAAATGGCTAGGTATGTGGATACATATAGGTAATCCTGGGTCCATAAAAACTGAAGGGACCTAACTGGGACTGGAACTTCCCTCACGAAGCCAACTGCTTATTAAACATCACAGGATTTCTGCCCAGCATAGCAATGGCAGACCTGGCAACCCAGATTGCAGCCATTAGGCCAGGGCCAAGCCCATCTCCTGCCCAGTGCCTCATCCCCATCCCAAATATCACTCTGCCAGGCTTGCTTCTGCTTTAACTGCCTCTCACCTATCCTCCCCCCATTGGATGCCCCGCACTCCACTGCGGCTACCTAGCCCTGCCATCCCCAACTGACCTTCTCCATCTATTCCTCCTGCTGCTAATAAGGACTGCCTGGTCAAGATAGCTGATGGCCCTTCACGAGGCTTTAGTAGCAGAGTGCAAGGTAGCCAAAAAGTATACAGGTAGGGTAACCCGGGGGGGGAGGGGAGTTGAAGTGCATGATGCCATTATAAATGTGCCTGAATTTTCATCATGTGACCACGAAGGTAGCTGTAACTTCCAGGACTGGTCCTAACTCCCATTGGTTCAGCATTGTTGTAATTTTCAATAGTTGCTGAACAAATAGTTGTTAAGCAAGGACTACCCTCAGTAACTCTGGGCAACTCATAGCAATTAAAGAATTTATAATAAATTATAACACAATACACAATACGTAGCAACCCGTAAGCTTGCTTGCTTTGGCCCCTTACCAAAGGCCTGGTTGAAGAGCTTCACAGAGTGGGGGGGGGATCCAGATCTCGGGGGGGGGCTCATTCCAGAGGGGTAGGTGCTATTAGTCCTGAGCGGAGACATTGTTTAACTGAAGGAACCAAGAGCGCACTAACACTGCTGGATGAAGTTGGTCAGACTGATGTCATGGGAGAGAGGCGATCCCTCACGTAGCAAGGCCCTATGCCCTGTAGGGCTTCACAGGGAATGACCAGCACCTTGAATTGAACTCAGAAGCAAATGGCAACCAATGCAGCTCATGAAGCAGAGGTGTTACATGGCACACTAAGGAATGCCCATTATTGCCTGCATCACTTGTTGAGGGGTCTACGTGGTGTTCAAGGGCAGCTCCATGTACTGAATAGTGCAGTAGTCAAGCTGCAAGACAAACATAAAGAGCAAAATAATAGAAAACTCTTCACTCCAACTTACCTGGTGGAAATCTTTACCGCTACTTTTACCATCGCCACTGAAATCCACATGAGAAAAGAGACAGCGTAGCAAATGCCTGTCTGCTTCAGGTCCGTGCCGGTTCACAATCTAAGATGCAGAAAATAACCCCCAAACAATTACCTTCTAGAGCCAAGCTGAAATGTATAGACATGGCCTCCAGACAAAATATAAGCTAAGATCAAAATTTTAGTTTGGCACCTAGATATCTGCAGGATCATTTCTCCCCCCCCCACCAGAAAAGGTCCCCCAATACATTTATCTTGGGGAAAATTGCCCAAGGTGGTGCTTTCTTGAAGAGGGGAGGGGGGCTGAGGAAATAAAGACTCCTGCACTCTGCAACACTCTCCCCTGGAAGTTAGGACTGTTCCAGAAGTTCTTTCAGAGGGCATTTGGAATTTATTTATTTGATACATTTATATGGCCAGCTGTCTCACTGACACGACTCTGCTGCTCAAACAGCTGAAAACAGGGGGGAAAAACAACCCTTTTTAAAACAAGAGATAATTTAAACCAACTTTACAGGCAGGAACTCTCAGGAGCCTAGCCTTGATGGCAAAGCTACATTTCCAATGCCTTTCAAAAGGCCATGTCAGACCCTCAACCCTTCTATTCCTTTTTGCTTTCGGGTTCTGCCATTTTGCTGGGAGGGGGTAAGTTGTGAGGCCTGCTGTTGGGAGGGGGGAGGTTGGTCGGTGTTTCCTCCATTTTGTTCCTATCCCTTTGATCCCTCAGGAATGTGCCCTGGACCATCTGTCTTATCTCAAATCCGATGGGAGGAGACCAGGAGGAAACAAACGTGCCTGGGATTGGCGCTTATCACAACTTCGTACCTGAGGATTGGTACCTAGACATTTGGCCGTTGGGATGGGTTTTTTGAAAGGGATGCTTTAATGTAACGTTTCACACAGGAAAACGTTAGATCTTGCTTTGCTCTTCTGCTATCACTGACTCTCAATAAAAGTTCCTTTTGAAACAATGCCTGTTTCAAGAATTCTGTTTTCTTGGGAGGACTAGCTGAGGCAGGACCGTACAGGCCAGCAAGAGTGGGGCAAGTCTAATTTCTGAGGGAAGAATGTTCCAGAGGGTGGGTTCTGGGGCAGAAAAGCTCTCTTCCTGCCTCTCTTTGGGGCACTCTTTGGGGGCAGGGTCAGAGCATAACTTGCCTGCCTTGCCTTTAACAGGATGGGTAGACACCACTGGAGAGAGAGGGTCCCAGATGTAACACAGCCCCAACACAAGAAGGGCTCTAACCACCCCACCTCCAAATTTCACCCAAAAGCATACTAACACTCAATGCAGCCCATGGACCACTGGTGCCACATGTGCAAGTGACTGACATTCATAACTGCATGCACTGCTGCACAGTGCAAGCTTCCAACTACTTTTGAAGGGGAGCCCCACGTAGAGCGCATTGCAATAATCTAAGTGGGAGATGACTAAGGGCTTCCCTATCCAGGAATGGATGCATAGCACAAAGATGTGCAAAGTCCCTCTTGATCATGGCTGCCAAAGCAAGAGCCCCAAAACTAGGAGAACCTCCATGCATGCACAAGGCTAATGGGTGCCTGAGTAGTGCAACCCCATTTAGAACAAGGGGTGGAACATTCCTAGAACCAGGGGGCTCCTAAAACTGAAAGCCATTCGGACTTACTAGGGTTGAGCCAAACCCTGCTGTTCCCCATCCAGGCCCCACAGCTTCCAGGATAGCGTCAGGACTTCCATAGCATCACCTGAACAGCCTAGAATGGAGATGTCTATTTGGATATAATTGGACACTGTTTATTCCTCCCTTCGATCCCATGGATGATCTCACTCTCATGTAGATGTTCAACAGGAAAGGAGAGAGAGTACCAAATCCTGTGGCACGCCAAATGAGAGGCCACAAGCTGGACCTCCCTTTCCCTATCATTACTAACTGGAATTGGCTCAAAAGAAAGGAGAACACAACACTGTGCCACCAACCCCCTCCCCAAAGCCAGTCCAGAAGGATACCATGACTGATGGTATTGAAAGCTGCTGAGAGGCCAAGAGCAAGACTACCCCTGTCCTGCTCTTGCCAGAGATCATCCAAGAACGCCATCACTGCCATCTCAGTCTCATACCTGGGCCTGAATCCTGACTGAAAGAGATCCAGATAATCCACCTCTTCCATAGTTCTTTGAAGCTGCTGTGCAAATCTCAAAGGTTGGAAACTCAATATAAAATGTCCAGTACTATTTTGTCCGTGATAGCCTCTTAGGGAAGGGGCCTCCTTAACAGACAATGGAACCATCTCTCAAAGAGGATTTAACCACCATTACGAGGCATCCGCATGTCACCTCCCAAGAGGCTTTAGCCAACTATTACAGAGCTGATATAACTAACAACCAGAACCCTGTCTACTTTCTCAGGTCCAACAGGATCAAACAGTCAGGAAAAGGAATCAATTTACTTTCAAAATGTGTGCAGCCCAATATAAAAATTGAATTGCCTGCCTCAAATCGTCTACTAGAATAGCTTTACATAACCAGTTATGCTTTTAACCTGAAAAATAGCAAACATACTCACAAAAATGTATAACTAAAAATTAACTGTATACTTACCTTAAATGCTAAATAGAGGAAAACATATTTTTAGAGTAGCAATATAATCCAGAGAACATTCATGCTATAGTCTAATCAAGAAATATCAAAGGTATTTGTTGTAGCAATGCAATCAAACATGGAAAATATCCCAAAAGACAGACTGGCCAAAAAATATGGAGTGGATCAAAACCTGTACTCTTACTCTCAGATAAAAAATGGAGCAAAGCAATTATTGGCACTGGCTGAACTGAAACACAGCCCTTTTGACACTTCTGACAATAAACAAAATTAAGCACAGGAATTTTAATAAGTGGTAACGTGAACTTAGTCCAAGCCATCTAACACAATTTGGATACTAATCTGGAGACAGCAAACTGTCAATTGATGTCACCAGATGAAACACAGCTTTCAGCAAATGGATTACAATAAGAGCCATGTTTGTTATTTGAAGAAATTCAAGTAGTATGAAAAGCACAGTGGTACAAAATAAGCTGAGAATGAGCTTATCTTCTTTCCATCACAATTCCAAAGTAGTGCGATGCTCCCCACTTACATGCTGTATTTCCTGCTGGCTGGCTCGGTAGTTTTTCTTAGTTAAATTGTCCACCAGGTAGCTGATTTGAGACAAGGCCAGCGAGAGCGAGTCAAGATTCATTGCTGGTTGGGGCGGAAGCAGGCGGCCGAGTCCGGCGCAAAATCACCATTATTCCCCTTTAGTCACCTCAGAGACAGGTTAATTTTTTTCCACTTAGCCTGTATCTCAAGTTATGTTGTGTCTTTAGTTCTTCTTTCCCAGTACTCCCACTACGTCCTGAAACATGGCACCTGAAAAATAAAGCAGATATTTTTTACATTAAGCATTACTAAATAATACTATTTTCCATTTTATTCAGAAAAAAACAGGTATAGAATAGGAGACACCTGGTTCAACAGCTGTAACTATGAGAAGGATTCAGGAGTCCTAGTGGACCACCACTTAAGTATGAGCCAGCAATATGTTGCAGCTGCCAAAATGATTGGCTAAGGCAGGAGTGTCAAACTGCTGGTCCACGAGCCAGATGCATCATGACAAAACTGCGCCCACCCCATTGCTGGCAATGAGAAAAAAGTTGCGATACGTCGCGACACGTCACGTGATGTTGCGAGTTTGACAGCCCTGGGCTAAGGGAATAGGTGTGTTTAGCCTGATAAAGAGGAGGCTTAGGGAAAACAACATAGCAGTCTTCCAATTCTTGAAAGGCTGTCACAGGGAAGAGGGCATCAATTTATTCTCCATAGCATCTGAGTGCAGAACAAGAAGCAATGGGTAGAAGCTTGTCAGGGGGAGATTCAACCTGGAAATAAGGAGGAATTTCTTGACTATAAGAATGACTAAGCAATGGAACAACTTAACTCCTGTGCACGGATGTTCTATCACTGACGGTTTTCAAGAAAAGATTGGATAGTCATTTTTCTAGTATTTACTAAAAAATTACATTATGAAAAAGCCTCAAAAGACCACAACTACGATAGTTTTAGCTTTTAGTTATAGCTGGTAATTTGTATTTTTATGGTATTTTATTCTTATTACATACATGTTTCTGTATTGCTGTACTCTTTTTAACACTGTAAGCCGCCAAGAGTCACTTCGTGGCAGGGTGGATAATAATCGATGTTTTTTTAAAAAAATCAAAAAAATCAGATTTTATTTTTATCAAATTTATTTTAATAAAATGCTTTTGGAGTAAAAATCTAAAGTTAGTTTTCTATTTAAGATACATTAATAATTTAGTTTATTCAGCATGAAATGGAGCTTAGTTATGTAGCATGAGCTGTACATTCGTTAATATTTACATTTTTGGTAAACTCATTCAATGAATCCAAGCTCTGCAAGCTGAGATAACATGCACTGCGTTGATGCACTCACTCAATTTCACAGTGACCATGAGATAAATCATAAAACAAAGTTCAGGAATATTCCTTTATCCCATTGTTTTGCTAATCTATGTATACTACAAACTGTGTGATTGTTTGAAGAGAAATCCATCTGTACCAGGCTCCAAGTGTGAGGAGGAAGGGCAAGTTGTAAAAATGAAAGTGAAACCTTCTAAGCAGCTTATAAACCCTGCTATCTTTCTGCACATAGCTTGAAGTGCTTTATTTCTCCCTTGAGGAGTAAAATGGCGGCAGGCCATAAAAGAGACCCAGTTTGGGAATATTTTAATGAAGTTCCTCTACCTTTGGGTACAGCAGGTGTGCGTGCGCAATGCAAGGCCTGGTGGCCCAAACGAAACAACATCATGAGAAATGCTGTGAGGAAAGAATCGTGTTTGAAGAGGCAGGACCTTCAGGTTGGTAAACTGTTTTTATTTCGCCATATTTTTTAGACTGCCATGACGTATTGTTATGCTAAAGCAATATATATCTATATATCTGCTATTGTTATTGCACGGCACTACATTTTTATACAGTTGCCAAAAAAAGAAATAATGAGTTGAAATGTGTAAATATTCCTTTTTAGGCTGTACTATGTGTGTGCATACAATGAGAAATTCACAGTAAGCATACATGGTTTAAAAAATAAAATAAAAGATTGACTTTTTTGTTTAGGTGAAACCACCATCAACATAAAAGATTCTGGAAACTATTCACTTTCTAAATCTCCATCCTGTTGTTCTACAGCAGACATGTCAAACTCTCGACCTGTTCTACAGTTTCAGAGTTATCTCTCAAGGATAGTGCATCAGTCACATCATTTACACGTATCTGCAATATATCACCTAAAAGAAAGAAACCATCTGGAACCACAACCATAGATAGGTTTGTGATAAAAACCAGATTAGAAAAAAAGTTGATTGATGAAAAAATTGCTCAGTTTGTTTAGCAACAAGCTCTTCTTTCCGTCTGCTTGAAAATCCATACTTAGTTAATATGATTCAGTCCACCAAGTAGATTAGATGTTGCAGGGAAATCTCTGGATAAAGTATATGAAGAAATTATACAATGTGCAACAAATCTAGAAGGTAAAATTGTTAACCTAAGTCTTGATGGGTGGAGTAATGTCCACAATGATCCTATTGTATATGCTTGTATAACAACAAAAGAAGGGAATGTATTCCTTGCAGAAACAATTGATACTTCAGGAAATGCACACACACAGCAGTATACTTAGAAGAAGTAGCAGCAAAAGTTATCATAACATGCGAAAAAAACCTCAAATGTCAAGTACACAGTTTGGTCACAGACAATACTGCAAATGTGTCCAAAATGAGAAGAAATTTAGAACAACATGAAGAAACTACCAAACTAATAACATATGGTTGTAGCGCTCATTTGATGCACCTCCTAGCCAAAGATGTCTGTGTCCCATAAATAAAGAGTAATGTTGTTGAAATTGCTAAATACTTCTGTAACAATCATTTTGCAGCATCAGCTCTGAAAATAATGGGTGGAACCAAGCTAACGCTCCCACAAGATGTTAGATGGAGCTCTGTGGACTGTTTTGAACTATATATAAAAACTGGCCTATTCTGATGACAGTTTGTGAGCAAAATCGAGAAAAAATAGATGGCACTATCACAGCCAAAATCCTCAAGATTGGGCTTAAGAGAAATGTTGAACATATGCTGAGCATCCTGAAACCCATTTCTAAAGCTTTAAACAAAATCCAGAAAAATAGTTGTTTTATTGCTGATGCTGTTGAAATTTGGAAGGAACCGAGTGAGCACTTAAAAACAGAACACACTGACAAGCAGAAATTACAAGATTTAAAAAAGCGAATGGGACAAGCACGGTCTCCAGCTCATTCTCTTCCTTTAGACTTGTTCACTTTAAATTGAGAAATCATCTGGGGCCTGATAAAGCAGGAAAGCTTGTTTTTCATGAACAAATAAGAGAACAAAGATGAAAATGAGTAAGCTGCAGAAAACCGTGTTTGAAGTTTTTTTTAATGTGGACCCAGCTGATATATTCAGTTTAAGTTCTTTTGTTTGTTTTTTCAAAGATATTTTGTTTATGCACTTCAGTTACTAAACATTGATGTTTAAGCAAATACAAGAATATGTAATATGTTATTGTTTTAATTAAATAAAAGAATTTAAGTAGTTCAACTATGTGTGATTAACCTATTAATCTAAAATCGGTTCTGATATCACTGTTTTATTAACCTGACAGCTTATTATTCTAAATAGGAAACCTTCATTTTGTTTGCAAATAATATTAAAGATTATAAGTATCATCAAGAATGAGTCCTTACATTTAAAGAGCACCTGTCATTTCAAATCTATCATGGCAGCGCCTGTTAGCTAGCATCCACTCTCCTACTGCCCGCCACGTCCCTCACCTTGTTGTGTCACTGCTGCATCACCAGCCGCCCCATTAAAGTGAATGATACTGTTGGCGAGTCAACAGTGGGTCAGAGGAGGAGCCACTGTGGGACAGAGATGACAGTTGCTCTTTAAAAATTATGATTTCAATTGAGTTGATTTAAATCAAGCCTTTTTACTAGTGATTTAAATTGTGATTTAAATTGACAATTTAAATCAAATCCACCCTGCCTCATGGTGAGATTGGCAGAAATTTTTTTTAATAAATAAATAAATAAATAAATAAGCACAAATGGTTAGTATCTTCAACAAGGTAGCCCTAAAATAAGAGCCAAAGTAATTCTGTTAAAGAAAAAAGGTCAAAATATTTCCAAGCCAATGTATGGGGAAAATGCTCAGTTAAACTCACTGTTGCTAAAAGGAGATGCCACCCAGTTACTAAATCAAAAGTTTCATATACTTTTTCCAAGAAATATAAGTATGAACTGAAGTGAACATGTTCAATAGAGGCAGTCCTTGACTTACAACAGTTCATTTATTTACTGTTCAAAGTTACAACAGCACTGAACAAAGTAACTTATGACCATTTTTCACACTTACAACCATTACAGCATCCCCATGGTCACGTGATTAAAATTCAGATGCCTAGCAACTGACTCATATTTATGACATTTGCAATGTCCCAAAGTCATGTAATCACTTTCTTCAACCTTCTGACAAGTCAGTGAGGAAAGCAAATTCACTTAACAACCATGTTACTAACAAGTGCAGAAATCCACTTAACTGTGGCAAGAAAGGTTATAAAATGAGGCAAAATTTGCTTAACTGTCTCGCTTAATAACAAATTTTGGGCTCAATTGTGATCGTAAGTCAAGGACTATCTGTAGAGGCATGTCATAGAACACTGTTTTCTATGTTGTTTGTTTCATCAGAACCTCTTCATTAATAAGACTTAAATCAAGTTCTGATCTCACTGTAGGTACTCACTGTACTGGAAGATTACAGAGAGTTCAAAGATTCACAAACTTTCTCTTACCACTTTAAAGCCTCATCCAGTAACAACCATGGCATATGAAAGATTGTGGCTTGAATAGGAGTAAATGTGAAGAGCATGAATTATCAAATAATGTGAAAGCTAGACACACTTGTGTGTTTATGAAAGAGAATGGGGAAGCGTATAAGGTGGGTCTGCTTTTGTAGAGCAGGGTTTATGCATATATGCAGAGAAGTGAAGGTATAAGGTTAATTATGCATGAAAGGCCTTAAACCAGAAATATATTAATTTCTATCCAGATTCTCCTCCTCATGCTCAGGCTTATACTCCTGTCTTTATGATCCCCAACATATACTACAAGATCTTTTTCATTTCCTTCCTTCTTTCTCAAGCAACAAAGCACCCACAGCACTTTCCTATTATTTAAATTTGTTCTGTCTGGCCTCTGGCTCCCTCCTTTGTAAGCCTTCTTCATACAGATATGATCAGGAATGTAGGTTTTACCACAAAGCTAGTTTCTTTTTAAAAGAACTTATGTCAAATGTAGCAATATTTGCACTACTACCATCAAGCGTGGTATCATTTTACAAAAAGAATAAAGGGTTTTACACCCCTGGCAAATGTAATAGTCACAGAATATTACAAACTAAAATTAACAATTGCCTATGTACATATATTGAACTTAGTTGCGTTCATGTTTGTAAAGATTTCAGTTCAGTATTCATCTTAATTGACAGAAAGCATAAAGAACTAGAATTATTCAACATGCTTAGAAATAAATTGAGATATTTTGTATTCAAAACATATTAGGACATTGAAAAAGATGCTACTAATCCTTAGTGCTATCCTGTAGTCAAAACCCCAAGATACTGATGTATTAGAACAGGGGTGTCAAACTGCCAGCCCACAGCTGCAACACATCACGTGAGGTTGCAATATTGATAAATTCAGAACACTGAAATTCCACACAAAATATTCCCAAAGTCTACATTCATCGCAAGAAATAACTGAAAGATTACGAATCTCAGGTAACCTTCCTATGAGATGACTCTTGATAAGTACGTTCTTATCAATATCAAATCATGAAATTCCACACAAAATATTCCAAAAGTCTATATTCATTGCAAGAAATAACTGAAAGATTATGAATCTCAGGTAACCTTCCTATAAGATGACTCTTGATAAGTACGTTCTTATCAATACCAAATCATACCTAACAAAGGGATTTGGGTTAAAATTACAATAGGAATATCAATAACATAGACATTTACAATAAAAATTACAAGAAAATGTAATACTGCAGCAAAAATGTTCACTCTAATTCTATCATGATGCCTATATATGTCTACATTCATAATAACTGGAACTCTAATGTGGGGCATTAGTTAGAAGCCTAACTCCTACATTGAAAAATAGAACCAAATGAACTTCTGGAAACTATGGAAATATCTCTCTGTGCAGAGAATATTTCAGCAGTCCAATCCTGTTGTAACTAAAGAATGTGCAACTGTTGCCAGAGGTAGTGAAAGCTAAAACATTAAACAAATGAAAACGCATTCCTTGCCAGTACCTAGAAATCTAGCAGTGGGTAATTAAAATACATTCCCAGAGTGTGGATCTACTTGCTCAGAGGAAGTCTGACACCATACAGCAGGCATGTTAAACTCGCGACGTCATGCGACCTATCATGACTTTTTCCCCATTGCCAGCAATGGGGTGGGCGCGGTTTTGGCGTGATGCATCAGGCCCGTGGGCTGGCAGTTTGACATGCCTGCCATACAGAATAGGCCAAATCACAATTAATGAGCTTGGTTTCCCAACAACCAACACAACTTCTAACTTATCTGTCTCTAATTATAGCTTGTGTAGCCTCATCCAGATCATCATTGAATTTAGCTTACAATAAGGTCCCTGCAATTGGATAGCAAGAATTATTAGTTGTCATAATCATAGTTAAGAGGTACCTCATCTCTAAGTTCAACACAACATCTCCGAACAGTTTCATTAAGAAACAAGTTGGAATCTAACAGAAGAGCTGTCCCTTCAGGATGATCTCTATAGGCTAACAGGAAGAACTATTATAGTAACTGAAGGAGTGCTCATTACTAACAATCCAGATGACAATCACATATCCTTCTATTGGAAGAATAGGATTTAAGTTATAAACCATGATAGATGGGGCAATCGATATTTAAATGAATGCTATACATATTTAGGGATGCTACAAATGCTTCCACTATATTTAGATAAAACTGCAAGATTTATTACCAAAGGAATCATAGTACAGCCCAGATCTGAATCAGCAGTTTCACAATTTACAGCTTATTTTTCTCAGCTTATTTTTCTTATTTGTATACTGCATTTATTGGTTTTACAAATAAGGCGAAGAACATATCCAACACACCTTCCCTCCTATTTTTCCCACAATAACAGCCTTGTGAAGTGAGTTGGGCTGTGACTGGCCCAAAGTCACCCACTTGGTTAAGGCGGGAGTCGAACTCACGGACTCTTGCTTTCTAATGTAACCACTACTAGACTAAACTGGCTCTCTTATCCATTTCCATAAACTCTAGATTAAAAACTATTCTACAACAGAGATCTCGTCCAATCAGGAAAATTAACAGCACTTGTAGGGCTGAGACTGGAATCGTTTCTTTTTAATCCTGCCGTTTTTCTTATAACCTTGCACGTACACGGGGCACAGGTACTTCAATCGCCACTTGCGAAAATTTCTCGGCGAACTCGATCCTCCCCCACCTGGAAGAGAAACGCGGTTTTTGCCCCCAGAATGGTACCTAACCAGATTAGTTCTGACTGACGCGGCGGCCCATGGCGGAACTTCCCGGGACATCTTCCTCCTGGGCTCCTGCAGGAACCTTCCCCGCCGAGAAAGCGGCTGCGCCAGCCGCGTCCGCCCAACCGCTCGAGGCTCGCTCGGACCTGGGACGGCGGCGGCCCCCGAGAGAGGCGCTCAGCCAAGGAGTGCGCCAGACCGCCACGTGCCGCCCGGGCCCGGGACGCTTCGCGGAGAGCTGCGGCCGGCCCGCCGTCACGGGGGAAGAGGAGCGCTCCGACCTGCCAGCAGCAGCCCGGAACCAAAAGAAGGGCCGCCGCAGAGGCCTCTCCGCTCAGCTGCGTCGGGCGAAGCGTCCGGGATGGCCGGCTGACCACTCCCGCCGCTCCCTTCCCCCGGCGTGTCCGGCTTGGAAATTCCGCCGCTCTCCAGCTTGGGGCGCAGGCGCGGAGCTCACCTCGGGTGACTCGGGGCGAGGGTCTCGGGCCAGGCCAGGCGCCGGACGAGCCGCTCGCGTTCTCCCTAGTCGCCTCTTGAGCTGGTCCCCAAACAAAATGGCGACCGAGGCCGCGCGCTCACGTCGCGGCCTTTCTCTTCCCGTCTTCCTCTGCGCAGGACGCAAAACCAGGAGGCGGAACCTGGACCTGGCTCAATCCGCCTGCGCGGAAACAACTTTGACCAATCAGAGACTCGCCCCGGCTGGTGCTCGAGTCCGCCTCCAGTCTTCTACCCAATCCCTAGAAGGACACCCCGATGTCGCCTTTGCACTCTTGTCGACGGAGGGACGCAAAGATGCCCTCATGAAGCTGCCGGGGAGGGCGGGGGGGAAATGGGCGGAGACGATTAAACTCAGAAGACCTTGCGGAGTTGGGGTCCGGCTGCGATTGGCTAGTTTAAGTATCGAGTCAGGCGAGGCCAATCGCAGCGCGGCGCTGGGAAGCGATCGCGTTAGTCGCGAGGGCAGACGCGCGTGCGCAACGGGCGGAGGCGGGGCAGGAGGCTGGGGACTCCTTCAGAAAGGGCGCCTGGTTTCGGCGATGAAGGCGGGGCGAACGGAAAGACGGCACGAGGCAGCGAGATCGGGCGGGGCCTTTTATTGACTGGGGGAGATGCGGGGGGGGGAGGCGGGCCGCGGGGCTCAGGCCGCGGGGCTGGAGGGCCGGAGGAAGCGGCGGATCATCTTCAGGGCCGGGCCGGGCTTGTACTGCGGCACCATGTGTCCGGCGCCCTGCGGAGAGAGAAGGCGAGCCGGTAAAGGAGGGAAGCACGGAGGGGGCCGGTGGCCCGCTTGTCCTTGCCGCCACCAGGGGCTGTTCCGAAGTGCTCCGTCTTCCCCTGCCTTCCTTCCCCAGGGCCCGCTCCGCTTCCCGCTTAGCAGCCCGTCTACGGTCTTGGGGTTAGAACCATGGTCAGGACCGCCGGGGTTGCCGTCGCTTAGCAGAGCGGTCACATGATGTCATACTTTACAACCACATGGCTTAGCGATGCCAACCCGGTCCCAATTGCTGTCATAACTCGAGGACTAACTTTACCCCGTAGGCGTAGAGATAGTCCTGGAGTTATGATCACAATGGAGCCCAAAATTTCTGTTGCTCAGTGAAACGTTTCTTAAGTGAATTTTGCCCCATTTTGCGACTATTCTTGCCAAGGTTGTTAAGTGAATCTGCAGTTGTTACATTAGTAACTTAGTAACTTCCCCACTGGCTTTGCTTGTCAGAAGGTTGCAAAGGGTGACTCTGCAGCCATCATAAATATGAGTCAGTTGCTAAGCATCCGAATTTTGATCACGTGACCATGGGGTGCTGCAACAGTTGTGTGAGAAATGGTCATAAGTCACTTTTTTCAGTACCATTGTAACTTTACGGTCAATAAATGAACTTTTGCAAGTTGGGGACTACCTCTGTTTTATTGTGACTGATTTCTTGAACAAAATACCTTGGTTAGTTTTGCCCATCTCACAAAGTAGGAACCACATAAGCTGCATTAGAATGCAGTATTGCAGGTAAATTCTGCCCACTGCTGGGAGTTCGATCCTGAGAGGTTGACTTAGCGTACTATCCTTCCAAGGTCGGTAAAATGAGGACCCAGATTTTTGGAGGCAACATGCTGACATTTATAACCAGCTCGGAGAGGGCTGTAAAGTGCTGTGAAGAGGTATATAAGTCTAAGTGCTATTGCTATTATGGCTGTGAAAATTCAGCCCTTTGCTTTGTTTCTGTTGATCAGTGCTGGAGCTGTTTTCCACCAGTTCTTCCTTACAACTGAGATGGGCAAGTTTTTTGATCTTGCAAATATTGCTAAAGCACAAAGCTTGGCAGCCTTTATAACAAGTAAGTATTGAGTAATAGTGGAAGAATCAAAACATCTCCACTTTGCCATAGAGGCTCTTTCTAGGAATCAAAAATTACTTTTCTCACAAGGGCCACTGTGCCTTGAAAAACAACATATACACCTTAGTAAAATCATCGTTGTTAGCTTCTATTGATAGGGAATAAGAGAGGCTTTTTGAGCCTTGACAAGAATAACTGCTAGGTGTGAATTGTTCACTGACCTTTACAGTGAGGAATGTGATGTTTTGGTATTCCTTGAAAAATCCGGCAACTTGGTCATTGAAATACCATGGCTGGTATTCGCTAAGCACCTGTATGATGAAAGGGCAAAAGGATCAGCTCGGGGAGAAACCTGTTTACCATCCAATGAACTGGAGATCCCAACTTTTTGAACTCTGGGTATTCTTACAAATGGCTCCCCATCAGAAAACACTATGAGGTTGTTTTCTGCCACTCCTTTTAGCCTCCCTGGAGAATCGGTTCCACTGTCAAACAGCTTTTCCTGTTAAGAATATTATACTATTCAGTTATGGATGGAGAGCCCTTTTTGTCTATGATAGCCCAAAATCAGAAGAGTCTGATAGCATTTTCCAATCATTAAAGGTGTACATTTTTGTGAGCTACATATATCTGATGAAATCAGCCTTACCTCACAAAAGTTTATGCCAATTTGTTAGTCAGAAAAAGTGTTACCAGACTCCTTATGATTTCTGGCTAACTTTCAACTGGTAGCTGCTTTTGTGTAATTTAAATCCATTGTTTGATGTCATGCACTGTGGAATAAGAGATAATAGATTTTATCCATCTGTATAGCATCTGTTCAGTTACTGGTTCTGTAACCATATTCTCCTCTCAGTCATCTTTTCTCAATACTAAATATTTGAGCTGTGTGGTGCTTTGAATTCAAAGGAGAAAAGATGCTTCAGAGCATATCATGGATGCTCACATAGCAACTGCTGCTTTTTCCACAGGATCACATAATTACCTCCTTAGCTGCAGTTTGCCAGATTACCAGAAAAGAGACTGAGAAGGAAGAGCCCCTTTCTAGGTTACAAAAGCAAGCAAGTAAAATCGCTCCTCTCCTTGGCTCTGCTGCTTAGAAGACACGGGCTCTTGTGTTCTGCCCAGTTCCTACAGGAAATGTACTGACTTGCATTTTGTGTTTTGACCCACTTGAGGACAGAAAGCTCGGTGATGTCACTGAAAGTACATGCTCTTTGGAGTCTACCTTGATTCCTGGTAACTGTTTGGACACGTCCCTGAAACTTTCTTGGCCAAATTTTGCCATTCCATTCTTCCCGGGACTGAGCCTGACAGTTACTTACCATTTTGGAACTTAAGTCTCTTTTTCTAGACACCGTTATTAGGTTTGGTTTTTCTCACAATGTTTGATAAATGCGGGCCATGCAGAAGGAAATTAACTGGGGATCTCTACATGGGGCTCCCCTTGAGGAGCACCCGGAGGCTCCAGCTAGTCCAAAATGCGGCCGCGCGGGCGGTGTTGGGAGGGACTCGTCGCTCCCATATAACACCGCTGCTGCGCGAGCTGCATTGGCTGCCTGTGGCCTTCCGGGTGCGCTTCAAGGTGTTGACCATCATCTTTAAAGCGCTCCATGGCATCGGACCCNGGTTATTCCAGCTTGCAGGACTGGCCTAGGGAAATTTTTAGAGGGGGTTTTAATTATATTTTAATTAGAGCATAGTTAAATATTTCCTTTTAATTAATTTTAATTCTGTAATTGTTATCTGTGTATTTTTTAATCGATTGTTAGCCGCCCTGAGTCCGCAAGGAGAAGGGCGGGATATAAATTTAATAAAATAAATAAATAAATAAATGTTCCTCTTTGTCTCCCAATAACCCAAAGAAAGATGCACTCCCACCCACCCCATTAGAAAGAGAGCCCATTGTAAGGGTTTGACCACCGGTCCCTTGCCTGTTTTCTTCAACAGAATAACTGAAGGGTCTTTGAAAAGCGCCAGTTCAGAAATGGGAAAAACAAATGACTGCAATACAGGTAATCCTCGACTTACAATCAAAATTCAGCCCAAAATTTCTGTTGCTGAGTGAGACACTTGTTAAGTGAGTTCTGCCCCATTTTATAATGTTCGTTAAGTGAATCACTGCAGTTGTTAAGTTAGTAATACCATTAAATGAATCTTGCGTCCCTTTTGACTTTGTTTGTCAGAAGGTCACAAATGGTGATCACATGACCTGGGAGACTGCGACCGCCATAAATATGAATCAGTTGCCAAGTAGCTGAATTTTGATCAGGTGACCATGGGATGCTGCAAAATTTACATTTGTGAAAAACGTTCATAAGTCACTTTTTTCACTGCCATTGTAACTTTGAACTGTCACTAAACAACTGTTGTAAGTCAAGGACTACAGTACCTGTATTTGTTGCAAATCTTCCATTCCTATATCAGTTTTTTTATGCCCAGAAGAAAAAAACATTTTTCTCAGGTACTTACAGGTTGATTTAAAGCCTCAACGAATTTTTCACCCCCCAAAAAGTTGCACACCATGTCCACATCACCATTATAAACCAGTGCACGAAGATTTTGTGCCAATAACAACTTGTAGAAGGGAGCCATATCCATATATTGTCTTTGGTAGGTGGCAGTTACTTGTGAGCTGTAACAGAAGAGAAGATTGTGAAAGGACTGTCACTTCTTTCTTCCCACCATTAGAATCAGATGAGCATGCATGTCCCAAATACCAGTGACCAGGAAGTTCCCAGCTGCCCTGGCACTGAGAGAACTCTTTCCTGCTCATACAGGCCAGCAGAAGTCTCACTGAATTCATCTGAGTGCCAAATTAGGCCAAGTAAAATAATACACACTCCTCATGTCTCAGAGAAAGTAAAACTGTACAGGTAGTCCTCACTTAGCAATGATAATTGGAACCTGAATTTTCACTGCTAAGCATCATAGAACATGACGTGATTGCACCTTAACAACGGGAATTCTGGCATTCACAATTGTCATTAAGCAAATCACTGTAGATTGTTAAGCAAGGATTTCATGCGGTCTCCATTTGTGACCTGTTGGCTGTCCCACTGACTTTGCTTGTAAGGAGCCAGCGAAGAAGACCACGAGTGACAGCCACGTGACTCTGGTGCACTGCACTGTTGTCATTGGAAGCCAGACACGGGGAACCTGGATTGCAATCGTCGCAGGGATGCTGCCACCAATGCAAGCACGAGGAACATTTGTAACTGCCACTTGTTCAGCACCATTGTATGTTCAAACAGTCACTGAATGAGAGGTTAATACACCTGTATATGCTAGGGGTAAAAATTCATTCCCATCTTGAATTAGATAATATAACTGGGGTCTTTATTATATTAGGTTTTGATTGTTGTTAGCCACCCAGGGATGAGGTGGGTGGCCCTATAAATTGAAAAAAATAATTGCTCTATTATTGAATGGGATATAATCAGGCAAAGTGGCTTTATAAATTAACCTAGTCATGTGTAGGAAGTATGATTTGAAAGTAAACATTTGAAATCCTATTAAAGTTGGTTGAGCGTGTGGGACTTGCAGATACTGGAAGGCAGTATTTATAAGGCAAATGGCCGATATAGGTGGTCCTCAACTTATAATAGTTCATTTAGTGAGTGAAGTTACAGCAACACTGAAAGTGGCTCATGACTGTTTTTCACAGAACCATTGCAGCATCCTCATGGTCACACGATCAAAATTTGGACACTTGGCAACCAGCATGTATTTATGATGGTTTCAGCGTCCCAGGATCATGTGATCCCCTTTGGCAACCTGCTGTCAAGCAAAGTCAATAGGGAGGCCAGATTCACTTAACAACCGTGTTACTAACTTAACTGCAGTGATCACTTAATAACTGTAGCAAGAAAGGTAATAAAATGGAGCAAAATTCACTTAACAATTGTCTCACTTAGCAAGAAATTTGGGCTCCCTTGTGGTCACGAGCCGAGAACTAGCTATACTTCGGTCCACTCTGCAATGGAAAAGGGCAACAGGCAGCCCCACTTCACGTGGCCAGTTAACCTCAATAATTGCAGTGATGAATGGGCATAAAATGCTGTGATTGGAAAATCAAGGCCTGTCCTCCTCTGGCAGAGCCTTTGCCCAAAACTGCCCTCCCGTCTCTCTAGCCGGAGCCTTTGCTTGGTGCTGCTCCAAGTGATGACCAGCAGCTCCTCTGTCCCTGTGCAGCCTCTGAACGCCAGAGGCGGTCACCTGCAAAGCTCCCAATCCGGCAAACTGCGGGGGATGTGAAGGGCCTGCCGGACATCATCTCGATTCAGCCAGACATACATGGCGGTGGCGTTTATGCATTTGGGTACTCCTGGGATAGAGCCAATTTTCTGGAAACGAAAGCAAAGGTGAGCTGTTACAGGAAAAAAAATACTCGGAGCCTTTGAAGGTTCACGTCTCTTCACTGAGATAGTCCAACTCATTATTTGTTTAGCCTTTATTCATGTCTGCTGCTTTGCCTGCGTTGTTCGGTTTAAAACTTCAGTGCTAAGCAGTAGTACTTCCAAACTAGCTTTTGCTATTGGATATTTCAGAAATAGTACATTTGATATTCTTGTTTGGAATTAGATTTTGTTCTGAGAAAGCCGAAACTTCTGAAACTGGGAAAAGGCCATGAAAATCCCTGAAAGGCAACAGGGGAAGAAGCCAAAGGGGAACTTTAAAAAAGTAGAGCGATTCTTCCACCAGGGGTCGCTATTCTGACCTATCCAGGCCAGCCTCACTGCACCAGCCCCAGACACTCCCTGGAGAGCCTCAGGAGAAGCAGCAGAGGATCATTTGGGGCTGCAACAGAGAGATGCTCAATGCTCAAGAGATGCAGATTGCAATGATTACTCGTTTGCTGAGCTGGAAGCTACTTTCTCCCAATATTTCCCTTTAGAAAATAGAAGCTTTGATTCATCTGTCTCTTCCTGTGGCAGGGAAATGGCTGGATTTTTGCCATGCAACTCTCTCTTCAAAGTGAAGAATGGAAGGGATCAGTGTGGTTGGTTTGGTTCAGAAAACCTTGGTGTGAACACGGACATTGTGGGTTTATAAACCTCAAAATACGGTTTGGAAAGTTCTGTCCATCCACTCTGACTGTGGCTTGTTTGAATTCATCTTATACGTGCAACCATTACTTTGTAAAACAGTCTTATTCTAAATTTATTTATAACAAATGTAGGTAAGCTTTCACAGACTTACAGTGTAAAATTGCACCAAAATCTTTTTGCTTCCACGCATCAATTTGTGCCCCATTTTTATGTTCCCATTAGAACATCAGAATAGGGCAATTTTTGTCTTCCCGCATGTAGGATTCTTGACTTTACAAGAGGGACCTCCTTATTGTATTCTGTCTGCTATCTGTCCACCTTTCCAAAATGAAAGATGGCAGAGTTGGTGCCAGAAGGGTGGAGATGCCTTGATCACGCTGAAGAAACTGGCTATAGGCTGGCTCTAAAGGACGGCGTGAATCCCCTGCAGAAGCAGCCCCAGGACAGCAGATACTCACCGGCACTGGGACGTTGAACTGATAGTGGCGGAAGAGGTTGGCCAGGTCAGCTTCGTAGCGGCTCTGGTAGTGTGCGCCTCCCCAGCAAGAAGCGTAAAGATTGTACATGTTGAGGCCAGTTCCAGAAATAAGCCGGTAAGCTTTTGATATCTTGGAATGGGAGCAGGGAGGAAGAAACAGACACCTGTCATCTCTGTGCCGATGGAGAAGAAGGAACAACTAATAAAAAGCAGCACAAGGGCCGCTTTCTTCCCTCTGGCTCCTCTTGGCTCCTGGGGGGGAGCATAGGTGGGCTGCATTCAGGAACCTCCAATCTCGGCTTCAAAGCAGGCCTGATGTCCAGTCCTTCAGATTTTCCCTCCGGTGCTGGATCTTGGACCCTCTTTCTTTCCCCATCTGTCCCTCCCCAACGTAGCTGGCCAAGAATGGTTGCCTGCAGTCTGCTAGGGAGCTGCAGCTGAGGGTGGGGCAGACCCTGCGTCTCCCCATTCCTACTCCTGCCCTTAACCGCAATATTGCTTATTTATTTTCTCTCAAGGATCAGAACAAAACAAAGAAGTGGGCTGTTCTTGAGATTCAGACTTCAAGAATTAAAAATATAAAGATGAATTCAGTGGTTAGAATGCAGTACTGCAGGCTACTCACCGTATTTTTCCGTGTATAAGATGCTATTTTTTCTTGCAAACAGTCTCTTCAAAAATCAGTTGCGTCTTATACACGAAAAAATAATGGTAACCTCCACAGCCCAGGGCATGCCTGTGTGTGTTGCCATGCCGCCTGGAGCCGGTGTCAAGCCCCTGTGGGCTTGCCACTAACGGGAGGGGGCAAGATCTTCGGCCGGCTGAACTTGCGGATTGCCGGCTCAGCTATTCTGCACTCCGCCGAACAGCTGATCGGCGCGGAGAGCGTCTTATACAAGGGTGCATCTTATAGACGGGAAAATACAGTATGCTGACTGCCAGCTGCCACCAGTTTGGCAGTTCAAGTCTCACCAGCTCAAGGTTGACTCAGCCTTCCATCCTTCCAAGGTCAGTAAAATGAGGACCCAGATTGTTGGGGGCAAGATGCTGACTCTGTAAATTGCTTAGAGAGGGCTGTAAAGCAGGGATCCCCAACCCCCGGTCCGTGGACTGATACCAGGGCGTGGCATGCCAGCAACCAGGCCGCACAAACAAGCAAAGCCCCATCTGTGGGATGCAGGCAGCACACAAAACCACACCCCCTCTGGTCCGCGGAAAAACCCCTCACCATGTGACCGGTCCCTGGTGCCCAAAAGGTTGGGGACCTCTGCTGTAAAGCACTGTGAAGCGGTATATAAGTCTAAGTGCTACTGCTATTGCTAATCACTTACTGCTGTAATGCAGTCACTGTTGTCATTACTGGCATAATTGCAGTTTCCTCCAGTGCAGCAGCTTTCCACAAGAGACGACCACAGGCTGCAGGCCGGAACAGTGGAGAAAAGAGATCAGGCATATGAACCAGCAAAGTGACCTTCCTCTCCTTCCCCCCTACCAAATATACCCATTTTGCCCAAAGGGAATTCTGCCACTTCCCAGCCGTTCCTCCTGGGGTTACTGTGACTGGAATTCTGCCTGAGGAGGGACTGACGCTAAAGGGGGAATAGGAAGGATTCTTCTAATCTGCCAAAAGATTGGAATGCCTGGTTTGGGGGGGGGGAATCGACCTCTGTCCCAGAAGGAAGCCGTGTTGCTGGTTCCAAGTTGTGTTGGGGGCTGGGAACAAGGGGCAAGTTGAGTGGGGTCCTTTTGGAGTCACATTTGAGTTGGGTGGCCTTATAAATCTCGGTAGTAAATAAGTAAATAAATATTTGCCTTTTTCCTCCTATCATACTGAGCTCTCAAAAAAATCTTAAAATTTTACAAACCTGTGTGCCAACCATGATCGAAAGAAAAAAGTTTTGTGCAAAATATTTTGAGAAAATGGCATCACTGTGACTCCAGACCTATTTGTTTGGCATGCCCTGGCTGAAAGCACTATTATTGTAGGAGATGACCAGGCTGGGCCCGAGGGAGGGGTCAGATGTGTCATAAGTCACCAATTCCTTCAGTCCTACAAGAGATCTAAGTCCAGCCCACCTTGAATGCCTTCTTAATTCCCGCCCATTTCCCTTGGCCGTTAGTAGCTCAGATTCTTGTAGAGAGCGTAAGCTTGCAATACATACATACTAATTTGAACTGCCTGAATCTCCTGATTTCCCCGGCGCTTGATAATTATTTGGGAATAAATACCATTCTGTGGTAGAAAATGAGGCTATCTGCATTTTGTATAACACTAGAAGGCAAGACAAGATGGATGGAAACTAATCGAGGGTCTCTTGCTTGAGCAGGGGGCTGAACTAGAAGACCTCCAAGGTCCCTTCCAGCTTTTATGCTCTTCTGTTTTGTTCTGCAGTGACACAAGTGCCTGACTCCCAACAAGTCCAGCGAGCGAAAGACACTGCAAGGAGACTTGCGTGGCTTGGGCTTGATGCTCTCTGGGTGAGAGAGATTCCCAGGAGTAGTGCAAGTCCAGCTTGTAGTCCCCCCAAACCGGCAGGCCTTTTGCCCCTCCAGGCCAGTGGATTTCAGGGATCAAATTCTGTCCCTCGCCCTGCCATACTCACTCTTCTCCCAGCACTCCATGCGTGTAGGCAAATTCCATCAAGGTCTGATCATTGAGGGAATAGCTGCTCATGCCGTTGCCAACCCCAAACCCCTGGAAAATGGGGGAGCAAAATGTTATCCCGAGGAAGCGGCTGAAGGGAGGGCAGATGTTGCTAGGACTGGGCTGGAGCCAAGAGAGGTCTGCCACCCTCCAGGCTCTCTGCCCCACGGCTGCCATTTCCTGAGGGGCTCTGTGCCCCAAGATGGAACCCCCCGGATGTGATGACCCCTCAGTAGCTTCACAGAACAGATTCCATGTCATGAAGCAAGTTGGCTCTTCCTAGACTTTGACACCTCACGTTGGCTGTTTGATTGTGACTATACTTAAGACCACAATGGAGCCAAAAATTTCTATTGCTAAGTGAGACACTCATTAAGTGAATTTTGCCCCATTTTCCAACCTTTCTTGCCATGATTGTTAAGTGAATCTCTGTAGTTATTAAGTTAGTAATATGGTTATTAAATGAATCAGGCTTCCCCATTGACTTTGCTGGTCAGAAGGTCACAAAAGGAGATCGCATGATCCCAGGACACGGCAACCATCATAAAGATGAGTCAGTTGCTAAGAGTCTAAATTTTGATCACATAGATATGCTGCAATGGTCGTAAGTGAAAAACGGTCATAAGTCGCTTTTTCCAGTGCTGTTGTAAGTTCAAACGATCACTAAATGAACTGTTATGAGTTGAGGACTACCTATATAATCGCAATGTTTTTGTCATTTTAATGAATTTTTTTGTAGCTTGAGTAATTGTCCTCAGGTCCTGGGGGAGAAAAGGCAAGAGGCTGCCTTCAGAGGCAGCTGCCAAAAGGGGATTAAAACCAGAACCTCCTTCACAGTTCTTGTGTCTTTCAGGGTGGCTGCTTAAATGAGAAAGAGGGTCTCAAGTCATTCTCATCTGTGCAAGCCCTGCTGTTTGTGGAAATAAAGAAAGTAGGGTGACATCCCAAGAGTTTCACTTTCTGACTAGAGACCTTCAGGAGAAAGCATTTCCTAATCACCAGGAACTCAAACCCTGTTCCCAGTTGACGGGTGAGAAGGACTTATTGGACTGCAGTTACTTTTACCTTCAGGTTGATGGCTGCTGACCCCTCCACAATCTTGGCAGTGAGAGTGGGGACATAGACTCCACCATAGCTCTCCCCAAACACATAAAAATCATTGTGGGCAAAATCTGGAAATTTGGCAAAGAAGCTCTGGAGAGCCTGGTAGTTCTCTTCAGCAACCTGAAAGGGAAAGATGTCAGGGGCAACAACCAGATGCACATGCACAGGGTTCAAACTAAGCACTTTATTGCATTCTGCCTATAATACAGGAAGATCTCCAGTGTGCTTGCCTACTCTTGGGAACAGACAGATAACCAATAAAGGAGAATATTTGTAGCTCAGGGTTGAAATGAGGGCTCCTCGGAGCTTGGTGGTGATCTTGCAGATGTTTCATTACCCAAACTAGTAATGTCATCAGGTAACACATAGATAAAATTCTATAGAGTTTTAGGGGAGTCAGTCCTGGATCTCTTGTACCTGCGCAATGATTCAAGCTAAATCCTTCTCCCTGCTTGACTGGGTGTTTCCCAACAAAAGAAACCACAGCCCAAGGGGTCAGCTTGAGAAGGACCCACATGCATAGGACCTGCAAGGCTTGGGACCAGACCAAGGGATGAGGGGGCAGGGCGAGGAGACACATCTGCTCCTACCTCCTCAGAGAGCTGCACGCAAACTGGCTGGGCAGATGCCAGGCCCAGCTCAGCCTCCAAACAAGTGAGAATTTGTGTCCAAGCTACAAAGATGTTGGTTCTGCCACTGGGGCATCCCTGGGAGGCTGCCCCTCATTGGCAGATCCTTCAGACCCCATGGCTCTGCTGGTTTTCTGTGGGGCCGCTTGTGCAGACAGAATCGGAAGGGGCTCACCTGACTGTCGCTGATGGGATTTCCATAGGCCGTGGCATAGGAGTAGCCCACTCCACCGGGAGACTCCACATAAAGCATGTTGGCCACCTTGTTCCAGCTGTCGGGGTTCAAGTAGAGCAGGCCATCATCGTGCAGCTACAGAGAAGAGGCAAGGAAGGTGCCCTCACAACCAGTCGGTCATCAGGTTTTGCATGGTGAAAGTTGCCAGCCGCCCCCTGCTATGTGGGGCCCCCACAACATAGACTGCTGGACAGCAGGTTCTTCCTAGGGCCGGCCCTGGGAACAAGTTGACCACAATGGCTGCACTGTTGTAGCCAGTTCTACAACTGCCTTCGAAAACTATTCTCATGACAGAGAAAATGCTTAGCAGCCAAAGAATGAGGTAGAACAAAGCATCCCCCCCCCCGAGTCCCCAATCTTCTGTTGACACTACACTTGTCT